TTGACTTCTACTGCCCTGACTGGTGTCAGAACCTGGTGGCTTTCATTGGACTACTCTCCTTGACTCTATCTGGATCAGAGAAGGGCAGTGTTGGACCCAGTCTTAACAGTCACTTCAGTCAACCACCTTTGAAGACCTATTAGGACTGAAAATTTTGATAGATGTACATATTAACCTAATAGGTGTCATTTTGTCAGGAATTTCCAACTGTTGGGGATTCTCCAGAGCAGTAATGTAATATGGTTGGAGAAGGTGATTTCTCCATAATATATATATATATATATCAAATGAAAGGGTAGCTGGGGTCCAAATTTGGCTTTCTCCAGGCTAAATAGACCCCCTTTCCAGGGTGAACCTGGGCTTTCACCAGGCTAAATAGACCTACATTCTAGGCTGCACCTGGGTTTTTCCCAGTGTAATAGACCTGCTTTCCATGCAGAATGTGGGCTTTCCACAGGTTAAATAAACCCCTTGCCAGGGTGAACCTACATAAATAGACCCACTGTCCCAGGCCATGTCCTGGTGGGGATTCTCATTCTCCATGTCATGTTGTGGATTCTCCATGCATCAGAAAACCAATGTTTCTAACTGTTCCAATCACAACTTATCTCAGAAAAATAGATGTATAAGTGGAATAGATCCAAAGGAACATACAGAGCAAGTGAATTAGGCAAGAAATAGATCTACAGAGCACTATAAATCAAGGGTTACAGTACTATAGTGGCATGAAGATATCAATAAATCACTTATAGACTACATTAGGATTACAGAAAAGAAGTGTGTCAGTAAGAGAGCATGAAATAGATGGTGTTGGACAATGATCACTAAAGTGGTGGAGATATCCAGACATCATTAGATGCAGTGTAGACTATTGGACTGCTTAGAAAGAGAAATGTGCCAGTGAGGCACTTCTTCCTCTAGCTGCCAATCCCTGCAGATTTCCTGGTTATGGCTATATCATATGGTGATTGTAACTAGTACATTGTCAACCATGTATCCATCCTTGACCCATGCCTCTGGCACATCCACCATGAAATCCTGAAAGTCATCATGAATTTGATGACTAAGACTATGGACCTGGTGGTAGGCCATCTCATGGATGTTCTTATCTTTTGGGTCATTTCCCCTATGGTAGACACACATTAATTTTTATGGTCCATGTTATCTACAAACCTGCCCCCATTGCATTTATGCTTCTTTTGCATTTTATTATGCATGCACAATTGGAGGAAATGTTGTAATCTGATGGGAAGTAACACTAACAATATGTTTGTCATTTTTTGCAACTGCTTCACTGTTTATTCATTTGGGTACTTCTCTCCTTGGAAATAAATATCCTTGTGTCCATCAGTTCTCATCAGCTGTGCCAGGAATGTGGCAAACATGCAGAAGTGTTCCTCCTCTATCCCAGTGCTGGGCATGTCCAGGTGTATCATGTTGTTGCCTCTGCATCTGTAAACTGGCATGCAATTGGACAGTGCTGGACAGCTCTACAGATGCCCAGATAGGTCCAGGGTTGACAACACTGTCCAATACACACATTTACTGTGGGTTACTGTGGGTTGCTGGACTGTTACATTTCACCCTTGTTTTCCTTGTACATTTACCTTGTGTTTGTCCCAATGGACTTGTTTTCCTTTCTCAGCCATCTTCCCTCTGATCTGATGGCCTCCTTTTTCCACCACTAGTGTTGCTACCTCCTTACATGCTTGGGACATGTGTTGTCATTGTTCAACCAATGGTGTAGTTAGCCCATTACATGCAGATGCCTCATGGTCCATTTCCTTGTGGTATTTAGACTGCCAGCTCAAGTCTTGGAACCCCAGACTTGAGCTGCTCAATCATATGCAGTGTTCTCAGAACTTTGCCCTCAGTGTCCCTTACCAGGACCACTCATACAGGTGTTGCCCTAAATCCTCTGTCATTTACAGAGGTTACTGCAACCATTTCTCAGTAGAAACCTTTAGTCTGTGGCTGAGCTCCCTTTGCACCTTGGCTTCAGTCTAAGTGTAACAAAAGCTCAAGTCTCTACAGCCTATTGGCCAAAGGACACTGTTTAGTGCTCCACCATGAACCCCCAAAACAATCAATGTTGGGCACTGTTGCAACCCATACAAGAAGAATCATCATCAGACAAGGAACAGGAGAGCACTGTCACTGACACCTCCTCCAATGAACCAGAACAACTGGATAGAGGCTTTACCTCAGGTATCCTCTTGAACTTCTTCAACCAGTCTGTTGCTTCACTCAGTACTCCCATCCCACCTGTACCAACCCCTACCACACTTCCTGTACCCCCACCCCCACCCAGAATTACAATGTCTGGTTCATTGTTGAAAGCAATGACTGGCACTACTGCCATCAAAGTCACCAAATTGAAGATTGGTGCCCCAACTGACTTTGATGGGGACCAAAAGAATGCCATGAGCTGGCTGTTTTCAGTCCAGACTTACCTCTTGGTAAACAAAGAAGTCTATGACACAGAGACCAAAAAGGTTGCCTACACATTGTCATATATGAAGAAAGGCATTGCTCACTCTTGGGCAGCAACCTTCCAGAAGACATCTCTGGAAAAGAAACCTCCAAGCTTTGGTACCTTTGACAATTTCACAAAGGACTTTAAAGCATCATTCACCTCCCCTGACTCTGCTGGTGCCACTATCACAAAGCTACACACCATGAAACAAAAGGAATCAGCGGAACAATATATCACTGATTTCTGAACTGCTGCCACTGACTCTGCCATCATGGAAGATGTTGCCCTAATTGAGTTCTTTTCCCAAGGACTCAAACCTTCCATTGCAAACTGAATCCTCATGATGGAAACCACCCCTGCCAGGGTCAATAGGTTGTATGAATACACTCAGAAGTTTGATGCCAAGTGGAGGAAGGTAAATGAGCTTTCTGGAAAGAAAGAAAAGAGGACATTCTATCCAAAGAACAACCTCTCCAAAGAAAAAGATCTAACTGCTATGGATGTGGATGGAGTGAGACTCTCCAGAGAAGAAAGAGACCAACACATCAAAGAAGATGTTTTGGATGTGGAAATAAAGGACATCTCTGTAATAACCAGTAGACTTTTCACTTCTGCATTTCCTAGTTACCCATATATATCCACCCTCTGGTTAGGGTTCCAGTTTAGGGATGCTTAGTCATCTCAGACTTTTCCTTTACTTATCCTGGAAAATATACAAGTGGTGCAGTGGCAGTGCTGGCCCCATGCAGCAGGTGGGGTCACACTGGGTCACATGACCTTAACCCTAACCTGACACATGCTGACAGCTCCTGAACAAGGTGGGGACATGCAACCTTAACCTTAACCCTGACCCCCTGCCTCCTTGGCCCAAAATGGGAAAGGGATGGAGCAGCAGTGTGGGACATGCAACTGTGTCAATTAACAGGTGTGTGCACAGGCCATGAATGTAAAGGGTAGCGGTAGCAGCTAGTAAGTGCATAAATGAGGGATGGGATGTGACAGGAAGTGCAAGTGTGAGTGTGCTAATGGGCACACCAATTGTGAGACAAGTTAGATGAGAAAAGAGGTGTGAAAGGATGGGCAAGAAAGCGAGGGTGGCAAAGCAAAGAACAGGAAAGAAGAAGAATAGAAACAAATGGAGAAGAAGGAGAAGGAGAAGGAGAAGGAGAAACAAGACAAACAAAGGAAATGATGGTGGGAGAGCAAGTAGGGGCTGACAGCTGGAAGCAGCAAAGGTTGGGAGCACAACTGCAAGTGAGCTGTGGATGTGATTAGAGGAGGTGGGGGTAGGCTACATTGCAGTTCTGAAGCTCAAACATAACAGGTTGGGGTCAAATATTGATGGAATGGAATGGTGAGCGGGAGTGGTGGACACTGCAGGTGGCCCAGCAGTGCTTCAGGCCTGCAACTCCAGCTGCCAGCACTCATATCATGCCTTGTTGATGGCATGGAGGAGGTGCATGTGCCCTTCTTCTGCCTTGGGGTAGGCTGCAAGGAAGCAAGCCTTGTCACACTTGAAGCTGTCATATGGCAGTGGATGTTGAATGTTCACATCAAGTGCATGGGAAGCATTGGGTGAGCAGGCAGGCTACTCAAGGAGAGGGCTGGATGGGGGCACTCACATGTCAATAAACTCCAGTGCGATTGTGGCCTGCTGGCTGTACTTGGAGGTGAAGGTGCAGTTGCAGCCCTGGTACCAGTCTGCAGGCCAGTCCTTCAATGGGCCACTCAGGCCATGTGGGGGATCGCTGACAAGCCAATGGGTGATGGTGTCCTGCCAGGAGTCCCTTCTGGGATGTTGTGAGCCATCCAGCAGCTCAACAGGTATGTTTGGAATCCTGAGCCCAGAGAGCAGTGGCTGCTTGGCAAGGGGGATGATGGGGTAGTCATGGCAGCTTGCTGTCTGGCTCAGGCCAGCACCAGCAGTGACAATGCGATTTGCAGGGACTTGGGCCATTGGGCCAACTGGCAGGACTAGGGCAGAGGCCTGTGCCAGCTGGGGGACAGGTGTGGGTGCAATCGAGCTGGGATGCCCATGTCGCAGCTGTGACTGTGAGGGTGGTGCAATGGAATGGGGTACACTAGCATAGCTACCATGAGTTGTAGATCCAGCACAAGGCTGCCACAGAGCACCAGCCATACCTTGGCAAATGACAGTGGCAAGCTCGTATGGGCTGTGTGAACCTCCTCTGCAGTGACAGGTTGCATGAGGGCAGATTTGCCTACCAGAGAATCCTGCACATCCTGTACAATTGGAGCAAGCGCATCACTGTAGCCTGTCTCATAACAGTAAAGCTCATCTAGGAGGTATCAGATGAGGGTGTTATGCTGGAGGCCATGTCAGAGCAGGTTGGTAGTACAGTACCAGGTGTGAAGCATCCAGGTCAATGCTATGAACGATGGGACACTTGAACCTGGGACTTACATGCTCCCCCTCAGCCCAGCCCCCCCACCAGTGGACCTTTTTGAGGGACCAGCACTCACCAACAGGGGCCAGCATAAACCTGTACTGTGCTCCACCCTGTCAAAAGCAATGGGTCGAGAAGGAGCCTTGAATTCCCATGCCAGTTGTTGCTTCATTGATCCACTGTTGCACAGCATCATGTGAGATTGGCTCACAGGGCTGTACAACACCATTAGCCCCCATCGCAGGGAAGATGTTGTCATCAGGGTCAAGTGGTTGTTGGTAGTGGACACATTCAAGCCAGTGTACCCAGAGTGGCAGCCATAGGAAGCAGTCGGCTCCTGGGAGCTCAGGCTGGGGGAAGATTTTATACCAGTTGCCTGCAGGGAAATGCATGCTCGGTTTGATGTCAGCTCACTCACAGCCTCATTGTGTGCATTACCAATGAGGTGATCAGGCTAATGGTGGACTCACTGTGCAGATCAGCCTCAGTCATCCCCTTGTCAACCTTGCACTGCCACCCCTTTCAGTTTGCTAGGTAGACCTCGAAGTAGACAGACCTGTTGGACAGCATCAGTAGCTCATTTCCAAGGTACTTTTCCAGTGTGTGGTCCACCATCATGCAGTCGATTGTGATGTGCCTCCACTTGAGTCAGATCAGCTCATAGCACCTGTGTGACCATGTGTATCTCTCAGATGGGGGTCACACAATATGCTCCACAATGGAGTCACCTCACTGACCTTGTCCATAGTGTCCATGCTGTGGATGCAAATGTGAGTTGCTTGAGGTGGTGTGTCACCAGTGTCCACACCTTGAGACCAAGAAGTTCTGACAGTGGCTGTTGTGCAGGCCCACTGCCAGGCATGCTGAAAGTCATTCAAAGGACACTCAAGGCAAAATCAAGGTCAGGGCACACCGTGCATGCCCACTGCAACATCTGATCCAAGTGATCCTGCATGATGGGCAGTGAGCACTTGCAATTGCCTGCTTCTGCACTTGCCTTGTGCTTGATCAAAGTCAGGATGTCTTGAACATCAGCTGATTCTGCTGGGTTCCCCTCCCAGCGCTGCCTTGCCTCATTGAACCCCCACTTGCCTCAAAAGGTATTTCTGTCCCTGTTAGATGGCAATGGCATGGTATCCACCAATGCCCAGTCAGTGGTCTGCACACCTGCTGGCTGTCTGAACACTGGGACAAAGGTCTGCTTACGCATTTGCCCAAACATCTTTGAATGCTGCCCTGATGCTCTCCACAGTGCTCTTGCCTAAATTCTCATGGAATCCCTTCCACATCATGTACAAGGCCAATGCCTTGTCAGAGCAGCTGTTTGGCATGCTCTCGAAGGCTGTTCTGAACTCTGGGTTGCTGTATGGGTCATTGGGCACCATGGGAGTCAGGGCTGGGCCAGCATCCTCAGGCTGGCTCTCCATTCTGGAGGCAGCAAAGCTGCTGAGCCACTCTCGACCTCAGTGGACATGTGCAGCATAGGCAGTTCTTGTTCTTGCTGCCTTGAGGTGCATCTGCTTCCCCTGCTCTTTCAGCTGGTTGATGTCCTTCAGAGACACAGCTGCAGCAGTGCTGGTGTTGACTGCAGGGGTCTGCCTCTTCCAACTCGACTTCTTCTGTGGTGACTGCAACACCACCAGAGCCTTCTTTGACTCTTGATTTTGACCCATCAGGTCAGATATATTTTCTGGGATAAGTCAGGGGTTTAGAAGGAGCTGCATCGCAGCTGGGCACTGAGCACTGAAGGCCAGAGCAGAGGTCACACCTGAAGGGTTCAAGTCAGGTAACTAGTTGCAGCCACACCACAGGCCCACACAACTATGGGGATGCATAGCACACTACACACATTACATGGATGAAATGGATAGTGAACATATGTACAACCAGTGCTGCCACTATGGTGTCTCCATCTTGTAATTCATAATTCAGTTGATCATGGGGCAGAGGCCCTTGAGCTTGGGGTGAAGCAGAAGGGGCTCACATGGAGATATTAAATATGTATATGCATGGGTCATTTGGCACCAACAAGGCATTTCCATTTCCATTTCCATGCACCTACAGGGGGTGATCAGTGTGTTGAGATGTCCAGCACAGATGTTTGACTCAGCCATCCTGTATTTGTTGAGGGCTCATGCCCAGATGGCAATCACAACCATACTGCACACAGGGGAACTGGAAGCAAGAGCAGCACAACTTGAGGACCCAAGCTCTTTGTGATGTATCTGAATGAGTCCACAGCAGCGTGACAAACAGCTTTCTTGTGGGCTTTCAAGAGATCCAATGACTTGAAGCAGATACCCATCCATTCTTGGGCTGGAATGAACTTGGCACCACAATCCATGATATGACCAATCAAGTTCATAGATGCCTCTTGGGCCTTCTCATGATGGCTACAAAGAATGGGGGTCATTTGAGGAACTATATGTTGGGTCAGACATTGAGTAATCAAGAGGTAATAAATACTTGCAAAGATCTTTCACCAGGGGGGGGGGGAGGTTCAATTGTGTCATACTGACTGCATTTGCAATAGCACCCTCAGCGGCAATGATACTACTGAGCATGCCAAGGTACTCCTCTCCAAGTTGTTTGAACAAGACAAGTCCAAGCTTGCTCAAAAGCTGGTCCTTGTCACATTGCTTGATGATGATGATAGTGGGTCACATGGTGAGATCAGCAGTCTGTTGACAAACTTTGGTGCTTTTGTTGTTCAATGCTGCCAGAGGATAGTAGAGACAATCTGTGTAAGGTACAGTTTGACACAGATACCCAGAGCATCAACAACAGTGCTGAACCCATCCAGCATGACTTGGCCTTCTGTAGTCTGCTCCTGGAAGGAGCATGTGATGCCATTGACCAGACAGACCTCCAAATGTTTGTCAATATCAGAGTCACTGAGAGTGGTGATGACTTTCATGATAGTCTCCATGACCATTTTACAGTATAGCTCTGCTTCATCTTTCAACTTGTTCATGATCCTCCCTGTGATCTTGGAGACCCCAGCTCTTTGCATCCATTTGACAATAGTTTCACCTGTCTAGTGCCATGCGATGGACCCAGAACGACTTGAAGAAGTCTGGAAGAACATTGTCACACACCAAAGGTGTTTGGTGAGGTGGACATGGATACAGCTGATAAATGGAGATGAAGACCATAGCCCTCATGTGAAGAAGGACAACCAGAAATGTCAGCAGTCATCCCTCACACAAGAACAAGTCATCAGTGCCAGAGAAAAAGAAAGGGAGTGAGTTAAGCACTGGCTAAAATTCTTAAGCACCCATGTACAGCATTCCAGTTTTCGACATATCTCTGCCATTTCTGCAGATACCAAGACCATTCCCACACTCACTTGTAGCGCTCAGCCACACAATCTTACCTTCCAAAATTGGAAAGGATTTGCACACTCCACACATTTCTACAGCACTCCCTCCAAAAGATGCTCATTTTGCTAACTTCTTCTGATATGGCTGCCTCTACATCAATCATTTCACTTGTCCCCTTTGCTAGGGACCATGGCTACATATATCTACCAGGAGTTCCTACCAGCTTCTGTCCTGAAGCATCCTGGTACATCCCACCCTCATCTGTGCCCTCTCAGCCCATCCAGCTTGGACAGTGTGTTCTTCTTGTCAGTATGACCTCTAGGAGGACGTTCTTTGGTCACCTCAGGTCTGTCATTCAGTTAGAAAGGTCTTAAGTGGTCATTTCAGTCTCTCCAGTCCAAGAAGCATATGGATCCTTCCTCCCTGCTCCCTGCAATGCCTTCATACCAGTCTTGTCCATCATTCTTCCAAGATTGCAACAGCTACAGTATAATCTACTGTTCCCCACTCTCCCTGATTGCATCCATGACAAGTATGATGCACATCTTGCCTCCTTGTTGCAAGATACAGCAGAAGACACTCCCCCTTCATCCTCTCTTCCAACAGAGCCTCATTCATGAAGTTTTTATTTGCTTCACTGAGAGGATGGTTTGGGGGGGAAAGTTGTGATCCCCTATGCTCCTGTCACCCCACAGACCCCCAAAGCTTGACCCCTGTTGACATCTGACTCACCCTGTCCACTTTTGGATGTACTATATCAGTATCAGATCAGTGCTGCCTCTCTGTCATCCCACCTTGGCCTAGAAGCAATCTCTTTGAGATGTGACATGCACAGCCTCCCCCTAATGTGGTTCCAGTGTGCTTTCTCAGTTCCTGACATCACTTGACTCATACTTTGATGTTCTGACTGTCTCTGACTCACCTATTGCCAATACTTACCAATCTTTTGACTTTGCTTACTGATTCTTCGCTTTTTGGCTTGCTAATCCTTACCAATGCTTACCAATACTTTCCAAGATGATTACCCATTGCTTACATTCCTTACTCACCAGTTACCAGTCACTTACCAAGTGTTTGCACCTTGTTTTCCAAGGGCAACACTCCTGTACTGTATATAAATCACTGTACTTAGATAGCAAAAAAAAAGAAGACATCAGAGAGCCCCTCTTGCTCGCATTTTATCATCTCTCAGTAATTCATTCAGCAGCTTTGATAGTTGAGACTTTATTAAGGGTCCAACTATCATCTACTTTGCTTATCCTTGTCTATCATCAATATACTTCGCTCCAAGCCCTCCCTGAGCTCAGTGCAGCTTAGGACATCGAATTAAGTCAACATCCATCCTTCTGTAGGCTGACAGCAGTCTACCCTATCGCATTCTCTCACATTCCTGCTTCTTCTTCATCAGGAGCACCCCCAACCCTCAGCACTCATCTTTGAGTGTTGTAGCTCACAAAAACCCTCCCAAAGAACAGGTTCTACCATCTAGGTACTGCATAGGCACACCACCACTCACTCTTTTTGTCTTTTGTGTTGGTTTTGGTTGGTTTTCACCACTGAACCACACTTTGACTCACACCATCCCTGTGGACCATGTCCTTTATCAACATGCATGCTTCCAGCACCATTACTTGGGACATTGGTCTTGCCACAATGGATGTGGCTCCTGTTTTACTCCAGCCCTCAAGGAACTGATGTCTCCATCACCACCGTCACCTGTTGCCCATCGAATGTGTTCCCACATCTACACTACTTGCCAACCCCTTTCTTCCCACCCATCTAACGTGCCAGGCCTGTCCTCAAGGGTCTGAGGACCTTAGAGGGGGGGTGATGTTATGCTTCTGTCAGGGGTCTTGCCTTTTTTGACTTCTCGCAGTCACATGTGTCACATGCCTCGTTGCATCCTTCATAATTGTCACCATCCTAGGGGTCTGGATGTTGAAAGGCTCCTTCAGATCTCCCATTGGCACAGTATTTCCAATACCTGTCAAAACTGTGCCTCCTCCTGATCCAGTGTTCCACTGCCCTCTCTGATGGACAATATGTTTCCTTCTTGATCCAATGAGTCTCTGACTCATTTCTGATGTTCACATGTTGTACTATAGTTCCAGTGTCTGGCTCCTCACTGCACATTGATTGCACAGCCAGTATAGCCTTCATCCCCATAGGTACCCCCATCATATGACACCATATGACTCCTCCTGACTTATGTATTTGACTGATTGTTCTGTTGATTACTGCAGATATGTGCTGTGTCATGACTGGTATGGTACTTGTACTTAGGGGTATATAAACCCACACTTTACCTTGTGTCCTCAGTTTTTCGATAGCTTGCAACTCAGCTAACTTCCTTCTCTTTTGTCCTCGTTCTCTCTCCATGTGACTACCCTAGCAGATCACCAGAAGACAGAACCTCTGACAGACCTCAGAGATAACTGAGCCATAGGGGTTACAACACGTTTGGCCCAAAGACTCCCCCTCGTGCACTTCATGCCTATTCCATTTGAAGAAGTCACTGCACTCAGGCATAACAATGAGAGGTGCTTACCTAAATGGCATGCTGAAAGAGGAAGTGTATATGAGGCAACCTGAAGGCTTCAGACACCTTTGGTCAGACCCTTGTGCATATGTCAGACAGACTGTGGAGCAAATAGAAATCATTACCATATGGGTAGATGACCTCCCATTCACAATAGCTCAGGGGCTCATGATATCCCTAAAAGCACAACTACAGGCTGTGCTCAAAGTTACTGACCTCAGAGACCCCAAGAAAATTGTTGGTATAGAAATCACATGAGACCATGCCAAAGGAACTTTGTTCATTGGGCAAACATGGGTACTGTAGGAAAAGAGAAATAACTGTGAGAAGACTGGATGATGCAGCTAGGATTCTGAAGGGATGAGTAAGGCCAGAGGGGCTTCTATAGCCTGAATGAGGGTGGAGGGGATGTCTGAGGGCTTCTATGGTTGTCTGGGTGCAGGGAAACAACCTGCTCAAACTCGTCTCTCATCCTAGGGTAACTTGTCTATTGTGTTGCAAGGAAAAAACTGTACACAAGTAGCACTATGCTGACTAAGCAACCAAAAATGTGAAATCTCAGTACAACTCATAGAAAAAAGTACCTAGAATGAAAATCAAGTAACACAAGCAAAATAAACCAATTCCCCTGATAGGGAAATTACATTCCCTACAGTACATAGATTCTATACTAAGGGCACAAGGACTTGAAGACACAAATAGTGTGAAAACACCTGCAGATATGAAAGTTCAGATGTTGATGTTTCCCAATCAGGAGAGAGAAGAAGAGTGTAACCAAAATAAATACACTTCCCTGATTGGATCTCTGATGTATGCTGCAGTTGCCACATAGCCAGATATCACCTTTGTTGCAAATAGACTAGCCTCATTCACTTCAAATCCAGACCTAAGACACCAGACCACAGCCAAACAAGCACTAAGGTACCTACAGGGAACAAAAGACTATGGAATAGTGTATAAAGCAATGGAAGGCAATACTGCTACCCAAATCTTTACAGGGTAGGTAGATGCAAGCTTTTCCAACACAGAAAACCAAGCATCTGTCACCAGTGGTGACTTTGGAAAGAGTTGATATTTATGAGGGAGCCAATAGGAATTAGTTCAAACTCCTACAGGACAAAAGATAGTACTAACTGGTACCTTGACAACAAGGGCTTTCTTATGTAATTTGGTTGACATGGCACCAAGATATAACCATTTTAAAATGACATGTCATTGGGACACTTTTTTGAGCATGATGTCGTCAGTCATTATTTAGTAAATAACATAAAGATTTGACAACTTCTGAGGGATTTTGTGCTTCAACCCTGACTGATTATGTAATGTACATAATCCTGAGCTATAAAAATGGCTTGGGTCCCACTCAGCTAACCCTACTTCACCATGAAATGCATTTTTGCCTCCACTAGAGCAAATATCCATCTTCTTTCTGAATCTGGCCATTCTGCTCACCAAATCTCCTCTACAACTGGTCAGGGGAGCTCTACTGTGGCCAGGGTCATCAAAGAGTTCCAGCTGGATTAAGGAAAACCTCAAACTAGAACATCCTTACCAACCTCCTTCTCCTGGCAGAGGAGAATATTCTCTAGTATGACCTCTGGAAGAGCTGAAAATGCTGTCTAGGCTACCCATATAATGTTTGTGGCCCTTGCCTCTCCTGTCACTTGCCAAACTGTTTGCAGTGTGCTCAATTCTGCATCCAAGAATATTCTCCTCTGCCAGGAGAAGAAGGTTGGTAAGGATGTTCTAGTTTGAGGTTTTCCTTAATCCAGCTGGAACTCTTTGATGACCCTGGCCACAGTAGAGCTCCCCTGACCAGTTGTAGAGGAGATTTGGTGAGCAGAATGGCCAGATTCAGAAAGAAGATGGATATTTGCTCTAGCAGAGGCAAAAATGCATTTCAGTCAGGGTTGAAGCACAAAATCCCTCAGAAGTTGTCAAATCTTTATGTTATTTACTAAATAATGACTGACGACATCATGCTCAAAAAAGTGTCCCAATGACATGTCATTTTAAAATGGTTATATCTTGGTGCTATGTCAACCAAATTACATAAGCAAGCCCTTGTTGTCAAGGTACTAGTTAGTACTATCTTTTGTCCTGTAGGAGTTTGAACTAATTCCTATTGGCTCCCTCATAAATCTCAACTCTTTCCAAAGTCACCCAACATTGGGACACTTTTTTGAGCCACCATACCCTTCATTTGTCATCCAGGAAGTTTTACCTGAAAATTCACAAGTCTCCATATGTCAGTTCCAATTCTGGTTACTGTACCTCCATAGTAGAATAAAAGCATGTATAGTACTCCATCATTCCTCAGTACAAATATCACCAAAGTTTCTACTCCATATCTCTTCTGTTTTCTGTCTGTTGGAGTTATCTCTAAACTTCTATTTGGTCTCTACTTCTGAAATACAAGGGCTGAGATCATGCAAGGGGGTAGTGCATGAGCTAAACCTGATGCCCTCACTCCATTCCACTTCTGCCTTAGCAGACTTCATTCCTGATGATCCTCTGCTAATCAGAGTTCCATTCAACTGTGTTGGACTTGCTTCTGTACCTCTCCCCAGACCTTAATAGGCATCAGAATTGGTCAGAGTAGGTCCAGACTTGACAAGAGACATACCAAAGAAATGGGTATGACTCTGGCTTGAGGGGGAGTGTTGGTATCATAGAGTAAATACTGGCAATTTCCAGCAGTCCTGAGCAGGTAGTAGAGCACAGTAGTATCTGGTAGATTGTTCTAGAAGATAAAACAAAGAGTATATAAGCCCACATACATGAGCAAATGGGTAATCAGTTTCACCAATAATCAACTACTCAAGTGAGCCCATAGCCAACAGTACACTCATACATAACTTGCAATGTATATGGTCTGGGTGATTAAGGATCAGTTCAATCAACCAAGCCTCTCCAGGAAGTGCAGATGTGTGGTATGGCTATATATTCTTAGGGATCTCTCCAGAGAGGAGATTGACCATTAGCTTGGTAAGAATCTGGATAGTGGCAAATTCTCTTGTATGAGCTCTCATGATCAATGCACTTCTTCATTGCCTACAGTTGAGCACTGAGCATTTGATCAGCAATGTGAGCATGATATGAGCATCACAGCTGGCAGTCAACTTTCAATTTCTGACCATTCTTACTAATCACCTAATATATCTCTGTAGAATTGTCAAAGAGTGTAGTGAGACTACATGAACATACCATACAGACTCTAACAAGCTATCACTGGCTGCACTTGAAGTGTTACAGATCCTCAAGTTTTCATTCAAGCAGGACCATCTCACATTTACAACAGAACTCATTTTCAACAAACAAGACCACTCAATTGCTGGACCTGTCTCCCCACTAGTTGTCAATGAGTTGATAAGTAGGGGGTATTTGGAAGAACTTAGCAGCTTTATGCAAACAAGGAGGATGCATACTAGTATTTACAGCTTAATATAACATGATTATGCTGAAATTTCGTAGCGTAGTGTTGTACGTGTGCACGTTGACTGACGATACAACATCGTTACATGTGGCTTGGCTAGCCAGCTGGGCCCGTGGCCCGCCGTCCGCCATTTGCCACCTCGTCGAACCCATCCAAACTCACCTTGACCTATCGAAGTCAAGTCAAATTGGTCCAATATTTTACCTCGGTCCACCTTGGTTAACCTCGTGGCAACACTAGGTTAAGACCAAGAGTGACAGTGACGATCGTGGACATGTCGATTTTGGGGGGGTGACCTTGGTATGTGGATAGCGAAGGAATGGAGGGATGGATTGATGTTGCTGAAACAATGGTGACGGCGAACGCTCCAACGATCCTGACAGCTTCAGGGAGTCAAGCTAGTACTCATTAGACAGGTCCTCTGAAAACATCTTCGTCATAAGGTGGTTTCAGAATTCAAGATTTGAGAGTTAGTAAGTTAGCAGAGTGAAAGGGCATTCGCAGGCAAAAGGCCTGGATCCACATCTATACTGCATTGACCACACACCAGAAACAGATCCAGACAGGTCACTCCCTGTTAAATTGTGTTTGATCGTGCTAGATGGTCGGGAGCTCCGTCATCTCGTGATTGTTGTACGACCGTGTCAACCACAACCGCAGGTGACACCTCAATATACGAATTACGCTTTAAAAAATAGCTATATAGGATCAAAGGTCACCTGAGTGGCCTACCCACAGAGGGGGTTCTAAATGGTAGTTAATTTGGCGAGCCAAACACACGCATGGTGCTGGGAAGACTTGGGCCAAGTAGGCGCAGGGGTCATCATTCGCTAGAGGGAGGTGTTGATGCGTGACGTCTCTTGTATTCTGCCGGTGTTTCACCCCCACCACCGGATTTCCACATACCTCGTCTTGCAGCTCTGTTAGAGAAACATGGGAAGTTGATCAACGTTAACAGATGTGACTGAGATGAGTTTCCCCTGCGGTCCGCGCGGGCATATACTCATCATGGACACCTCACCTTGCCTTGGCTTCAACACGAAGAAAAGCTTCTCGACTCCAGGGGCCATATTCAGCTCCTGCTTGCTCGTAAGTCGTAACAGTGCCGGCCCGCAGCATTTCTAGAGCGAGGGGACTGGCCCACCGTTTTCCAAGGAAGGAGGGCAGAAAACGCCGGGGTACGACAGGAACCGCGACCTACAGAATTGCATGGAAGGGGGCAGAATTTATCAGAGCTGGTTTGAGGTTAGCTCGGAAGATGAAAGATGTTAGTCTGGGATGAGCGAGCTGACTTACTACACGACCATACTGATCCTTTCGGACAAGTTGACAATAAACCGATCTGCCCTCGAGGCGATTTTTCAGCCACGAGAGGCTTTCTTCGGCGTGGGGTTGTGCAGGTCGACCAAAATGGCCACACTAAGGTACGTTGTAAGATCAGTTCGTCAGAGCACGCGATCATCAAGACACCCACCTCCGGGGCGTCTACGCCTGCAATACGGATATGGATTGTCTGATCTTTGAGATCTAAAATGCTCCCTATCACACGAACAGGAAATGGAAGACAAGAACGCAAACCTTTGGCCGATGACGGCACTCTTCTAAACCAGCGCCATCCAATGCCAGGCGTGTGGTATAATCGAAAGTTGTCCGCATCTCCCACACTGTCCACGTGTGAGTCAGACGGCCACAAATTTGTGCATGACCAGGAGTTCCATACCTCGTAACGATGCCTTTCACCCATCTTCTGCGAGTGATGATATCTGGCGTCACCCATTCTGCTGTCCTAATCCTCCTCAACCATCTATTCCATATGAAAACGCCACAAGCACCCGCGGCAATGCCTGTAATGAATGCTACCGCTACATACGGTGTCGTCAATAGCTCGGCATGGGGTATTGTGCTCTCCAGAGAATACAGAAAGGAAATGGGATCCGACCGACGCGTAGACTCTTCCACAGCGTGTTGTTCCACTTCACGACGTAGATCTGGCGAACCGGAAGCTGACGCCAGGGAGAGCGTTGATTCTTCTGCGGGTTTGACATTGTCTCCGGAAGATTTCCATGGCAGCTGGAAGACCATCGGTCATGGATAGGTATGTTGTGTGCGGAGGAGGCGGGCTCGGCTGTAGTCCTCAAGACCTCAAAAACGGCAAATATGGCAAGCAAATGCAAAGACTCCCAATTTGACTGACGTAACAACAAAAGCATAGCCGTATCCACTACAAGGGTATAAAGCCACTCAGCCGCATTGGCGCGGTGCTGGGGTCCGAATACATTATATACACCTGTTGAAGAGTGTCCGAATCTAACCCACGAATCCTGAGACATTTTTGGAACAATTTTTTGTCGATGGCAAAGTTCACTCGACTGGCAAGGTGTTGGCCCGCAACCAGGTCTTTGATCACCTCTGCGATAAGACGTTGTTTGTGAACGTTGATTAGAGGCTCGAGTTGCATAGAAGGTGGAAGTGGCGTCAAAGAATCGAAAACATCGGGGTGCGCGGGTGAATCGAAGCTGAAGGATTGTGAGTCCATACCCACGGGATCGTGAGGCGAGGTAGGATCGATTAAGTCAGGTAATTTGCTGTAACGACAGAGCTGGGACAGGTAAATGCCTATTGCACAACTATTAGCCAATGGCGAGTAAAGCGGGTCATAATTCCTTACCAATGAAAGGCACGCATGCAGATGGCATGTTTTCATTGGAGTGCTTCACCTTGGAGTGGGATTCCGAAGTGCTTCCACTCATGATGGTCGACGCGCGAGACCTAACGTCGATCGGCTTCGGGTCGACCATGGCCCTGACCGCTTGATGCATAGCCTTAAAATTATCTTCAGGCGTGACGAATTGACGGAGTTTCTGGAAGATTTGCATTTCCCAAGGTCCAACTCGGTGCCACTGACGATACATAGCCTTCTTGACCCACTCGCTAAGAAGCCCCGCCAGGATGGCTGCGACGGTATGGAAATTACTGTAGCTGTACGCTTTCTAGAAACTGACTTGAGCACAACAATAACGCGAAGAGGTAAGAGTCGACACGTACGATTGCAATACGAATGAACTTCGAGACGAGCGTGTGTCTCTCGCTGGGATGCGTCAAAATAACTTCGGAAATGACAAAGTTCGCCATCAAATTGAAGCGACCACGAACGGCCGCAAGCGCGCTTGTTTTGTGACTGAAACGCGACTCCGCTTTCCACCGCGCCCTGTCCTTAAGATACTGCGTCCAGTCAAGTACGTTTACCTCTTGACAAGACATCCAGTCATCGAGGATGAGCTCCTCAGGTTTGACACTCAAAAACAACTCTCGGTCAATCATGGAAAAGTGATGGACGAGGACGTCAGCCTTGAAACCTAGGATCCAGCATCGGTGCGATTTTCGTCCCGCAGGCGGTAGGAACTTGGGCGGAGGCGTGATAGGAGTTCCGTGTGAAGATGGCGATAACGGGGAGTCATGCGACGTGGATAGCCTTGAGGAGACACGACTCTGCAGTATCTCCAGAGGAACAGCATCTTCCACAGTAGGTTTTGCATCGTTCGTCTTCAGCGGCGAGGTGGAGCCAGAGTCCTCCATCATTGGTTCACTGGGAGGCGTCACGACTGGCTGAATTGACGTGCCTGCGACTGCAGAACCAAAATAATCATCCTGGGCTGCGGAAGGAACGACACGAGAGGGTGTGCCAGAGTTGGCGGTGTCATCAAGCTGTACGCTTTGTAAGACAGACCCAGTCTCGTGCTGATCGATAACGTAGTCACTCTCATCTTCGTCATCCTCGTCGTCCTCATCAAAGAAGCGCGGTTGTTCGTCACCAAAATCGCCAGCAGCCATACGTTCCTGGATAGCTCGAACCCACCCGTCTACCTTGATCGCCTTCTCTTTCCGTCGCTGAGGATTTATTTGGCCCTCGAGTCGCCGCAAAGCTGCTTCGACACCGCCGTCCTCGCCATCCTCGGTGAGGGAATCCACGATTGCGTTGACCTGCCACTGCTGAATGTTTTTTCCTAACCCCCCACCCATAGATACAGACGATACTGCAGAACTCTCTGAGGCCACAGAGTCGCGCGAACGTATGCCCATGGACGATACACTTTGTCCCGACCTGCGGACGAATTCGAAATCGCGCCTTAGAGGCAATTTCCGCGGCGCCTTGCGAAGAGCTGAGGGTCCGGAGGGGCTTTCAATATGAGCTTCGGTCGAAGAGTCCGACAAATCCAAGTCGTCAAGGGAGACGACGTCAAATTGCCATGGAGGCCGAGCTTTCACTCGGGCCACCACAGGGTTCACCTTCGACTCCGAAGTAAGCACAGAACCGAACGACTCGGTGGAGCGCGTAGTTATTGACGACCGAGATTCGGCCATGGAGATGACCCGGTTCCCCATGGTTGCGGTTTCGGTTCCTTCTTCCTCTTCTGCCACCTCCACCACCGAACGCAGCGATCGAGAAGACGGAGGTACGTCGATTTCAACAGGATTCTCTTCGGTCTGCTCCGGCAACGAACCACTGACTGTTGGCTCCTGTGAAGTCTTCAAGTCGACGTTGGGGTGAACTGGCGTTCTGGGAGGGTGAGGCTCGATCATCTTCAGATACTGCTCTACACCACCCCGTACTGTCAGCAAATCATTCGTGGCACTCATTTCCAGGTCGAATGCCGAAACATTGGCGGGGACCGCAATGCCCGTATCGACGGACTGACGCGAGTTCAGCACGCGCTTCCATCTGCCCAGTCGCCCAATCGTCTTCACGAATGCCCGGGACAGTGCACTATGGGAAGACGAAACAGGAGGAGGGTTGAGTGCGGCAAGGGTCTCGGTTACGGAAACCGATATACTCGCGCGGCTTTGCTGGAGAATATTCCTCTGCAGAGGCTGTTGCAGAAGTGCAGCTGAGGCAGAGGGGATGGCACCTGTTCGGGAGGATGCGCCTCCCGCAGCACCGAAGCTGAAAGCGTTACCAGACTCGCCGTTGCCAAGATACACCGACATGCGGTCGTCGAGAACGAAGTCGAGGTCAACATCGGAATCATCTTGGTTCTTGGAAATAGCTTCAGCGAACTTTTCTCCGAGGAGATGCGTCGGACGCGGTTTAGGTGTGTTTGTCAGGCTCTTGCGAGCCGACTCCAAACCGCGCTGTCTCCGTGTGTGTGCCTCCTTGCAATCTTTGACAACTTTGATCAACTTCCGGACGATGCTCTGCAAACGGTTCAACCAAACTGTGGAACGGGCAACCAAATGAAGATGACTCACCAAGCCATCTTGGTGCTTCTGCAACACCGGATCACGTACCAGAGTATTCAACCAACTAGCGAGTAGAAGCCTTAGTTCTCGATTGGGAAGAAAGTCCATCACGAAGAAGGTCAACAACCAATATCTAATTGCCACAAACGTTCGCACTCTCACAATCTTGCGCACGTGATCATCTTCCTTTGTTGCATGACCGCTCAGGCTCCAATGAAAACGACAGATGAGCAAATGGCAAAGGTCAACGGCAGATATGTACGTCCGGTATGTCAGGAAGAAGTTGAGTAGTTCGTCGTAGTTAAGCTCAGAAGTCAATTGGGCGATCCATCGCTCAATTGTGGCAGCGATGATCACCCTGCGACTGCCAGATTTGCAAGCAAGATCGTCGGTAGAAACGTTTAATTTAGGGACGTCTCCAGATTTTCCGCGGCGAGAGGCTGAGGGAGATGACACTCCTGTACGGCTACCCTGCGACACGGACGTGTCGTCGCCATCGGAATCAGGGGTTTGATGGACTTCTCCCCACAACACAAACCGAGGGTCGTCCCGAGGGGCCGCATCGTCATCGGACCGAAGCGACATTTTGATGGTCGTTTCTCCGGCTGAATCTGGAGAAAGTCTGTCGAGAAGAGGAAGCCCCCGATACGTTTGCAGGACGTCGAAAACTTCAGCAGAAGTAACGCGAATGCATGCACGTCTCGGGGAGTGGTGCAAGAGTTGGGTCGGGGGGTGGAATGTCAGAGTCATCACCAAATTGTGGAACTGCAATGCGAGTAGTAGGAAATAGGTCATCGGGAGAATCAGGGGCTGGTGCCTCTACAATGGAATCTGGGGTGTCGGCACGTTTTGGAGTGTCCCCGGCCCGAGCGGTTAGACAGGATTCAAATGATTGCATTTCACGAAGAGCCCGAGGTAATGGAAGGAAGAAGGCAGGAGAGCGCCGCGAAGGTGCGTCAAAAGAAACCCCAGGACCGAATGGGTAAGGAATGTATCCGCCATCAGAAGTACAACATCTGGTGTGGGGAGAAGGTATCGCCGATCCATCGGACCATTGCATGGCCTCGGCAAAGATATCACTTGTGTACGACGCTGTTACATCTAGGGCCAGCTTCGGCAACGGGCATACGGCGAGGCATGTCTGCGCCTGTGACGCTGTAGGAGTGAGTGCGACCGGTTGGCGTGGGCTGTCTGGAGGGTCCGGCACTTCCAGAAGAAGCAGCTACGCCGAACATGTCGGGAATGGAACGAGTTCTTCTCAAAAGTTTGCGACCCGACGAGCTCGCGTCCTGCGCTTGACCAAGCTTCAAGGTCGACCCGCTCTTGAGTTTGTTCTGAGAGAGAATGTTGTGTACGCTCAAACGCGACCGACCCCTGAGCGAACGAGTATGAGACACGTCTATGGAGGACGAGACCTTCGACTCTGCCTCTGCGGCTGGCGCGGTGGCATCACGACGGCTAAGTCATGAGACCATTACGTCAGTGATGACACACGGCAAACTAAGTTGTAAACTAACCCCACGCGGTACATCTGCTTCCCATGCTGGTTTATGAATGCAGTGATTGCGTACGGAGACCGTATGTCTTTACCAACGCCAACGTAATGGTCATACCTTCTTTTGAGTTCTCGCGCGGCGGGACCAGAGGAGGTTTCGACGAAGCTTCCGTCGGCTGGAGACAAAAGCCAGAGAACCAGAATTTCGTCAGTAAAATGCATGAGAAGCATTCTCCCCCTCTCTTCAGCGCCGGTATTATGCCGTCCTCCAAGCATGCCCAAGAGTTCCAAACTCGGCATGGCATGGACGAGTCATACTACAAAGAGCGGAGAATGCAATGAAAGACACTGGTACACCACAGAGATGCCCTTGGCGATACTTTGAACATAAGCGAACTTACGCGCTATGGATATATCTGCGTTCAGGACTTCGGGTGGGAGAGAAGTCCAGTCATCATTGTCGGTCGGAACAAATGCGCGTGAAAATGGAAAGGGTGACTGTGATTGATTGGTAGAAGGTGTAGGGATGGGAAGGAGTATATGAGAAGGAGAGAGTTGTTCCACAGTGGTGGCGGCGGTAGATGGAAGTGAAGAAGTGGACTGGTCGGGCGGTGTTTCGGTTGTGGTTGTGACAGTAGGATGATCTATAGGAAGTACAGTTGCAGAGTCTGGATTAGATGCCACCGGGGTTGCTGGAGAGGCATCTTGCTGGTCGTGAGAGGTCATGTCGGACATCGTGGATGAGTGATTTTAGTAGGCGGATCTCATGCGGGCGAAGAATGATAAGTGTCTTTAAGTAAAAAACCGATCTGCATGAACTTGTCGATACTCTTCGAAACAAAACATGGAGACTTGCCTTGTCTTGTCTTGGATTCGGTCGGTCGGTGGACTGCGATGTCACCAGCGGACAGTCCAGTCCCACGTCCACTGCAGACCCACGTGACCACACCTGTACATACCCCCCGTCTCAGATCACATTAACACATTACTGACACAGACATGTCGATAGTCACGATCAGAGTGCGTAGGTCTGCTCTTGTTCGCGTGCTTCTCATGTCTGTTCTCCGCCGGTGCAGAACGTCGAGTGGTTCAACAACCCCGCCCGCTTCCTGGACCCATACAAGTTTCGCGTCACCTTCGAATGCATAGCACCCTTGAAAGACGGTTAGACACCCCACCATGCACGTCGAGAGAGAGAGAGAGAGAGACGAACTGATCTTCTAATAGACTTGGAGTGGAGGCTTATATACGTGTCCTCTCCCGGTGACGAAGCCCTCGATCAAGAACTCGACGACTGTCTCGTCGGTCCTGTCCCCGTCGGTGTCAACTCGTTCGACTTCGAGGGCACACCTCCAAATTCCTCCAAGATACCCCCGGACGACGTCCTCGGTGTCTCAGCTCTGATTCTCACTGGATCCTATAAGGACCAAGAATTCGTGCGCGTCGGTTACTACCAAAATACTGAATATGATAACGACGAGATGAAAGAGAACCCGCCCAACCCAATCATTTTCGAAAGACTTGTCAGAGATATACATACAAAAGCCCGCGTGACTCGCTTCCAAATCAAATGGTTCGCCCTCCAGTTTCATTTGGGCGAGGCGCGACTATTGACTCTTGCTCAAAGGGATGTAGCACCACTGCAACATGCAAGGCCCACAGCAGCTGGAGCCGCTGCTTCTGCTGCAGTTCCCTCTGCAGATGACCTGGATACTCCAGATGACGCAGGCGCTGACCTCAGCCAGAAGCCAAACGGCGCATCGTCATAGCCCCGGTCCACCTTATAAGTGTATCTCATATGCCAGTGTTTTCCTTAGGACGTTCATGTTGGCGAATGCTGAGAGGCATGTATTCAGTACCAGTTCAAGATACCGTCATCTGTATCGCAAGGCCTTTGTATGCCCGAGTTCGAGCAGGTCCCATGTCCCAAAGCATAATGGACGCCGATCACTCACAGCTGTCACCTAGCCACAGAAGCGGGATCATCCCTCTTGAGGTATAAGTCTAATTTGCATTTCTGTGCGGAATTCCTACGCTCTCGAAGGTATGTGCTACCATCAAAGATCGTCCATTTCGCTGGAATCCGAGACCGTGCGTCGTTCAACTATCGAAATTCTTCATGAGTACATCCGTACATTGACTGAATAACAAACATGTGTGGTAGCTTGGCCTTCTATGTATTCATACGTACGCATATAATGACACAATTACCCAAGTGTTTTGCTCTTGTACAGGAGAACATATGCCGAGGAATCCTCGCCTTCCAAACCAGGCCATATGTCAGTACAATTTAAATGCAAAAGGCTCGAGTAACTCACCTCCGCCATCAATCGTTCCCAACTTCTCCTTGGGGAAGATTGACACCTTGTCATCGTCAAACTTATACCAATCCTCGTCATCCTCGTCGAAGCCCTTGTCAGGAGTAGTCGCGGAGCCATTTACAGAACTTCCGCCATGGAACACGCTCTTCTTGACAAAGCCCATGTAGTGGCCAGCGTCTGCCTGTGCGCCTTTGTGGGTCACAATAGCTGGAGACACGTACTGCTGAGAATACGACAGGGAAAAAGCGAAGAGATTAGACACACCCACGAGGTCATACAAGCCTGTCACACTGCATCCGAAATCCTCTTTCAACGATGGGTCTACCAAACCCTCTAATTCCGTCAGTTCTCGTGAACGATACACGTCTTCCTCTTCAAGCTCTCCTGGCGCTGCAGTTGACGCTGATGCTTGGGGTTCGTCGACATTCATGTCTGATTGAGAAGTGTTCGGGGCTGGAGTAGAAGCCTGCACCACCTTGGTCCGCTTACGGACCTTCCTCCGTTCTGTGCGTTCCTTCTCAATTTCTTTCAGCCTCCGGGAAACGGGCGTAAGTTTCTGCGCAAGTTCCGGGGTCGCTATATCGAGAGCATCGAACTCCGTCATGAACTTCACTTTGCGCTACAAGCTCTTACGTTAATCTCAAAACAGGCAAGTTCATAGACAACTAACCATAATCTTCGTTTTCTTCCCTATATCACGACGCCATGCGAAGCGAACCACATGTACGCTAAGGTAACTTGGCAGGCGGGACATTCGAGAAGTTTGAGTATACATGGCCGCACGCATCAGGGAAGATGAATTCTTCTCGACTTTCTGGTTCAAGGCCTGGATACATCCATCACACGTTAGCATATCGTGAACGGGGTTTGGTAAGTCCAACACGAACATCCATGATGCCGGTATGCATGTAATTTGTCGTGTTTGATATGTTGCACTCAATCTTAAGGACCCGTTCAGTGGAGACAGTCGGTGGCTCATTTTCATCTTCATCACATTTGAGTCTATACCAACATTATCGCGGTTTTCCCAAAGAAAAAACGAAGAAATACATACTCTCTACGCATTTCTCCTGTCATGAACTGATCTACGAATTTCTTCCCAGATACAGAGGAGCCGTCAGCACCAATGCCAGGCACTTCTTTGAGTGCATTCGTCATTTGCGTCCAACATTCCTCCGCATCTGCTTAGGGAATGAATAAATTGTTTCATTGGCCGAAAGCTGAGATGAAAACCGACCCTGCTGCGCATAGCCTGGCATCATACCCGCCTTCGATCTATCCAGCTCCCCGAACTGAGGCACCACCCGACGAAGCTCGGTCAAAAACGAGATGGGAACTACGCTTTCCGTGGTATTCGACATGTTGTTGTACAAGTCACGCAACGCCTTCGGTAGGACGTCTAATGGGGATGACCTATTTCGCAGAGGTAGCAGTCAGGATATATGCGCGTTAGACGCAGCATGGAACTGAACGTACGTGCCAAGGGCTATTCGGAGCTCCGGTATCGCCCGCATTGCTTGTACAGTCGCGTTCATGTAACAAGTATTACCAAGACTTTAAATGATCAGGGACGTGTCTGGGTTAGTTGGCGCAAATACCCACTTCTTTAGTCCTACAGGCAGTGCGAGCTGTGAGCACAGTCAGTGAAAACGCTGTTCCATAGCACAGTAACCCTACCGCCTGCGCTAACTCTGATTCGTCCATGTCTGGTAGGTATAACGTCTATCAGTTTCGAGGATGACGCGTATATCACTTGACGTACCTTCGAGGAAAACTACGGGCTTTTCGGGCGGCTTGGGAAGTTCACCTGCAGCACCGATCATCATGAATGTTTGACCCTAAGAGAGAAGTAAGAAGGAAAAATCAGTATTCGCCATTACCATGCCACGGGTCCCTGGCAACGCACGGCTTTGGGTGCTACTTTCTTCCAGTCCGTGTCGTCCTTCCAAGGAAACGCATAAGTTTAGGATCATAGTGGGGGGTGTCAAATGCACATACCTTGAGAACACCACCTTTGACCATCACTTTCATTCTGTCAAGAGGCACACCGGTAACCTGGTATACTGCCTCCTTGAACGCGGTAGGAGGCAGATCGGGATCGAGCTCGACATCGTGCACCTTTCCAGCATGCTTGATGTGCACTGCGAGCGGTGCCATGTTTGGTGTTCGGTTTCTATGTAAACGAGACCCGGTAATAGTCCTAATAAGCAGTTCGGTGGGTGCGCCCTTTTGTATCTTTCTGATCAGAGGCGGATGATCTGACGCGTCGAGTCGCGATCTACGGCGATGGGAAAACATTAGATAAGCATGGCAATGGCTATGTGTGTGACGTCACGCCTCACGTGCACGAGATATACATGCAGCTGACCACGTCTGCAGGTACTCCAGCGCATTCCTTCCACCTCATTTGTACCGAAGATCACTCCAACGATGACCATCTAGTAAGACTATTATCATGATATTAGAAAGTGCTTTCTAACCGTCTACCGCTCAGCTATTCCTTGACGTTCCTGCTTCTTGCGGCGGAGGTGCGTTGCGCAGTCTACTTGGTCTGGCACGACACTTCATGGTATCATCGCTTCGCAGATGGTGACGTTCTGTATCCTGGTGTTCCCCCTTCCATATACAATCAGGAAGAAAGTGTTCCGCTTCTTGTCTGAGAGCCCTATAGTGGCAAAGATCGCATATGCCCTCAAGATATCCTTCATGTATGTACATACATCATGTTCGCCACATATATCCCGTATTACTTCCGACTTTGCTAAAACTCATTCCCCCACAGCTTCGTTGGAATTCTCTTCATGGACGCTCTCCAACGAATGTTCCGGGTCACCGAAGAAGCAGAAATGTTCAAGAAAGGCCAAGCGATGCAAGACGTAAGAGCCGAGTCCTCTGTTGCAGCTCGCAAGTTCTAGTACGCCGCCTTTTGCCAAACACGTGTTCATGGGCGTTTCTGATTACGTGCTTCTCTTCGATGAATGCAGCGCCCAGAGGAATATGTATCTCACAGGATTCTGCCTCTTCCTTTCGCTCGTGTTGACGCGCACGTTCTACATCATTCTGGACCTGATCCACGCACAGGAGGAATATGCAAAGCTGAAAAAAGCGGCAAGTTTTCCTTGAATATGACTACAATCTTTCGTATTATTGATGCATTTCCCTTGCGTATGCAGACTGCAAACTCCTCCAAGAGCACCGCCGTCCTTGAAGAACAATCCAAACAGATTGACGATTTGAAGAAGAAATTAGCAGAGAGTGAGACACGGTCTCGTGATTTTGGTTAGTAATGCAATCGACATTGCCAGCGCCGTTCCCATTGATAAATTTACTCCCCTGTAGAAACCTTGAAGAAGCAGGCAGCTCAACAGGCCGCTGAATACGACCGTCTCGCGACAGAATTCAACAAGTCGAATGGTCTGGTGTCGGACAAAAAGGCTGACTAGGCGGACGGATATTTCGTTTGGGATTGTAAACTGTGATTAGTGTCTGAATTTCTTGCTCCCCAACGGCCTTTATTCCCTCATTGCTGTGAACTCCTTCGTTTCCCAACGGTTACCGTTGTTCGTCGATCATCCGTATCCTCGTGTAAGCTAGGTATAACGTGATATCTAATATGCTTTGGGTCTCATGAATCACTGTCCAAATCCACCAAAGCCTCATCTCCCGAATGCACATTGTCGGGACTTTAGAGTATGTCTCCATTCGTCGATATCCTCTGCCTTCCCCAGCATAAAAGCTGGAACGGACACACCTGATCGAACCTTCGGACCGGGTCGCGGACCGAGGTCTATGTTCTTCCTGGTTGACTGGACTGCAGTCAATGCATCTATCTGTTATGAAGGCACAGTAAGAGTTGGGGTGGGGGATTTCTATCGTGTCCCGATTTTGACGTACCTTCTTCTGCAAGCAAGGATCATCCCCCCGCTTTCCAACTTTAGCAGCGGGATCAAATCCAAGCTGTTTTATTATGCTCGCCGAGTATGCTTGCTTCACAGATGAAGACGAAACTTCTGCAACCGACGTGTTCACCTCGTCACCTGTTGATAATAGGTCTCGCGCCTTCTGTTTGCCCTTGTCAACTTTCCCTTTGGATGTTGCCTTGGACGACTTGGACATCTGGGCAGCGTATTCCCGGGCTTTTGTGACTGCCTTCATGCCCTCCTTGTCCCGCTCCAGTAGTGTCTTGAGTTCCCGGTCAGCATTCTTCTCCAACTGACGCTTCGCCCTGGCTTGTGCCTCACGGCCCAATCTTTCCGAGACAAACAAATTACCCGCTGACCCGCCGACTACATGACCAGATACGACATAAGTTGAATCATTTGAAGTCGGCTCAGGTTTCAAACCCCATTGACGGGATGGGTCGTAATCCCCTTTACGTTTCCGCGCTGCAGAGGTTGACATGCCCGACGTTCTGCACGCAAAATTGTAATTATAATATCTCGTAAATCAATAGTGACTCACCCTACAAAAAATTCTGCACGACCTGCACGTTGTCTCTGAACAGCATTTGTCAAGTGCCAGTCGCACACCTCGCTCACGCGCTTGTCGGTCCAGCTTCCACAAACGGTCCCATCGCGCTTCGTGACTTTGCACATGCCAAGGTCCCTCGCACGTCCAATAAATGCGATGGAACCTGCAGATTCCGGAGTAACAGCAAGAATGTTGTTTGTCGGATGAGGATTGTCGTCAGAGCGCTAGCCCAAGAGTCAGTATGAATGGAAGGCTGCAACTCTGCCCGGAGAGGGTTACCTGATATGGTTTCAATACCCTGGGGTTCAAGATTGCGATCACATCCCCTTCTTTGAGCTTTGACATGGCCTCGTACGCCCCTCTACTGCCACCTTTGTATATCTTGCGTTCCGTCCCATCATCTTGCTTGACCTTATCGAAACCATCCGATTCAAACAACAGCAACGACAAAAATGCGTCCCCTCGTAGAGTTGCCTTTCCCCCCGTTGCCGAAGATCTAGAACGGGCTCCAAAGTCTATCAGCTTCATATTCACGTACTTTTTCCCGTGAGGCTTGGGTGGGTGATTTTGTTTCTTGGTCAGCCTTTCACGGGGCTCTAATGCACTACTAGTTCCGTTGTCCGAAGCATGACCGTCATCCCCAGGTTCGGCACTGACGGGTGCACGGCTGACGCGAACCGGCCCGCGTTCAGCGACTACAGCAATCGTCACCCAGTCACCCTCCACCGGAACATCATACCCTGATTTGTTTGGGAGGAGGCGAATGCAGGAATATAGGCGAGACGGAGAAAGGTAGTAACGGCCGCGGAGATATTCCTGGAGGTCTTCATGCGAAAGTGACCTCGTGCTGTGGTCGACCAGGGACACCCGGCGTTAAATTATGCCGGATGGAGAGTTGACTACTAAGTACGTACGAAAGACGGATGCCGGAATTGGGCTCGAAGTGGTCGAAAAGAGGGTCGTCCGGTGGTGCTTTGTGATCCATAGGGCCCATCCGCAGTTCCTCCACAATCGCGAGACTGTCATCCCTTTCGGGTACAGAGTGGGAGGACTCATGAGAAACCTCGTGGACGGGTTGCCTCGCCACGGTCACATCGGATCGAGGTTGGGGCTTCTCAGATAGACTAGAGGATCGGTTATATAAAGGTGTTGACTGTTCACCAGACTGGTTGCGGAGATTTGAAAGTTTCTGAAGGACGTTTGACGGTGGAGGCTTCAAGTGTTGGGGGACTACAGGCGGTGGCGCAAATGTATGGCTGGTCGTATTGGCCTGTTCGTTTGATTCCTGTGGCCGTGGATTGCTCACACTCCCTTTGGAGGCCAGCTTACGTCCTGGATCCGACCCGTGTCCAAGTCGCCTTTTCTTCCCTATCACCAAAGCTGACTTGATATCATCTCAACACAAGACACGTAATACTCACTGGGAGATGGCGTAGACGGTGCAAGCAAAACGGATCCAGTGCGTTTTCGCTCGGGCGACAGCAAGACGCTGTCACTGGGAAGATCTGTCAGTTCAGCTTGCAAGGCTTTGATCTGCCTGCGAATCTCGAGCCGCCGCTGACGCTCTGCTTCGGCTCTCTGTGTGGACGACTCCATCTTAATAATTGTGGGTCCCTTCCGACCTGTGATGCACCCTCACGGCTATGTGACGGAGTGCCTTTGTTGGCTCAGCGCGATGGAGACGTAGTAGACACGCCTTTGGGCTTATAATATTATTAGACGCGTTGTTTGGTGGTCGTACGTAATTCCGATTCGCACGGGAAGTTCGTATGTACACAACCATCGCGAGTACCCCTAACATGCACAGTTTGGTCGTTCCAGGGCTGAAAGAAACACAATAATGATGGAGACTGTGAGCATGCGGATCAGCCCGACAGCCTACACGCTGTTGCCTCCCTGCGTGATGTGACTGTGAAACAAGAGTATTGCAATTGCTGACGTAAACAAGTTGTCTCTGGCCAATGAGCTCTTGAGAAACGAGATCTGTCCGCGACGATTATTAACACGTGACTTGCCTTGCCCAACAGGGCTGAGCCGAGTCGAAACTTCGAAATCAAGGGTGCTCAGAGGGCATGGTCTATCTTAGGGAAAACAAAACCAGCGTCTGGAAGGTTCCTTGGCAACGGTGATCACTTTCCGAGGGAGTAAAAATGGAAAGTACCACTAGTGGTTGGAACGTTGGCCGACCAGCAGTTGGCGCTGAGTGGGTATCAATCATCCAGGCCCGTTCTTCGGGATGTACCGCGCGACTTTATGCCAACTATAATATTCTCGGTGCCTGCTGGAGTCTTTTAATACCGGACTACTGTGCCACAGCACACACCTCTGCTTCCTGGCCCTTCCCTCTTTCTTAGTTCCGAACTTTTGTTCTTCCCTTTCAATTTATCCCCGATGTCCGACGACATGCCACTTCCCCCTCTAAACATTCGCGAGTTTGCTATAGATATAGCACATCGTTTGTCGTCATTACGGGATTTCTTAGAGGCGGCGGAGCATCTTATGAAACATAACAATTTATTCACTGACGCCGTCGTCAAACACCACGGTAGGAAGGTAGGGATAGTTTTGCCACTACGTCATGAAAACACTTCTCACCGACGGATGTCGTCAGTTACTTGCCATAGTCGAGGTATGTGATGTTTCCACCCCCCGCTGGTGGCTCTCGACCGCAGTATAACCAAGGTAATTTCAAGGTGGCACGGATGACTCTCACTCAAGTCGGCCTCAAGCTTCACCTATTTACGTCGTGCTCAGCCGAGTATCAGCCATTCAAATCTGCTTATTTTAAAATGCTTGTCCTTCTGCGACAACATCGGGAGGAGTTCCCGGCCGAACTTTTAGGTAGCTTAATTCATAAACAGCCTTCCGAAGTGTTCGTCCTAATAACTCCTTGCAGAACGAGTAGATAGACTGCTTCTGCCGCTCACCACCCGCTTGGTCATTTGTCACAACAGCGATCCCTATGCACAACTTGGCATAGCGGAGTCAATGAGGAACTTCGCCACTGCTCAGGCGAAGCGCACTGCACCTGTGCTACAAACGCCAACCGATCAGCACAGGCGTACGCCACCGTGGCCAATCAATAATATTGCCGCATCGATGCCTCGTAGGTTATACATATTATGGACCAGGGGGCGACCAAGTTGACACTGTACAGCACCGGATGCTTTCCCTTCGAAACCCTCCCCTCACGAAGAAAAGCACTGCCGGCAATCAAAGAAGAAGACTCGATTGAATTCTGGTCACTCTCGACCTGTCCACCGACAGCATCCTTCCCACCCGCCTCCCGACCCTGACCCATCCGGCGGTGATGATGCAACGAGTACGCCTAGAGTTTTCACACGCACCCCTCGACACTTTGGAATTTTTTGCACCGGAAAACCTCAGTCCCAACAATCTTGGAAACGCACATGCTGAACGTCCCCATGTCTCAATCACAATCATCTACCCCATCTGTCTCTCTGGCTCTCGTTGTTACTTACATTTTATTTGGATCTCTCTAAAGCAAAGGGGGACGTCTAGTTGCTGTACGAATGGGAGAATTGGCTTGCATTTTTTGCTCTGTAAAGTATCGCACCATTTTTGTTGCACGGCATAGTGCTACAATGTATTATATACGACATGAAATTATACGAGTCATACAGTGGAATCAGTCAACGAAGAGACCACCAGATGCCCCAGATTGAGGCCGTTCAGGGTAACTGCCAGGCAACCGATCCGCGTGTACGGCCCGCAATTCCTCCCTCCAGCCCTCGAACTTTTCTAGAAGGCTAGTCGCTTCCTCGGAGTACCCGGTCGCCTTTTGCTCGCTTCCAATTATCTGAATTAAGTTGTCCAATGAATTTTCCAGCTTCTGAAGGGCATCCTCGAAAAGATAGGGATTCCCGATAATACAGGAAGTGCCGGGCTCGTTCCCTGAACCTGGAATGGAGCCAGCTGGTGCGGCTATCAGAAAAATGAGCTGGGGTCGTTCCGACATCGTAATGGGAAATTACCGTGCAGGCTGGATTTTGGATAAACCTGTGCGTGATTACAGTCCGTTAGTTGTGACATATATAAAAAAGCGAAGTGGATGCACCTGTCCGGGGTTAACAGCAGAAGGTGAAGGGGGTAATCCTCCACCCTCCTGACCTGGAAATTTGGCGTCTGCTGCAGAGGGAAAGTATGCTAGTCAGCGAGGTGGTAACTTCCATCTTCACCGTGCACGATGTCCTACCTTCACCAAGCATGATTGGTATGCTGCTTGATGGTAGTTAAAAAATATTTGGAACGGGAGAGGAATGGGACACGACGATCTAGTAAAATGTCATCCGCGGAGCTCCATGAAATATGACGTATTCTGCCCAGATGCTGCCTGTGGAGCACCAGTATTTGCCATGTCGCAGGAGAGATCTAGCAGAGAGGCAGTTTTGCGTATCTGCCTGGATTTTTCATCTGGAGCGTTTTCGCCCTCGCATAGCGACGTTCCCACCTCATTCGACTGGTAAAGCGATGCCAAATGCTAACGAGCCCCCTAATCTAGTCATGATTGAAGCAGGTCAAGTAACCCCCTGAGGAGAGGTTTCCTTATCCGATCAGTGCTCCGTGACGCTTTGGAAGATTTGACTCGCTTGAACGATCATATCGTCTATCATATCTCCAACTTCACACGTCGGTCACAGACAGACAACCGACGAAAAAATGTCAGACGAGGAAACACTGCAAAAGCGCCACGACGATTCAGAGTCAGAAGACTCAGAGGACGAGGTCGAAGATATTCCACAGATTGACGTTGATCCTTCAACTCTGACACCTCTTTCGCCTGAGGTTATCTCGAAACAGGTGCGTTTGATGAGTGGGCAGGAGGTGTGTTCGGATGTAGTAACTGAGACCTGTATGTTGTTCAGGCGACAATCAACCTTGGTAATTGTTATCCTCAGACCCCGGTGGTGTTGGTGTTGATCAGAAAACGCGTGCTATTTGCAGGTACCATAGGGCACGTAGCTCACGGAAAATCAACTGTCGTAAAAGCTATATCAGGCGTGCAAACGGTTCGATTCAAGAACGAGCTCGTCCGTAATATCACCATCAAGCTTGGTTATGCTAACGCTAAAGTAAGTTTCAATCCCTCCCAGCCATTTCGTCAATTCAGACCGACTCCCATGCATCGGTTAGATCTATAAATGTGAAAACCCAGCGTGCCCACGTCCAGGATGCTATAGATCATACCGTTCAGATAAAGAGGATAATCCACCATGCGAACGACCAGGCTGCGGACACCGCATGAAACTCATACGCCACGTATCGTTCGTCGATTGTCCAGGACACGACATTCTGATGGCTACCATGCTTAACGGTGCGGCAGTCATGGATGCGGCGCTGCTACTGGTTGCCGGCAACGAAACATGTCCTCAGCCTCAGACCTCGGAACACTTGGCGGCAGTGGAGATAATGAAGCTGGAGAATATAATTATCCTCCAGAACAAAGTCGACCTAATTAAACAGGAACAGGCCCTTGAGCACCAGAAGAGCATCGCCGCTTTCGTTAAAGGTTTTTATTTTATTTTTTCCCGTCGAACGTTCCACGGCCGCTGATCAGGCACAACCCCTCTAGGCACTGTCGCAGAATCGTCGCCAATAGTCCCCATCTCTGCTCAGCTCAAATACAACATCGACGCAGTGAACGAATACATCGTTAAAAAGATACCAATTCCTGTCCGCGACTTTACCTCGGATCCGAGGCTCATCGTCATTCGATCATTTGATGTCAACAAGCCCGGTGCGGAAGTGGATGAACTAAAGGGAGGAGTAGCGGGAGGATCGATTCTTACGGGTATCCTACGTGTCGGGCAGGAGGTTGAAATTCGACCGGGAATCGTTACAAAAGACAGTGCTGGACGGAATCGTTGCAAGCCCATTTTCAGCAGAATCGTATCGTTGCATGCGGAGAACAATCATTTATCGTTTGCTGTACCGGGTGGTCTCATTGGTGTCGGAACGAAGATTGACCCTACACTTTGCCGTGCCGATCGTTTGGTGGGACAGGTTTTGGGCGCAGTTGGCAAGCTGCCCAAAGTGTATACCGGTAGGCGCACTGTTCCCTCTTGTGATTGAACACCCAAATGTTATTTACGATGAGCAAAAATCAGAGTTGGAAATTAGTTTGTTCTTACTCCGCCGACTACTCGGTGTCAGGACAGAAGACAAGAAACAAACTAAAGTCTCCAAACTCGCGAAAAACGAACTTCTGCTCATTAATATCGGATCAACGTCGACAGGTGGCCGTGTATTAAGTGTTAAGGCGGATCTTGCGAAGATCCAGCTTACATCGCCAGCCTGTACCGAGATCGGCGAGAAGGTCGCACTATCGCGTCGTATCGAGAAGCATTGGCGACTAGTTGGTGAGTATCGTCCACGTGCAGCCCTTGAAGTATTGACGTTGCTCTTGTGTAGGATGGGGAAGTGTGCAGCGTGGCACGGTCTTAGAACTGGACTGATCTAGAGGTTCATACATCTGCTGTATCCCAGTGCATTTGTTTCTGTACCTTGTAGCATCACCAACGATGAACTCATTTGACACAATAACCACGGGACAGCACTTGCGGTATGTGATGGGTTATATCAAACTACGGAGTGTGTGTATGGACCGCGAACAGACAATCACGACTTGAAGGAGAGTAGGCCAATCGAGAATGCAACAAAATCACGAATAAACAGATGGGTTAATGAGGTCCAACTCCTGAACGTCAACGTCCTCAAAAGACCTATTTTTCACTCGACGACTCTCAAGTTCGCGCTTGGTGAGCCAAAGGTGTAGCAGATGAACACAGTCCTTTGCCTAAATTGCGCCTTAAAAAAGCCGTCAACAATACGATGGAAAGCTGGCCTACCATCACGAAAACTCCCAAACCCAATGAATTCCTCCACCTGTTAGTGGCGTTAGCTCACATCACTAATTCGCTGTTATCCAGATGGGTGAACTGACCAAACCGGGTCACATTCAGCCCATGTCATGGTTCCCCTCCATGCAACGGTCAAACCTAGGTACCCCACATAGCTGATTCGCTTCAGCAAGCTCATTTCGGACCACGCCTTACCATTAAATAGAGATCGCGGTATCGCGGGGGGTACCACTCCAGTGGGAAGCGGTGGTCGTACCGCGAGTATCTTCCGTAATATTCTCGAGTGCATCGATAGGCGAAGCAACAGCGACCCCATGAAGCTGGATATACGGGGAATGATAAGTGCACCGCCGATTAGTCGACCCAATGAAGTCCCAGAAACGCGGATGGTATTCTCTGCTGCTGCAACAGCGTCTCCGGCGGGTGCGTTTGCTTCGTTATCGTTGTTTGCATCAAGCCCTTGTTGGCCCGGCGGCTGTCCATTCACATTGGCCTGTCCAATTGGCACATCTTCCTCCACATTAGCATTCACTCTAATCCGGAGAAACGGTTCGTCGTCGTTGCCGTTGAGGACACGCTGCATGTCCTGGCCGTGAGGGGTGTTCGAGTTGAGCAGCCACCGAGTGAAGTTGCCAAGCATGCGCTTGTAGGCCTGCCGAACTGCTGGGAATACAAAAAGACCAAGGATCATCGGCGGTGGTGGCCAGCGCGGGAGGGGATGCAAGAATTCTCGTGGGTCAGTGCGAAGGAATGGATTTCGCCAGCCGTCAAGGATGATGCTGTTATTCGCGCGAATAGGAGCAGACGTTGGCCATGCGAGCAGAACTGGAACGAGTGGTGTAATTGAGGACTTGGTTGGAAGTCTAGACATGATAAGAGAGAGTGGAATGAGCGGGAGATTGATAAAACTGTGCCAGGGCCATCTAGCGGGATCATCTGACAGTAGTATGTCGAACATCCTTGTTGAAGCTTAGTCAGTCTGGCCCACACATCAGAGAAACTTGCAATAACGAACTCGGGTCCCAGAAACTCCCGAAGAGCGTAGGCGCCATACGTGGTACAGAGAATATACATGCCTGGAAACAGATGTCAGCCATTCATTACCATTCCAAACAACCACAGTGAAAATCACCCGTGCCAATAGAGACCACGACTACGGTGAAACTTGCGACAGTGACAATCTTTCCTATCGCAGAGAGACCCTTGTTGGCTGCATCCAGAAGACGTAAAATGATGGGATTGTTGCTCTCTAGCACATAAGGCGAGCTACATTGAGGACACTTGAGAGCATTTGGCGCACGGGACCGAGTCTGCTGGGAGGACTGGATCCATTGAAGGAGACACGATTCGTGTGCGACCAGTGTACATCTGCACGGGTGTGTCCATGCTCGCGGCGGGTTCTCAGGTGCTGAACAGTTGCGAGACATGAATTTTGTGAGCGAGATACGTGACTCAACAGACCTACCATCGTACCGTTCTTCTTCCCTGCAGATATAACAAAGCTTAACCTGAGGAAGGTATCAATACCAAAAGCATGCATGTCTAGAGAGACAGCGATACCCTGAGGTCATCGATAGTTGGTACCCGTCGTTGTGCCATGATTGTCAAGTAGATACATTGACCACACGGCGCCAATATTTCCGCTTCCGGCCCCGGCACAGCCACAGCTCACTTACGAGCTGCAGTAGTGTCGATTCTACAGCAGGTTAGCGAAAATACGAATGAATACACCCTCCCTCCCGGCACTCCAGGACGCAGTGATGTGATTTTTTTCTCGTGCTCATCAAGGATCACAATCTTCCGCATTACAATTACAGTATTTATGGTGTTTGTGGACCATGCGGATAACGAGAACCGTGTTGACGAAGATATGCATACTCTATACTAATCTCGCCCCCATCTGCGGGGACGTCTCGCACCAAACGAGACACTGAATCGCTATGATATGGTCGTCACTTTCAGTCGACAAAGTATAACCGGGAGTTATTAAAATCTCAAAAACAAACCACAGAAACCATCGAAAATCACCTTATCACGTCTCGCTTCAACGAAAACTTGATCACACGGAAACCAAACCAAATATCTCAAAAATAGGGAGAAACTACTGTAAACAATCTTTGTCATGCGAATGCATTGCCAATCATTACGTCTGGACGTGCTCAGGACCGGCGGACCGGAACGGAGGAGCGTTACTCAAAGGTCCTCACTCCAGGACTTACTTACGCGTCCTGGGATAATACTGCGTTGTAGTGTTTATGCTAATCGGTAAGCCAGCTCCAAATTATAAATATCTAGAATTACATCAAGGAATATCCTGAGGGCCCTCGTTGAGATGTCTGCACATGATGTTTTCTTGTTGTGGCTGCCTAGCGCCGAAGCTGGGTCTCATGCGTCCTGTTTCGACTCGAGGGGGTTATTTCAAGCGCCCCGTTTTCTCTCTGCCAGACACATAATCCCCACCATCCGAAGAGCCGTCCTGTAGTCTCGGATTCCCAGGCGGTATGTGCAATGATCTGCGGCTTGCCCACTGCTGTTGATCTAGCGTTGATAGGTTGAACTTTTCCCTCGCCTCTTAGGAAGATGCGACTGTTAGATATAAGCGCCGTTCTTAACAGGGAAAGGGACATCCAAGGAGCCGACCCCGAAATCGAAGTCCTGAAGGAACTTGATGATAAGAGGACAAGTTATGCTATACTTTCACATCGTTGGGGAACTGAGGTCACTTACAAGGAGATGACCGGGCTCGTTACAATGAACGCACGAAGAAGGGAAAATGTCAGGGAGCGCGATGGCTACCAGAAGATCATTAGGAGCTGCGAACAGGCGCAGAACGACGGTTATAGGTGGTTGTGGATCGATACATGTTGCATCGACAAGCGGAGCAGTGCGGAACTCTCGGAGGCAATCAACTCGATGTACCGGTGGTACCGCAACTCGCAGAAGTGCTACATCTACCTCAACGATGTCGATGAGTTAGCCTTTCCTACTGAACAAGACTTCGGGAAGTTTGGGAGGACCAATGGTTGGCCGGAGTGGTTTTCGCGAGGCTGGACACTCCAGGAGCTTATCGCTCCGAGGACATCCGAGTTCTTTAACAAGAGATGGGTGTCCATAGGCACCAAAGAGGACGTGACATCCACCTTGGAGCAGATCACAGGAATTCCATGCGATGTTCTGAGGTTTGGCCTGGACCCGCGGCATCGACCCAATGTTGCCCAAATGATGTCTTGGGCCGCTCACCGGAAGACGACGCGAGTGGAAGATCGAGCGTATTCGCTGTTGGGCTTGTTCGGCGTGAACATGCCGATGTTGTATGGAGAGGGCTCGAAAGCTTTCCAGCGTTTGCAGCTGGAAATAATGCGAGTAACAAGTGATCACAGTATATTTGCGTGGAATCGAAAGGGACGGTTCGGGTGGTACAGAAGTGTCCTTGCAGATGACCCGAGCTGTTTTCGGGGACGTCAGGACATGAAAAGACTGGAACCCCCGGAGTTCGTCGATGAACTAAAGGAGTACATGCGTAAAAGCGGACTCGACGTTGACGCAGACCACGACAACCTGGAACCATTGCAGCGCGGTGCACACTCTCGTCGACTTTATAGATTTGATGTCACCAATCTCGGCATCCAAGTCTGGTTGCCAGTCATACCCGATCGCCGCGGCCCTCATCACTTCAAAGCCATATTGCCATGTCTCGACCGTCATGGAAACCTCATCACCATCGAGCTGGAATCTCGCGGACTTAGCTCTGCCAGGTGTTTGAACCGTGCATGGATTCCCGACACTTGGCCAGAGTTTACACTACTTTATCTCGACTGCTTTCAAGACGTCGAGGAGCAGCACTGGGATCTTATGCTCTATGACAGGCACGCCTTGTGGCATGGTTTCACCCGCTGTGGCACCTTCCCGGAGAAGATCGCAGGCGATACAGTCACATTTTCATCCCAAGGAGACACTCTCATCGTTCTAGTCTATGCCAATGACAATGCCAGATCTCGCTTTGCAGTTGGATTGGGATACTACCTTGGTAGATTACGGGCGCGCATCGTCTGTGATCGATACTCTGCAGATCAACGGGTCTGGTCATCGTGGGCAAGCTTTGCTAACCATGTATATGATTTCCTGTGGAATACAACTGTCGACGGCTCCTATTTTCGCAGCTCTTCCATCGCTATTAAGGACGCTCACCTTCCTCGATCCATTTGGGATGCAAGGGTTGTCTGTCGTACCAGCAATAGTGGTTCCACAGACGTGATGATTGATGTCGAGCCATGCCCTGGTTGTCGTACCGGGCCACTTAAATACATGCCTGTTAGTACACTCTCCCCATGTGCATTCGGATCTAACCATCCATCAAACCATAGTTGGACTGTGAACTATGGCTCCCGTGGAGACGAGATACTCCGGATAGGTTTAGATTAAGATTGGATGACGAGCTTGCTTGGTTTGACAAGTGTTCTGGTCCGGAGATTTTGGTGAGTTGTGACAGTTATGTGTGGGCTGGTAGCGAGCCTGACACAAATAGCTGGGCGATTATGGCGACTCACCCAAACATTACAATTTCAAACGTCGCGGGAACATATTCGAAGATTTGCAGAAACTTGGTATCGATCCCACGAATTCGGTTTGTCGGCCAGTTGTCTCTCGTGTATCCAGCTGCAAAGATATGGTTCGTCGCATGCGGGCTCAGCACGATGTTGCTGTGGCATCTACAGGTCAGGATAAAAGCTGGGTGCTGCATCAACCAAGGGGTCACTCGCTTCCGAATAATGAAGAATTCGAGCTACTGCTGAAAGCCTTGTCCACCAATCTTGCAGGCAACCATCTCGTGACAACAGTGATACAGTGTTCAGAGTTCTATGAAGTGGATCGTGAAGGCAGGCGAATAGACGTGGGAGGTTGTGAGTTTTCCCAAAGGATGGTTCCTACTTTAATGTTGACCCTGGCCCCTCAGCATCAGATATTCGGTCCGCAAACCCAGACGCCTTCGGTGCCCTGTGCACAATTGCAATTCCACTAGCTTGGCATAAAGAACCGGCTTGTAAACGGAGAAAGGAACAATTCCGGAATATTAGGTGATCTCTTGGTAGATCATGTTGTGGAACATATCTGATACTAAGTTCGGAATGTAGGGAGCACTTTTATGTCTTAGCGAACCTGGTAAGTCACTACATCAGCTAAGCTGCGAGCGTTTGTTTATTTGACTAATCCGTTATCCAGCATCACCTTGCGGGCACCGAATCTCGTCTCCGGTCTACGGTATGTTGGAAAACTGCGTGAAGTCCTCAAACACACCCTCATGATGGTATCAGGACAAACGGAAGCTGGGTAGAGTGGTCGACTTCTCAGTCATGTTCGGTTTAGAGCACTTGAAAAATTTCGTGCGTGTTCGCTGTGTAATATCTCAGCCTGTTCATACTGTCGAAATGTAGGTTGGGGAGGTAACGTTCTTCGAAAGGCTTCCCTCGATAATGGAAACTCGGCTACACAACGGTGGTTCTGTAGGCACTGGAGGTCAGTATAGCACACCGAACGTGTTCGTCGGAAACTTATCACAGCGTAGGGAGTGGTTTGCCGGCTCACTCATTCAATCTGTTACTTGTCAGTTCGGTGGTGACACGGAATCTATTTGATTGCTGACTTGAGGTAATGCAGAATGCACGCCGTGAAGTTGTGGTTCCCCGTTTGCTCGAAAAGTGCAACGTCCTTGGCCAACAGACTGGACGGTCGGTACTTCGCGTAATGCGAAACGCGCAGGACGAGGTAGCATCGATATCCCAAACTCTTAGCGCCGGGGTAGGTGTTGCTATCAGCTAAAATGAACCTGAGTGCCCATTCTAGACACAAAAAGTTACTCGAACACATTCGCACCACCCTCCTTGATGTGTGTGAGGGCAAGCCGTGAGGACTTATTTTTCCTCATTCTTCGTCTACATTCTACTATTATTTGTGTCCTAGTTCCAGGCGAACAGATCAAATAGGCCACACTGATCACGATGCGGTTGGTGTGAACCTCTGACGCTCAGTAGCCTAATTTCTGGACACTGCAGACAGGCTAATGCCCGTTCCACGGTACAAGAGATCGTGACGCTCCAGATGACACTGCAAGGAGCAGAGGACGAAGATGAAAAGCGAGCGCTAGAGGAAGATATAACAGGAAAGGCGAGGATATCCTCTTTAAGTCATAACCTCTTGAAGCTGACTATTCGTTCGTTAAAGATTCTGTGGCTGCTGTTGGCATGCAGTCTTTTCAGAAGTGGACCAACTATTAAGCAAATGTAAGTCAATGCTCGTCTCCAGTTACGTTGTTTGACACGGTTCAGGTCGTGGAGTCCGTTCAAAAGAAACAGTATTCAGATACTCTGCGTCAGGGTTTCCGTGAGGTTGCAGAGATTATCAAGGGAGCCCCGCGTATACACCCAGATGATGATATAGCTCACTTGCAGCAGTAAGCGACGACGCCGGGCCCACAGTGTTGATGTACTAAATTATTGAATAACCGTTGTTCTAGAATCATGCTTGATGCAGGTGCAGGAATATCGAGGCACGAATTATGGCTTGCCGCCCGAGCTGGGGAGAAAGCCAGGTTTTCAAGAGTTGTGGGAGGCAAACCCATACTCGGCACCGCAAGCCCTAAAGTGCCTTCCACATCAATTATTCAGCAACCACTGGCCACTGGCAAGACGAGGGAAAGGAGACGCTAACTTCGCCTGAGTATGTTCAACCTGTAGACAAGGATTGTGATGTTGATGGCTGGTCCTAGGTTCTAGTTTCGCTATTGCGAACGTACATATGTACAGAAGATTTTGACATGGTGTGTTGCAAGGGGTTGATTCCCCGCTCAATATCAAAGCCTCCCACCTATCCACTTTACTGTTGCCAGGAAGAGCAGGCGGTACGCCACAGTTGGAGGCTGTCTTCCAAGCGATTGACGTGTCGATCCACTCGTAGCTGTTAGTCGAAACATAAGATTCATCAGAGGGACAGGGAATGACGGAACCGCGGTCACGACCAGTCAGTGACGGGTTTAAACAGATCTAAACCATTTATTCGCTTCCTGATCCCTTGGTTGGGGCAAGGAACACGATCACACTCATGCAATCGAAGAATGGCACATATGACATGTTCATGAGTAATCATGGGTAGTTAATATGAACTGAACGCCCAGCTCACCGACGCTCGTACCTTCAAGATCGTACGTGATCCCTTCCCTTCCCTGATCTGATAAGCTGGCGCGATGACATACCACGGTAAACATGTACTCCTAGACACCTACACTACATAGGTGGGCCAGAACGACATTGTAGCCCGAAGGTTTATAATCCCACAAACGATGTGGTCGATGTCATTTAAGAAGCTTTATATATTGAGGTTTCTTGGGTGTTAGCGTGCAGTAACATCGTGACTTCGGAATGATGTTCACTTGATTACATAATCAATTGGAGCGTATACCTTTCCCTTCCGAAGTGGCTTGCTCACTATCTGACTTGTATCCATTATTTCTAATTTTCCCTTCCTGCCGCCACCCTCTCATCCAAACGGCATGCACTTCTCTGAAGTGATGATGATCAGTAGATTTCCTGCGAACTGGGCCTGCACCGGATGACACCGTCACATGAGTTTGATCCTCTGCCAAAGAATTCAATACTCTTCGAACAACAGGTCATATGATCCACACCCGCCGTGGTTTGATTGATGTGGAAAAGCAGGTCTGCCGAATGTCTCCACAGCTGTAAGTGTCACGCCGATGTATACTATCTATCGCACAGGAACCCAGGGTTGGAACCTTTATTTATTTATTTCCATGTCTGTATTAAGCAGAGATGAATGGCGGGCGCTCGAGGATATAGCAGGAAAGGTAAGTATATCCCAAGGTCAAGTAACTTCTAAATGCTGATTGTTTGTTCGTCGTAGATCCTGTGGTTCTATTCGCGTGAAATCTGCTCAGAAGTGGACCAACTATTAGCGAAGGTAAGCTATCACTCGTGTTCGTAAATGTTTTTGTCACATGGGTTCAGGTCGTGGATTACATCAAGGGCGAAACCCTGGCAATGTAGGTGTGCCAGAGATCGTAGAGGCTATTAAGAGAATTTTGCCTATAAACCCGAGGGACGACACGGCTCATTTGCACCGGTAGGCTACTTCATGAGTCACTCTGGTTGTAGCATTGCTACTTATGAATTGCTGGATATCTATCCATTATTCCAGGATGATGCTTGATGCACGCGCAGGTATATCGAGACATGTATTATGGCTCGCTGCCCGAGCTGCAGGGCAAGCCAGGTTATTAAAGGTTTTTGGAAAGCCACACTCAGCACCCGGAAGGTTGCTTCAAGTACAAGCCATGAAGCGCTGCCTTTACATTTGGGTGAACATTGCACACTTGAGGTTGGCAAGGAAACTTTGACTTCGCCTGAGTATGTTCAACCTGTGAATCGTGAGATTATTGATTCACATCATATATTCAAGCCGCACAATAACCTCTCATGCTGAGTTGAGGCCGTCCCAGATGTTAAATATATCTATCCTGGTTGTCAATCCACCCACTCTATCCACCTCGCATCTCGGCTCAAGATTCGGGCCGGCCAGTTCGGGCTGTCACAATATCGCCATACCAAAAGGACTGACTACTCGTGTCCCACATGGACTATATTAGCCCGGATACCAGAAGTACGTATTGCGTGACTTACGGACAACTATCTACCACTTACGGGAGGGCTCTAGGTCCTATCACGTGGCCAATTCGAAAGGCGAGAGCAAGCACACAAAAACACCGACAACTCTGCCGAGCTCAAAGTTGACGTTGAAATATTGTTTGAACTAAAAACTTTCCGGAGTCGGGGATCGGCGCTCGCGCCGCCATAAATTAGGGGCCGTCCATGTGGTACTTCCCAGGTCGTTTTACTCTCGAGGACCATGTCAAGTGCGGGGTACCTGGACGGAAAAGACACTGTCACCTCAGTCGACCACGTTGAAAATGCTCAGAGTGTGCCAGGTATTACAAATTACAGGCTCTATAAGCGGCGATTTTCAGGGTTATTAGGCTTCGTCAGTCTCTTCTATTGGTCGTGTTCTTCTTACTGGCTCAACTTCATCCCGGTTCTGTCAGATTATACTCGGAATCGTCACTGGGATGCAATGGTCATGGTTCGGACCTATTGCAACTGACAGTGAGCCCCACCGGAATCACTCCACTTGCGCAAGTTGATGCCGTCTCCGTCAGCTGCCAATGAGTTTGATATCTCATTGGCTCAGGTTAACTGGCTTGGAAACATGGCACTTTGCGTATCCCTTCCTGCTTCATTCCTTGTGCCTGTCATTGCTTCCCGCTATGGCATACGGCGATGCGTGCGCGGTTTTCCATTTATTCGGTTTATTTGCCTCCAGTCTCATTATTGTATCCTTCCAGTCAGAAATTGGGGGAGTCATGTTACTCATCTCTGCTTGGGTCCGCTATGCGGGCACTATTCGTTCATTATCTCCACACTCTGCCTATGTTCTCCTCTTTTTCGGCCAGGTTGGTCACTTCTATTCAATGAACTATTCTGTGCCCTGTCACGCTCTGAGTTCCACTATCATAGCTCTTCGGTGCCATCTCGAAACCAGTATTCCCGATATTAGGGCCGGTGTTTTCGGAGAGGTGGTTTGATCTCAAAAGTCGCACCACGGCAACGATGGCCATTGCTATCGGTAGGCCAGCTTCACTTGCTCCTAAGGTCCGTCTAATCTTGGCGCCTAGCTGGTCCGATTGGGTCGGCACTCGGCCAACTTCTCTCCCCTTCCATGAGCACGGTACGACAATCGGTTAGTTGATGTATTGAGGAATATTGCTTGGTTACTCACCTCCTGATTGAAATAGATCGTTGTACTCAGTATTATATCCACTGCAGCGCTTCCAGCTGTCCTTCTCATCCTCGATTGGCCCCCTTCACCACCTAGTAAGTCCGAGAGCGTGCCCCCAATCATACCACACTGACGCTGGCCCGCAGCTTACTCAGGCTCTAAACAACCTCTGTCTTTTACCTCTCTGTTCCGTGCCACGCTAGGTCTTGCAGTTTCCAAAGAGGCGTATATGTCGCGTCGTGAACGTATTGATTTTGTGATCTTGACGCTTGTCTTTGGCAGCTTAGATGGTGCAATCAACGTATTGAGCGTCCTATCAGCTCAGTGGTTTGTATGTGTCTTCTCATCCCTGTTTCTGAGTCTGCCTTAACTTCTATCCATTTGATCTATGTGACACAACTCACGTTCAGCAACCCGTCGGTTATTCAGATACCACATGTGGCCTTCTGGGTGCGACCTTGTTCCTGTCCGGAATTACTGCAGCTGTATTCTCTGCGCCGTTATTTGACCGCGTGTTTACGCATAGTATGGGAGTGACGTTCAAGACCCTTGTTCCTATCGTGTCTTTATTGTGGTTATCGCTGATCTGGGCTGGTAAGTGAAGTGACCCACATTTAATCGCCAGGTGCTTTTTTCTGACCTTCCGAGACACAGCCAAACCAAACAATGCTGCAGCTCTTTTTGTTTCCATGGCCGTCATTGGGAGTTGCTGTATGACCATACTGCCACTGGCAATAGAACTTGGGATTGAACTGACAAGAAATGCAAATGGAAGCTCTGCCATCTTGTGGTGTTCGTAAGTATGCTGGCCTCTTTCGCTTCAAGAGCTGTTTCGCTGATGACTTCGATAGCGGAAATTTGTTTGGTATCATATTAATCCTGGGTAAGTTTCTGCTATCCATGTACATTGAATAGCATGCACTAATATCTGCATTCATTGACGCACTCCTCGCAGTCGAAGGTGCTCTCCGCGCTCCGTCGACTGCCGATCCGCCTTACAACATGCGTGACTGCACTCATCCTCCATGGGTGTGTGGTCATGGTGTTCAGCTCGTTAATCTTTTTCCTCCGTGCTAAGCAGGCCCGACGTGAAGTCGATGAAGCCATGATAAAGGCTACAGTCCTGGGTGCTGTCAATACCGGTGGAGTTAGGTTGGTCTTACAAGACGAGCGTGCCAATATTTGGAGATGTCGGTTGACCCCACGAATATAACGGAGGACAAACAAATACATCACATTCCTTGACTTATTTTTGCAGACTTGTGTAGGCCGTTAGAGTAGGTCTAAATTGCACAAGTGCTTAGTGTGTTATGCGCGAGCCAATTTCCTAAGTGCCCACTTCATACCATGGCAAAAACTTCTCTTCGACTTTGCAAGTATTGCACGGCTTCCACCTCCATCTCCGCCTCCCGAGAAACTTCGCTGATTGTAGTGACAAACATTTCACCAACGTCAATTAATTCTGCCTCATACATTTAACTCGTATAAACTCTAGCTCGATGTCCCAAGCAGCAGAAGCTGGATGTGACTGTCCAGCTTACGATTTAGCCTTTCTGGTGAAATCAGGTCTGACCGTGCTAGTGCGGGAGACGATGACACGGCAGAGCCGAGCTAGGTGTCTCGGACCGGTTTCGTACGATTACTGTATGCCGTGAGGTTACTGGGAGCATTTCCCTGTTTTCTTCTCAGCATGCGCCGACAATGTGTGGGAGTGACATGTATGTTGCCTTGCAGAAAGGTCTCTCGAACACCTTTCCGATGCATTTAACACCTGGTTTTCGTCATCATTCTCATAGTTCTCAGTGGAAAGGATTAAGATAATGACCTGGACCAATTAAGCGGAACTTCATGCCGGGGGCGGTACATCAGAATACACTATTGGCCTTGTTAGCTCCTCGAAAATAAAATTGTAACTTGACCTGGACGCACAGTAGCCAACTAACCCAAGAGGTTTGTTTAGGTATGGTCGATGAAGGTGCGTGTCTACATCTGTTTACATAAGTGTAGGGAGAATGTATCTCGGAAGCTACATTTACCGGTTTGGCGGTCGAAAATCCGGATAAGGGGTTTTTATAGCCCCCTCCTTCTTTGGGCATCAGGATAGAGGAAACTACGTACTTCTAGTCTTCCCTCGAATTGAAAAGTAAATCAGGCACTACTAGTCACTTTAGACCTTCGACGTGATCGCTCGCATGTCGAAAGATGGTCCCCTCAAAGCGAATGCTGTGGGGCCTAGGAGCTCTTTCCAAAGTATTAGACTTGCAAGAGTCCGTCAGCATACAGCCCAATAGATTTGAGTCATTGACAGTCATGATGAGGGGAAGGTGTTTGCAGCAGAAGTTTTTCCTGTGAAATTTAAATCCCTCGGTATGTGCGAGGATGCACGTTGTGAACGTCCAATTTATTGTTTCTGCCTTCCGTGACAGGGCACTTGTCTCCCCACTTCCGGGTACCGTGCTAGGGGGCTTGCTCGAACGTTCGGTCCCTTATGAGCGGGAGGGACCTAGGACTGAGTGCAGGTAGTTCGCCTAGTTTTGGGACGCTTCGATGCTTCCAGTTGTTGCGCTGGCTGGTGGGTTTGTGGAGGCCCACCACCACATTGTCAGTTCCTGAAGTTGTTACAACCGAACAGCTGGAAGCCTAGGTGTTGCGGCACTGCAGGAAGGAAAAGAACGGAACAAAAGGAATAACGAGTGGGCGACAAGGTGAAGTGAAGGAGCCCCTTGGATGGTGGTAGCGAGTTTACGTAAGAGGAAACCGATGTCTGCGCTATGCCAGCATCCGCTTCCCGAGCGTGTTCACTCAGGGCAGAGACGACTCGCCCTCGATAATACCCGTCAGTGTTATGTGAGTGCAAATGAGGAGGATGGATATTAATATTCATAACTAATTCGACCGATGATGTGACATTATTGTTGTTAGCATGATCTCACTGACTAGTACATAGGCCGGACTGTACACCATACCGTACCTAAATGGTCCATTATTTGTTAACATCTCGGTTCAACTTTGCGGCAACTACACTCAGGACTCTGCCATGTTCTAATAGAAGTGTGGTGGATCCGAATAATCATGGGGTGGGACCGGGGCGAACACCACCTTAAATTGAAGTTTGATGAGTCGTATCCCTCAGCTTGTTCCTCTGCTCAAGGACCATGTCAAATGTGGGGCACCCAGATAGGAAGGAAACTGACACCTCAGCTGACCACGTTGAAAATGCCGAAGGGTACAGGCTCTATAAGCGACGATTTTCAGGATTGTTAGGTTTCGTCAGTCCCATTTTTTGGTGGCAGACTTGCTGACTGAACTTCATGTCGCAATTTTCTGCCAGGTTATACTCGCAGTCGTCACTGGGATGCAGTGGTCATGGTTTGGACCTATTGCAACCCTCAGTGAGCACCACCGGAATCATTCCACTTTCGCAATTTGACACCATCACTTCAGCTGCCGAAGAGTTCAATATCTCATTAACTCAGGTTAATTGGCTTGGAAACATAACACTCTGTGCATCCTTTCCTGCTTCATTCCTTGTGCCTGTCGTTTTCTCCCGCTATGGCATGCGGCGATGCGTGCGCAATTCTCCGCTTGTTTGCTTTATCTTCCTCTTTACCTCATTATTTCGCTTCCAGTCAGAAATGGGAGGTGTTATGTTACTCCTCTCTGCTTGGGTCCGCTACGCGAGCACCATTCGTTCACTATCTCCACAGTCTGCATATGTTCTCCTCTTCTTCGGCCAGGTTTGCCATCTCGATCCAATGCCCTTGCATGCTCTGAGTTCCACATTTATAGCTCTTCGGTGCTGTTTCAAGACCAGTGTTTCAAGTACTTGGGCCGTCGTTTTCAGAGAGGTGGTTTGACCTCAGAAGTCGCACTACTGCGACAATGGTCATTGCTATTGGTAGGTTAGAATCGCTACCTGCCATTATCCAACTAACATCTTGACGCCTAGCCAGCATAATTGGGTCTGCACTTGGCCAATTTCTTCCACCTCTCATGAGCACAGTACGACAATCGGTTGGCTAATTGCTGGACATTGGATTATTGCTCAGTTACTCACCCTTCTGATCGAAATAGATTCTCGTGCTCGCCATTATATCCACTGCAGCGCTTCCAGCTATCCTTCTCATCCTTGAATCCCCCCCCTCACCACCAAGTAAGCTCGAGAGCGTGCGCTCACTCATACAACACTGATGCTACCCCACAGCTTACTTTGGTTCCAAGCAACCATTATCTTTCATCTCTCTCTGCCGTGCTATGCTCGGTCTTTCGGTCTCCAAGGAGGCATATATGTCGCATCGTGAACGTATTGACTTTGTGATCTTGACACTTGTCTTCGGTGTCTTAGATGGTGTGATCAATGCATTGGGCATCTTCTCAGCTCAGTGGTTCGTACGTGTCTTCTAATCCTTCTTTTGACTCTCCATTTGACCGAGGTGATGCAACTTGCCCTTGTTTAGCAACCCGTCGGTTATTCAGACACTACATGTGGTCTCCTGGGTGCGACGTTGGCATTGTCTGGAATCCCTGCAACTGTGATATCTGCCCCGTTATTTGATCGCGTGTTCTCAGGAATTATGGGAGCGACATTCAAGACCCTTGTTCTTCTTGTGTCTTTGGCATGGTTATTACTGATCTGGGCTGGTGCGTGACGGTCTTGCATGACTTTAGTATTCCCACGTTTTATTGTTGGATACATTTTCTGACCTGCGGAGTCACAGTTAAACCAAACAACGCTACAGCCCTTTATGTTCTCATGGTCATCATCGGGAACTGCTGTACGATCATTCTGCCGTTGGCGTTGGAACTTGGCGTTGAGTTGACAAGGAATGCAAATGGAAGTTCGGCTATCCTGTGGTCCTCGTAAGTATCTAACCTCTTCGATTTGAAAGATCGTCTTCCTGATGACCTTCGATAGCGGAAATCTATTTGGTATCGTGCTAATTCTCGGTAAGTTACCACTATTCATGTATGCTGTATAGCATGTATCCACAATTTATTTTCATTGATACGCTCCTCGCAGCGGAAGGTGCTCTCCGTGCTCCGTCGACTGCTGATCCGCCTTACAACATGCGAAATGCACTCATTCTCAATGGGTGTGTGGCGATGGGGTTCTGTTCATCCATCTTCTTCCTCCGTGCTAAGCAGGCTCGGCGTGAAATAGATGAAGTCATGATAAAAGGCTCGGTTTTGGTTAGTTCCTCTGATGTCCCCAGCGCAAGCGGAGTATAGAATCATGGTTCAGCCCATGGATACAGTTGAGGATGAATAGACGCCAAATTTCTTGACGTCTTGTTTGCAGAAATGAATTCAGTCAACTCTAAATTGAATGCTTGGTGTCTTAGGATTGCACAAATCGATTCCTTGCAAGGTTACTTCCAACCTGTAACGAGATTTTTGCCGGTGTATAAACCCTGCGTTTAGGTACTGTACAGCTTACCACGTTTCCACTTCCTCCCGAGTATCGCTTCACTGATCAAGTGCACACTTCCCCAACGTCAACTGATTTCTCCGTCATATACTTTAACTCAAATCTGGGAGCAACAGCGTGTGTCATCACACCCGAATACCACATAGGGGGCTGACCTGCGCGTGTAAACAACAAAAGGTTTTGCCGACAAACTTATTGTATCCTCAGTTTGATTCTGCTGCAAGCATGCAGTTTTCTCTAAAGTTACTGTAAGTGGTAACTTGATTTCTTGTCGCGCGTAGAGGGTTATAGAGCAACTCTGCTTACATAAGTAGGCTACATAACATGCCAGTAAGGTTCGCGGGCTCGAGGCTCAATATCGCAGGTCCTGCAGGGTCCAAGACTAAGGTCCCCTCACGTTTGTCCTTCGCTGAAACCTGCTACCCACAACGACTGTGTATCACGTTGTTTCTTTTGTTCTTTGCCAGACCCATAGAGCTCACCCTTTGAAGTACCGTCCTGCAGTCTCGCCGTCTGGGACGCTAGGCAGTGCGTATGATGACCAATGGTTTTTGATCCAGTCTCGAGCTCCCCATTAGAAAGATGTGGCTATTAGACGTAGAAGCTGTCCTTGAGCGGGAAAAGGTTCCACGAAGAGTGGGTTCGAAAATCGAGGTCCTGAGAGAACTCGATGTCAAGACAAGCTATGCCATACTTTCACATCGCTGGAAAACTGAGGTCACTTACGAGGAGATGACTGGGCTCATCAGGATGAACTCGCGGAAGAGGGTTGACGTCAGGGAGCGCGACGGCTACCAGAAGATTATCAAGAGTTGCGAACAGGCCAAGAAGGATGGTTACGAGTGGTTGTGGATCGATACATGTTGCATTGACAGGCGGAGTAGTGCGGAACTCTCAGAGGCGATCAATTCAATGTATCAATGGTACCGCAACTCGCAGAAGTGCTATGTATACTTCCACGACGTCGAGGAGTCGGTCTTTCCCACCAATCAAGATTTCCGGAGGTTTGGGGGGTCCAACGGTTGGCCAGAGTGGTTCTCGCGAAGTTGGACACTCCAGGAGCTCATTGCTCCGAAGAAAGTGGAGTTCTTCAACAAGCGCTGGGAGTCCATTGGCACGAAACAGGAGCGGATATCCACACTAGAGGATATCACGCAAATTCCGTGGGACGTTCTGATGTGGGGCCCGTCGCATTTGGGCCGGCGTAATGTTGCTCAAGTGATGTCTTGGGCCGCTGACCGAAAAACGATGCGAGTGGAGGATCGAGCGTATTCGCTGCTAGGCTTGTTCGGTGTGAACATGCCAATACTGTACGGCGAGGGCTCAAAAGCATTCCAGAGGCTCCAGAAAGAGATCATCCGTGTATCTGGTGATCACAGCATATTTGCATGGAATCCAAGGGGACGGTTCAGGCGGCACGCGAGTGTCCTGGCAGATGACCCGAGCTGCTTCCGGGGCTGTCATGACATAAAATGCCTGGATCACTCCACGTTCATCAAAGAACTAGAAGCATTTATGCGCCGGAGCGGACTCGATGTGGACGTAGACCGCGACAAGATTGAACCGTTGTGGCACGGTGTGGAGTCCCCTCAACTTTTCAGATTCAATGTTACCAATCTGGGCATCCAAGTCTGGTTGCCCGCCGTACCCAAGAGTCGCAATAGCGGTAAGCAAGGCTTCAAGGCCATACTGCCGTGTCGTGACCGCTATGGAAACCTGATCACCATCGACCTCACATCCCACGGACTTACCTTTGGCAGGTCTTGGGGTTTAGACACACCAAACACATGGCCGGAACTCAGGTCGCTCTGTCTTGATTGCTCTCAAGACACTGAGGAGGACTACCATCAGCTTAGGCTCCATGACAGGCGCACCTCGTGGCGTGGTTTCACCCGTCGTGTCGCCCTCCCGGACGAGATTGCAGGTGATACAGTCACATTCTCACAAGGGAACACTCTCGTCGTCTTAGTCTACACCAATAACGATGCCAGAATTCGCTTTGCAGTTGGACTTGCACACTACCTTGGTAAATTGTGGGCACGCGTGATCTGCTCCACGAATCCAGAGGTCCAGTCATCGTGGGCCGACTTTGCCAAGCAAGCATATGGAATCCTGTGGAATGCACCTATCGACAATTCCTTTTTTGACACAGATTCTATTCAAAAGGTACATATTCCCCAATCCATTTGGGATGCAAGCATTATCCGTGGCAACAGCGATACAAATGTGATGATTGATATCGAACAATGTCCTGGTTGTTGTACTGGGCGGCTTGAATACATATATACGCCTGTTAGTATTTTCTCACCTATACGCGTTCGAATATAATCGTCCCTTAACCATAGGTGGATTGCAAGCTATGGCTCCCGCGGGCAAATGGATACAGTTCGGATGGATTTGAGTTAATACTGAATGGGCAATTTGCATTGCTTGACAAGTATTCTGGTCAACAGATTGCGGTGAGTTGTAAACGGATATCTTTCGCTGGTGACGAGCCTGACTTAAACAGCTAGGCGATTATGGCGACCTATATGTGAATTTCAAACGTCGCGGGAATGTATTCGAAGATATGCAGGAACTTGGCATCGACCCCACGGGTTCAATTTATCGCCCAGTCGTCTCTCGCGTATCTGGCTTTGTGGCGAATCGCGCGCAGACTGAACCTGTAATTGCCGTGGCACGTGCAGCCTGGCGTAACTCCTTGGCACTGCATCATCCACTGGGTCTCTCGCTTCCGAACAACGAAGAGTTCGAGTTGCAGCTGAAAGCCTTGTCCTCCCGTCTTGCGGGCAACCATCTCGTGACAACAGTCATACAATGCTCAGAATTCTACGAAGTTGATTGTGAGGGAAGGCGAATGGACGAAGGAGGCTGTGAGTTTATTCAGTGGATGTTTCCTACTCTGCTTTTGACCTTGGGTGTATGGCTCAGCATCGATGGGCAGTGATCGGTCTACAGACTCAGACACCTTCACTTCCCTATGCACCATTGCGAGACCACTAGCTTGGCGTAGAGAACCAGCTTGTGCGCAGAGAAAGGAACAATTCAAGAATATTAGGTGGCTCCTTTGCAGATCGTGTGTTGTAATTTCACTGACACTATGTAGGGAGCACTTTTACGCTTTGGCGAATCTGGTGCCTACTTAGCCAGCCAGGCTGGTCTATCCGGCTAACTCTTATTGTCTACAGCATCACCTTGTAGATACCGAATCTCGCCACAAATCTGCGGTGCGTTGCATAACTATGTGAAACCGTCAAGCACACCCTCATGATAATATCAGGATAAATGGGAGACGAGCGGAATGGTCGACTTGTCAGCCATGTTCGGTTTAGAGCACCTGGAAAATTTCGTGCGTGTTTGTACTGTAATGCCCCAGCCTGCTCATATCGGCGAAATCCAGGTTGGCGAGATAACGTTCTTTGAACATCTCCCTTCGATGATGGAAGCTCAGATGCGCATCAAGGGTTCTGTAGGCACAACGAGAGGTCAGTTAGCTAACAACAGCGTCTTCGCCGGCAAACTTACACCACTGTATAGGAAATCGTTCATCAGTCCAGCCATCGAATCCGTCATTCGTCAGTTAGGCGTGATACGGATTCTATTTGAGTGCTGACTTCGGCCATGACAGAACTCACGCCGTGAAGTAGTGGCACCTATTTTACTCAACAAGTGCGAAATTCTTGGCCAACTGACGATCGACAAAGTGTTCCTTCGTGAGAAGCAACACACTCAACGTGAAGTAGAGTCGATATCCCAAACTCTTAGCGTTGGAGTGAGTGTTACTATCAGCTAAAAGGAGTCGAAGCTGATTCCAGCCACAAAAAGCTGCTCGATCACATCTGTACCGCTTTCCTCAATGCGTCCAAGGGAAACCCGTGAGGACTTGTTTTTCCCACTATTTTGTCCTTATTCTACTACTCTGTGTTCTGATTCCAGACGAACAGAAGTAGGTTACACTGATTACAGTACGGTTGGTACTATGCTTTGACGCTCAGTAGCCCAATTCCTGGACGCTGACGCTGCAGATAGACTAATGTCCGCTCCACGGTACAAGAAATAGTGATACTTCAAACAACACTCCAAGCAGCAGAGGACAAAGATGAACGGCGAGCACTGGAGGAGGATATAACAGGAAAGGCAAGGATATCGTCATCTCATAACCTCTTGAAGTTGATTATTTGTTCATTATAGATCCTCTGGTTCTATTTGCGTGCAATCTATTCAGAAGTAGTCCAACTATTAGTAACTGTAAGCCAAGGTTCATCTCTGGATATGTCGTTTGACGTGGTTCAGGTCGTGGAATCCATTCTGAAGGAACGGGATTCCAGTGTTCGGCGTCGCAGGGGTTTACATGAGATTGCAGAAGTTGTCAAGCGAACCCCGCGTGTGGACCCAGACGATGATATAACTCACTTGCAGCGGTAAGTGACGACATTGGGCCCACGGCATCAATATAAAATACTGAATATCCATCGTTCCAGGATCATGCTTGATGCAGGTGCAGGCATATCGAAACATGAGTTATGGCTTTCTGCCCGGGCTGCAGAGCAAGTCAGGTTGTCAAGAGTTTTGGGAGGCAACCCCATAGGGACTGCTTCGAGTACAAGCCCCAGAGTGCCCTCAACGACGATCGCTCGACAAACACTGGGCACTGCGCTGACAAAAAAAGACCGTGACCTGAACTGTGCATGTTCAATCTGTAGACGTGCACGCAGTGTCAAGTGATCCTAGGGCTGATTGCATTTGATTGTATGTCCAGATCGTACCATACCCCCCATTGTTTTACTATGGAATCGGAGTTATTGTCATTCAGTTTATTGGAAGAAGTTACACCAACGGGCCGGCGTCGTTATGTGAGGTGGGGATGGTGATAATGGAGAAGATGTTGTTGGCGTACCTGCAGGCGATTTAACGTGATGGTTGGACGGGTGTCGGGTCGCGCTCAATTCCAAGCCTTTCTTTGTGTCTACCCGCATTTCCAGTACTTCCCTCCGATTTCCCAGTCCTCCCACGTCAATGATTACCTGCCCAAAATCCAATGTCCACTCGCGTGCCTCAGCAACTCTCTGTTGCCATGTAATCATGTAGTGCTGCCGAGAGCTTCTCCGAAGTCCGAGTCTCTTTTAGTCTTACGAGCAACCAATGCACGTGTTAGTAAACATAATATAACAGTGTTTAAAAAGTGTACATATATGGTTGTCAACATCGGATTAATACTGATTTATTATGCACGGGGGGAAGTGGCAAGTTCGACGTGGTTTATACGAGTCTCGCAGTTTGCAAATTCTGACGAAGGACGCTGTCTTGCACTGCGAAAAAAATTCAAAAGAACTGGTCAACCTTTGTGCCGACTCCTTGTCTAGAGGCGAGCACTGAATTAGTACCCACCCATGGCCAACGTAGCCGCAGTTGCCTGAGTATCCTAAAAGTAACCAATTTACATTAAAAACACGGTACAACGGTCTGTGTTGGTACGTGACTCACTATTACCGATGTGAAATATACAAAGAAAGGCCGTGGTTCCGGAGAGCAGCTTTTGAAGATTTCCCTAAAGTGGTGCTGGAAATCTGGCGTGTAGATCAGGTTCCGTCCATCCGTAGCAACAACAAACAAACAAAAAAGACATATCATAGTTACGTACACTTCATTGCGGTGGCCGCGTCATTTTGACGATCGCCAAAACTGGGGACGTAGGTCTTCACTAACACCCCGCGCTGCAGCTTATTGCGGAAAATATCGCACTTGTTGAGGAAGAGTATGATCTGCGTCTTGGCGAGTATGCGGGAAGAGCAAACGGTGCGCCACAGTTGGAGACTATCTTCTAAGCGGTTGACGTTCCGATCCTCTCGTAATTGTTCGTCGAAACATGATATTGGGGCGAGGAATATGATGGCGTTCATGTCGTCAAAGAATGGTACCCACGACGCGCGCTACGTATATACAACACACGAGCCACTTTTTCATGAGTATGAAATGAAACTCAAAGAGGAAGTTGTATCCGCGCTCACCGATGATCTCGTGCCTTCAAGATCGTACATGATCCATTCCCTTCCCTGATCTAAATAAGCGGGCGTCTAGGATATGATGGAGAATGCATTACGAAATAATGTACCGACCTGCATCCACGGTAAACTTGTGTTCCTGAACACCTACGCTACGCAAGCGGGCCCGAACAACATCGTCATCCGAAGGTTCGTAATCCCGCGAAACGATGCGGTCGATGTCATTCAAAAAGCTTTATTAAAACTCCCATGTCAGTATGTAGTAAGAAAGGTGCCGCGGCAAGCCAAGGGATACTCACAAACCGGACGAGTCTTCAATCCTCACTCTCCTCTGGCTCAAGATCTCCTGTACCAATGGGTCCTCCCACAAGCTTTTCATGTCTTCTTTGCAAGCCAGAAGGATATCTGTAATTTCGTCGTGGTCGCCCTTTCGCATTTGGAGCGAGCTATTCCGCCCCTCTCGTGTCGACGGTCGGCCCTTACCCGATGACTTCCATCCATTATTACTTGAGCCGATATTCCCCACTCCACCGCCGCCCTCTCGTCCGAATGGCATGCGCTTCCCCGAAGTTGGGCTTGTTGACGATGACGAGTAGGCTTCCTGTGATCCGGGGCCAACACGTCTTTCGAGATCTGTAAGGACGCTTCGCAACGGTGCCAAACGAAGCTTCAGCAAAGAATACTTGTCTGGGAACTTGGTGGTTGAAGATTGAGAACGACGTTCTCTGTCGGAGTCTGGGGTGTTGGCGGATGATGTTGAGCGCCTCCCACTGTTTGCTTCCATTGCTTGGACCAACAGATCCAGAACCTCTACAACATTTCGGACGAGATTGAGGTAGATGACGGTTCGCCAGGATAGGCGCTCCGCCATCCATTGATCTCGTGCGTAATGAAGCTGGAAATCTGGAGAGAGAGAGAGAGCAACGTCTATAAATTGCTTGTTATCGACTCGAGCAAAAAATAGAAAACGCACTCTTTATCGTAGATGATTTTCCTGGAGAAAAGCACCGGTTGATATCAATCGAAGGCCAAGGAAGGGGGAAGGATTTTAAAAAACTTCGAACGTACCGCTCTCGCTTTGGCCCAGGAGAAGGACTTTCACGGGACCCTTTTTTCTGAGTGCCATTCTTTCCTGGCGGATTTGTTCATCAATGGCTTCGCTGATCTTGCGCGCCTCTGCCTCCGCACGCTCCCTGGCCGCCCGTTGCTGGGGGGTTTCGTTGGGGGGAGGTGCGAGGATCGATGCTAGTGGATCCAGGCCGAAAGAATGTATCATTGAACAGGGCTAAAAGGTGGGCAGGGATTGCAAGAGCGAAATGGTTGGGTGGTTTATGTACAACTAAAGGTGTGCGTGTCCTGTGCACCCACGATAAGTGTCACCCCTGGCTTGACGGCTGTCCTATTAGCCTGTGACACAACAGCAATCGGGTGGACACCGTTGTCATGCTGCCTCCTGAATTTTTACGGGAAAAAAATAGTCATCCCATGGTCCGTCCACTTACTTTACATACATTTACATTTTTTGGACCCACTGGACGAACGGACGCTGCGGAATCTTCTTCGGAACCAAGTGTCTTACGGGAATTACTTAGACGCGCGTTTAAACGTTTAGCACACTCAGGGAAGCTCATAAAATTCAAAGAGGTAGCAAAGTAACGCGGAAAATATACGGTATTATCAATTTTGCAGTGTTATTTTTGGTCTTCGAAACTCAAAGGGTGCAAGAAAAGCAAAAGTGTTCGGCGGACTTAACCTTAGTGATCATAAGGGGGAGTCTGAGCACGAGCCCTTTCACGATCATCATCCTTTTTGATGTCGTCCAAGGGAGGCGTGCGACCACGGTCGCGGTCGTCCCTCCTCCGCTCGGGAGTGAGGCTACGCCTCCTGTCGGGGCTCCTGCTCCGCCTCCTTCTGTTGTCTCTGTCATCTCTACCTTTATCGATATCCCTGTCCCGGTCATCTCTATAGTCTCTCTCGGAGCGGCGGCGGGGGCTGCGGGAACGCTCGCGTTCGCGTTCGCGGGTGGACCGTTGTGGCGGGGAGCGTCGGTCATAGCGCCAAACCGAGGAGGGAGGGTTCTTCGCCCACTGGAACAGTGTGATCAGCAAGGGTTGCGGTAAGGAAATCACACATCACGTGTGCTGACCTGGATACTCAGCCGACAACCCTCAAAGTATCGCCCGTGCCTGGAGAGGCGGGCATCAACGGATGGCCAGAGACGAGCGAGGAGGGCACGTACATGTCGTAGTAGGCATCTTCGGCGTCGCGCTGGCTGCGGAACTCGACAAATGCATAGCTATACAAGACAGGAGACACGCATGCGAGATTTGAGGGTGAGCGATCGTGTTACTCGAACGTGCGAAATGCGAATGAGGTAAATTCGGAAATATTGAGAGAACGCGTGAAAACATCGATCGACATCGAACACAATGCCGCCGTGTGTGAAAATTGCAATCGCAATCGACGATGACGAACCCGCGAGCGGAGGATCGAATCGTACGAGGACGTTATATGGGGCTCGCGTCCATTTCTTTTTTTAGAGGCACGTATCTCGTCACGCCATCGGAGCCATCGTCCCTCGATCCCGAGTCGACTGGGGAGGCTAAAAAAACAAACGGCATGCAGTGGTACTTACGGGTTGGAGCTAGCGTGAGGATTGCGAGGGGCAGGAACGTCGCAGCGCACCAAGGGTCCATAGCTGAAGGAAGAAAGTGTGGTAAATATTCAGCCGAGTAAAGAAGAGTGGTTGCGCTGACGCACCGTTCGAATTCAAAGGCCAAGTCGCGGGCGCGAGTCGACGGATGGAATCCACTGACGAAGAGGATGCGATTACGAACGTTGCTCATTTTTGTGGTGTTGTCCAGCGTGTCGAGCGTCGGGGCTGGTCGTGGTTGGCAGCAAACACGCAGAGGAAGCCGAAAAAAAACCAGCGGAGCACGAAAACGCGCTGTGTTTGCACGTGTTTGGTCTGTGGCACCACATCAGCACACAAACGAAGATTACATAATACTCATATGCAGGCAAGCGTCGTCCGTTGCAGTCCACAGCAGCTGGCGCGCCTCCACAAACGGACCCGAGCTTATTTGAACGTCGCCCGTGCAGCCACCAGCGACCCAGTGTGGAATCTGATACAGCGTCTGCGATGGGACAGCAGCGAGGCAGACGAGTGGACACACACGGCTTTGCGCAAGTGTGGCATATCTCGCGACGACTACTTGCAGTGGAAGCCGGCTGTCTTCTCCCCGTCACTCAGGATTGCACTAGACATACTCAGTGTCAGGAGTACGGTCCTGCGATCGACGTCAGACGATAATTCACAGGTGCCTCCATGGGTCCTCTTGGCACTAGCATGCCACAAGGTCCATACACCTTCGGACGCACAGGATCACCTGTTGAAACTGACGTTCGGCAACATAGGCGCCATCCACACCCAGTACAAACCTCCCCTTCTCGTACTTACTACCCTTTCCCTCGCGCACTTCGGAATAATCGCTCCCATGCGACCCCTAGTAGATTTGTTCTTGGTCCATACATCAGAGTCCTCTGTATTCCATTTCAACGCGTTCCTCCACGCGCTCTCTTCTTTTGCCAGGTCGGAAGAGGCCGCCAATCTGGCATTGACGATTCTCGAGACCATGACCTCTCGCCAAATTCCCCTCCAGCTTCACACCTACCGCTCCCTTATGACCGACCGTTTTGTCACCCTTCAGCTCACGAAATACCTACGCACCCGCATGACTCACGAGGGCGTCGTCCCCACAGCAGACCACCTTGAGGCCTATCTTAGGATCTTCTCAGACCACGGTGCCATCCACGAGGCACGTCAATACTTGAGAGCCATCCAGGATTATTGTGTAAAACATTCTTTGACTCCCCCTTATGGTCCCGTCGATAGGCCAGACGTGCAGACACAAGGTGCCGTGCATCCAGCCGATACCCTCTACCTGAAATCATTGCAGAGCGATCGTGCCTCTGCATTCCACTACCTGCACAACCTGCTCCAACTGGAGGGCAGAAAACAACCCCTGCAGGGTCAGTCTATATGCACTCACGCTCGCCATCCTCCGGCGCAGACGACTTTCTGGTGCAGCAGAAAGCATTCAGTTGACATCTACGACTGGACCACCGCACTAGTCTCTGCCGCGAATGATCGGAAAATCACATCGTCGGCCCTGCTACGTTTGTTTGAGAATGCACGTGCAAAGACAAAAGTCTTCCGACCGACCGTTGCGACGTATACCGTCCTTCTTCGCGGACTCATGTGGCGGCGGTCGTACAACGAAGCTCTGCGCATATGGAACGAGCTAGTCGACAGTGGACTGTCGCTAGACAGAAAGGCATTGACCGCCGGTGTCCAGGTACTGACTCGTTCTGGGTATCCACAGGACGCATTCTACTTTCTGGACCTATTTTCTGACGAACAGTCCTCGCACTCGAGGCCCGCTCGTGCTCCATCGCAATCACTAGTACTGACCGTGAGCGACCCTTCCCTTGGTACACGTACCCCCTTATCGCGACCGCCGTCCCCTTGGATCAATATCATCGTGATCAACGAATTTTTGGTTTCTCTGCTCCGCATTGGGAGGCCAGATATCGTCTTTAAGATCTGGGACAACATAACGCTCCTGTACGGTGTTCTCCCGGACGATGTCACGATGAACATTCTTCTCAAAAGCGCGCTGCTTGCTGTGAAGATGGACAGGGAAAGCGTAAGAGGTTCCGTGGCACACTTCGCTTTGCAGACACCCTTTCGTCGTCAATGGGCCACGTCGTCATCGGTGCACGAAGACGGTGGGAACGATAAACGGGCCATGATAGTGAAAGATATCATGGATTCTTTAGGAACACCTGAGCGTCCGTCGGTCCTCGGGATATGGAGGGGTAAAACTGCCACCGACGTGGCCCGCGATATCTTCAGGGGCATGATCCTTGGAAATTGGCCCCAGATGCAACGTGTCAAGGCACCTGTCAGTGCCATTCGTCCGCCTGGCAACGAAGGCGCACCCATCGCACCGATTTTGGAGCTGGCGAAGAGTCTTGTCGTCGGTCTATCTCACAAGGCCGCCGTGAACACTCCTCAGGAGGAGAAAGCAGCAGGTGATAGCGGGAGAAATAATACCATTCGCGACCCCGCATATCAAGCTGAGGGTATGCTGGGACCGGGGGCTATTCCGTCTATCCACCCGTCCTCGTCGACGTTTTTGGCGTATATCAAACTCCTCGGACTTTCCTCTCCCTCATACGCACACGAGATACCACTGGCCCTAGCGTGGATGCGCCACCTATCTGTCCGCCCGACTCGTCAGATGCTTTCTATAGCATTGGTATTTTGGGCCGAAGTAGGGCTGCGCGGACCAATATTTGAAGAGTGGGCTGAGAAGGGGGGATATAGCGAGTATGGACGGTTGGAGAACTGGATTGAGGATTGGGTTAGGGAGGAGGGGTTGTCGAAGGAGGGTGACGAAGCCTTACGGCCGACGGAGGAGGACATGTACAAAGCAATATGGGCTGTTGCGAGGATGAGGGATAGGAACTTTGGGAGGAGCACCCGATAACAGGTGTTCTCGAAGTGCACCGACCCGACTTACAATATTTTAGTGCTCGTAGTGACCTTCGATGTATCCGTAACGGACGGTCGAACCCCTTGAAGTCACACCAATCAACTTCATTCTGGAAATGTATCCAGTGCAACATTGCGAGGACCGACGCAGTTCATTATGATACAGAGACGTTCTCGGCCTCGTTTAGCGACGCTGGGGAGGACCGACAACTCGGCGGGTTGTCGAATGCCATCTATCTGGGACACGACGCCGTTCCCAAGCGCGGTCCTCACTACAAACCCGTCGCTATCGTTGCCGGTCATGACACCTGTTTCCTGTTAATGGTCTAGCAACTTGTTGTTGCCTTCAATGGCATGCCCATCATAAATTTTGGTGACAACATGCCAATAACCATCCCTAGCAAGGGCCTGTTTACATACAATCAGTGGAAGACACAATAATAACAGGCTAAAATGGGTGATACAAATGAGCTTCTTAGTAGCTTGATAATTTCGAGGGGCCTCTCCCAAGATGTTCTTTATCTGATCTGCAGCTTCATCAAAGGATGATTAGATTATTGTGCAGAGGAACAGGAGGACAAAGAGCTAAAGACAGAACACTTGCCTTTATCTTTAAGTTGAGACAGTAGGTTTGAAGTATGGTTTAGAGTAGAGCTGGGGCTTGATACAAGTAGATTGTTCTGTTGGTAGAATGATGGGGAGTACAGCAGAAATCCCTGAGTTTATATACATGTAGACCTATGCATGGACCAGTAGCATAAAAGGAAGGTACTACTATGTATGGTAAGGAATAGCAGAGAATGTCATGGAACATGATGCAGTAAATGATGTCATATTGATGTCATTGTGGAGCTGAATGACTGAGCAAGTCATGTGACACTACACATGTATCAAAACATGTAAATCTAGAAGTGTCTAGATGGTTGGAACTATTAAGATATTTTCAACAGAGATGAGTCAGATGAAGGCATTCATGTGTGCCTTTTGCTAGATCTGACTTGGCTGGTTAAGTATGTCCAATGCAAAAGCTGTTAACTTGGAGGACACACACAGTTGAGTGAAAAACTGATAGAAGTGCTGCCCTAACTCCAACAGTTTTTTGTCATTGGAACTGATTGTGGAGATCTCCTGAACAAAGTCACCATTCAACTGGTGACCCAGAGAATGGTGGAAGAAGTAGCCAAGTATTCAGCAATAAATCATCTGCTTCTCCATTTTCTTCCCTGAGTCAATCTCACCTTGAATTGTTTTTTCAAGTCTGAGGATTACATTGTATACATTCACAACATTGGCTTGGTTGTGATAGCATTCCAGCATGGGTGGAAGGGGAGGCATGAGGATTGAGTGATAAGAGTCATGCCATACACATTGGTGGCAAGTACTAAAGTTATCTTCCTCACATGAGTCACTCATATTTCCATGTAGGAAAGCTACCAGCAGCATACATTTATAAGGGTAACAATGGTGATACAGCCAAATTCTATGTTACTGTGGGAAGCCTGGCATTTATCAATTTGCTGATAGAATCTTTGATAAAAAGGCATTAAACACATCCTCATCTGATTCCTCCTCAAGTTTATGGTTGAGTTCCATGATTTCCTTCTCTGCATGCTCTACAGCAGTCGCTGATCCTGCTGATGTTGCCTCTTCCAGATGCAACTGAGCAATTCTTTTACATAGCTTGAACTCCACATGAGTGTAGATTTTCTGTGCAAGGAAGTCTAGGAGATGCAACACAAGCAACTTGTTGTTGATGTCTTCAGGCACTTCAGTGGAAGTCAGGAAACACATCTTCTTCATAGTGGATCCACAGGCATTAACTTTGGCCCATGAATCCAGGGGTCCTGGGTTCAGTGACTTGCTGTCCTTGTACTGCAGGGAAATCCAGATGAATATGTAGATGAATAATTCCATATCATGGTGGTATAGGTGCTCCACTCTGCCATCCTGGCCATCTTCCTTGAGGAGGTCAATTGCCATGAACAGTATCATTCCAGTCCACTCATTACCCAATGGGTTGGCAGAACTTGTTAAAGATGAAAGGTCATAATTGTTTAAGACCCCCATCACCTTGCTGTCCACCCTATAGTACATCAGGTTTCCAGAGCTCATGTCATGATGATGGATCCCCTCCCTCCAGAGGGCATAGTGGCCTAGAATACAATGACTGTCAGAATCAGGACACTGCAAAAACAAAGCAGGGCTTACACAAAATACACTGCTGCCATGTGTCAACCAGTTCATTGCCTTGGAGCTCTTTAATTGGAAAAAGCTTCTTGAATATGAGCAGGACAAGCCTCCAGCTGCCTTTCTTGGGGTTCTTGAGGCTAAGAGCCCTCCTAATTGTGGATGTGAAAACCAGAAACATCTTCAACAAGAGCAAAATCAGCATGTTGTTATGCCCGGGCACGGTGACTTCTTCAAATGGAATAGGCATGAAGCGCGTGAGGTGGGAGACTACGGGCCGAACTTGTCATAACCCCTATGGCTGAGTTATTGCGATAATCCAACAGAGGTTCTTCCTGCTGGCAAAGCCCTAAGGTTGTTTGCACGGAGGGAGAACAAGGATTGAAGCAAAGTAATTAGCTCAGTTGCAAGCTATCGAAAAACTGCAGATACAGGTCGAAGTACGTAGGTTTATATACCCCTAAGTACGAGTACCGTACCAGTCACGATGGACGCGTCGTGATGCGTATCTGCAGTAGTCAACAATGCTATCAACCAAATAAATAGGAGTCATCTGGTGTCAGAGATGGGGGTAGGCAAGGAAACGAAGGCTATACCGGCTGCGCAATCAGACATGCAGCAAGGAGCCAGACACCGGATCTACAACATAACATAGAAGCAATATAAGCGAGTCAGAGAAAGGGGAAGGATCACGAAGTGAACAAGTCGTCTGTCAACGGGCGGTGTAAGGCACCGGATCAAAGGTAACAAGTCTCGACAGGTATTGGAAATACCTGGACAGCCAGAGATCCAAGGTGTCCCTGGAGCATTTGAGCCCCTAGGACGGCGATGATTATTAAGGATGCGATGAGGCATGTGACACACGTGACCGCTAGAAGTCGAAAAAGGTAAGACCCCTGACAGAAGCGTAACATCACCCCCCCTCTAAGGTCCTCAGACCCTTGAGGACAGACCGGAAGTCACATTACCCAGGCGGGCGGATAGGGGTCAGCGAGTAGTATAGATGCGGGAACGCGTTCGAGAAGCGACGGGCGACAATGGTGATGGAGATGGCGGTTCCTCGAGGGCCAGAGTATAGCGGGAGCCGCATCCATTGCGGCAAGACCAATGTCCCAAGTAATGACACTGGAAGCATGCATGTTGATAAAGGACGTGACTTGGGGGTACCGGGGTCTGTCCTCCGAGGTAGTACCGAAGTTGATCGATAGGGACGGGGACGAAGGGAGTCGAAGGGATAGGATCGGTGGAATGGACGGCATTGTGATATTGTTTGTGCATTCCGGCCCAGGACGCATCCTGTAGAAGTACCTCCCAAGAGGAATTATGAGTCCCTGTCCCGAGTCAGGCACCAACCTCTTTAAACAGTTCTCCAGAGTCAACAAACCCTAACTCCATGGCTTGCCACTGCTTCTCCTTCTCCTGATCTGGGATATCTTCTTTTAATTTTCCGGTGGAAGCTGGGACGACTTCTTTTGGAATAATCCGGTCCAAGATACGGGAAGCTGGCAGGGCCAACAACTCTCCTATCTGCTGCTGACGTAAGTGGTGGTAAGCCCCTCCTGTTATGGCTTCGGTAAGATCGCATGAGGCCTTCTCCAACATGTCAATCATGATTACCTCCGACAGTGGCGCAATGCCACTGAGTTTCCTAGTGCGGATCTTGGACACGAGCCCATTGATTACGTCTGATGCTCTGTAGATCTCAGACAGCATCCCAAAATACGAAACCTGTTCTGGTGAGCACCCGTTAATGTCGTCCCCGTGGTGGAAGACGTCAAGTGCCCGCACAACGTCCAGGTAGTCAGCTGCTGGGATTGGTAATCTTTGCTGGTCTGTCCTGGCAGAGGCGGCTGAGGCAAGGACATCGAGGGCTGCGTGTTGAGCGCAGTTGGAGTAGGTAGCGAAGGTGGGGCGTATGTCGGGAGATTCGGCAGCATTGGAGCCACTGGGGGCAGTTGCTGAACGATTGGCGTCATAGCCAGTCTGCGACAGTCTGCTTCTCTTGCGGCTACTGTCCTCACTGAGGGGGACTCTGACCTTGGGAGTGGGGATGTGCCTGACCGTGATGCCCGGAAGTGGGCGCGGGCAGAGAGAGCGGGCGAGAGGGGGCGATACCGGACGGGGTTGGGAGACAGGCGAGGAGTATCCCGAGATATGAAAGCTGGTGGGGGATGTTGGAGGTGAGGTTGGGGCATAGACAGCGACAGGGGGAACGAGCCCGTTGTTGTCGGTGTGACAAAAGGATTCTGCGGGGGCGGGGAGGTCGACATAGTTGTTCTCAGTATTCACAGAGTGGGGAGAGTCCATTTAGTTTTTCAGATGTCGAGCGAGCTTGTACCGGTCAAGGACTTCTTCAGCATGTTCTTTTATATGTTCTTCGGGCTCCCACGTATTTGACGAATGCAGGAACCCTTTCCATTTGACCAGGTACCACCTTTTACCGTGGCGACCATCAGTTTTATGATTTAGGATGGACTCGACCTCCCATTCGATCTCATCGTCAACCAATTCTGGTAAGGGTGCTGCGGGCGCAGCTCCATATACCTCATTTTCGATGTAGGGAAAGATCCGAGAGGCGTGGAACACAGGGTGAACCTTCCAAGTTGCCGGAAGGTCCAATCGGAAAGCTACAGGTGACACGACGTGAGTCACCTTGAAGGGCCTGAGTCGTTGGGGCGCAATCTTGTCACATTGATTTTGCACGCACAGATGGCCAGTATCCAGGAGTACCATATCTCCTATCTTCGGTGCAACATAAGTCCCTTTTGAGCGGGATCTCATGACTTCCTGTGCCTTTTTGTGTGCCAAGATCGCAACATCTCGGCTAGCGGCCAATCGTTCCAGTCGTTCTTCTACGGATGGGATGGGAGTGAGTCAGGTTTCGGGGTAAGGGGATGGGTCGTATCCGAGGAGCAGGGAAAAGGGGGTCATTTGGTGTACGGAGTGGACCCTGGAGTTGTGAGCGAACTCAGCAGAGGGAAGTTTGGAGGCCCACGAGTTGGGAAACTCGGAGCAGTACATCCGAAGGTATCCTTCAACTTCCTGATTAACGTGCTCGCTTTCTCCGTTAGTTTGAGGGTGGTATCCGGTAGACAACCTGGTTTTAACCCCTACAGCCTTGTAGAGTTCCTTGGTGAATGATGATGTGAACTGTGGACCGCGATCTAAGATTACTGATTCCGGTAACCCATATCAGGAATAGACGAATTGATGAAACAATTTCGCGAGTCCGACAGAGTCAATGCTCTTGTGGCAAGGAACAAACAGGGCAGCCTTTGTAAGCCCCTGATTGACGATCGTAAGGATAGAGTCATATTTGTTTTCTCCCGAGACAGGGAGATCCGTTATCAGATCCATAGAGATCTGCTGGAAGGGGAAAGTGGTTTTTGGGGTTTCATGTGGAACAACTGGAGGAGTCGGGGGATGGGTTATGACCTTTGTTGTCTGACACACCGGACATCCTGCAACATAAGCCTTGATGTCTTTCATCATACCTTCCCACCAGACTTCTTTTCTCATTTTGGCGAACATCGCCTTTTGTCCCGGGTGGCCGGCTGACTCGTGATCGTGATACAACCGCATGCAGTGCCGGTGATGATCGGGGGGGATATACAACCGGGTAGTTCCGTAACGTTTTGTTCCGTCATCCATGATTGCGACATTCTCCTTTGGTTCCGGACCTTCTTTGCTTTGAGAAGCATCATTTTTGATCCATTCATATAGCTCGGTTGACACGGCGTAAACACCTCTGGCTCCTTTGACTTGTTCCTCAGAAGGGTGAGCGTCAGGCAGCCGATTCCCCTTTGACTGTACCTCAGGTGGGTGGGAATACAGCTTGGTGTTGGTGCGTGACCGTGTAGCGGGTGTGGGAATGCATCCGATTCGACATAGATGGTTAATTTTCTGTTGTTTTTGTATTTTTGTAAGTGAAAAAGTAGGGGAAACGAGACGAATTTGGGATGCCACCCCCTTCGAAAGCCAAAGGTCCAGAGGAAGGACCGTGGCTACCAGGGCGGGTTCCACAACCTCGCTTTTACGCGAGAGGGTATCGGCGGGGACCTGCAGGTGACCGGCCTGCCAAGAGAATTGAACCGGGTATGACTGCACCATTGCAGCCCAACGCGCTTGCCGTGGGGTTAGCTGTTGCGGCTCGCAATAATACTCGAGATTTTTATGGTCCATAAAGACCACCGTGGGGGAAACAGGGGAGATGAGATAGGGGCGGAAGGCTTTGAGTGCGTGGATTACGGCAAGCATCTCCAGGTTGTAAACCTGGTAACGCTGCTCTGCACCTACGAGGGACTGGGAGAGGTAGGAGCAGGGATGCCACTCGTCATCGGATCCCTTCTGAGCCAGAACGGCCCCAGTTCCGAGTTTTGAGGCATTGGTGAACAGAGCGAAGGGTTTGGAGAAGTCAGGAATAGTGAGGACCGGGGTGGAGCATAACAAAGACTTTAGCCTTTCAAAGGCCTCGTTGCGCTCTGGGGTCCAAACATAGGATACTCCTTTCTTCGTAAGGTCGTGGAGGGGACGTGCGACGCTTGAGAACAAAGGGATGAATTTGCGATAGAAGTTGCAGAATCCAAGGAAACGACGAACGCCCGTTAGGTTGTCCGGAGCCTCCCAGGTACTAATGGCGTCGGTCTTCATCGGCGAAGTCTCCATACGCCCTTTTCCAATAATCATTCCAAGGAATTCAATTTCTTCGGCCTCGAAGACACACTTGCTGATCTTGAGGCGAAGACCTTCTTTCTGGCAGATCTTCAAAAATTCCCGAACACGGGTTTGGAGTTCTTCCTTCGTTTTTGTGTGGATTGCCATGTCGTCCATGTACCTGACCTGTTTTCCTCTTTGCGACTCAAAGGTTCGGTCCATATATCTCTGAAACGATGGTGGTGAGTTGCACTGGCCAAAGAACATCACCGTCAGTTCAAACAACCCTTGGGGAGTTATAAACGCTCCTTTCCACTCGTCTCCTTCTTTTACCCTGAGGTTGGTGAAACCCCATCAAACATCAAACTTTGCATAATATTTTGATTTGACCAGTTTGTCAAACAGTGCCTGAGCATTCGGGAGCGGATGTGCGTCTGGGATGGTGAACGAATTGAGATAGCGGTAGTCTTGAATTAGCCGCTTCTTTCCATCCTTTTTGGCAACAAAGAACACTGGAGCCGCTTGAGGCAATGTTGAAGGCCGAATTTTCTTGCATTTTAAGTTTTCATCGAGGAATTCATCGAGAACCTTTAGTTCGTCCGGCGACATAGGATATACCGTAGCTTTCCTTGGCTTGAAATCTTCACGGAGTCGGATCTCATGGTCCAACCCGGGTCAATGAGCTGGAAGCGGAATATCTTCCTCGGAGAAGACTTGCGCGAACTCTTGATATTCAGTGGGAAGTTTAACCTCCTCTTTAGTTGACAAGAGGGCGGCTTTGAGTTCTGTGGAAAGAGTAGTTTTGTTAACTTTTACGTCACCCACTACCTTTTCTTGTATGGAACCATCCTTGTTGAACTTGACGGCATACCCTTCATAAGAAGGTACCTGTTCCTTAATATAAACGTCAGTATCTTGGGTCGGCACAAACCTGTCATCCCAGCATGTAATCTTGTTGTGCTCCCAGTCCATCCTTGGCTTGAAGGTTCGCAGGAACGGCATTCCAAGTAGGATGTGTTCCTTTCCTACCAATGGTCTGACATAGCACTTGATGTGGATGACCTGATTCTTGATGATTAGCCGAATCGAGACCTTTCTTGTAACCCACTCAACGTCTTTTCTGGTAAACGAGGTCGTTTTGAACTTCGTCTTGACATGGTAAGTTGGTATCTTGAGGGTTTGAACGATTCGCTCCGAGATGAGCGATACTTCTGCACCTGAATCGAGGCACACCATTACTCCTGCCATGTAATCTGGTAACCATGCTCTTCCAAGAGGAGATCCGATATGCATATTTGTTTCATCCTCTATAGAATTACATTTTGCGGATAACACAGAAGCGGGACCTGCCTTAGGAGTCTCGGCAGTCCCATTTAAAAATTTAGCCCATGTGCCTTCATTTCTTCTGGGGTCGCCAGACGATCTCCCACGTAAGCGGTCTTCGATCCATCGGTGGAAAGAACGACCCAAACGCCGGGTAAGGATTTAGGCTTAGGCAATTTACAGTCACGCTTGTAGTGACCCTTTGCTCTGCATTCGAAGCACGTTACTTCAGAGTTTGATTGGCGTACGTTTCGCCTTCTTTTGTCGACATCCATCGCATCAGGATCTCAGGAACCTCTGCGGTAATGAATGAATTTTCTTTCATACCGAGATTCCTTTCCTTCGAGGATATGTCTGGTAGCGATTGTGGTCCTTGCTTCTCCTGCGCACTGGATCCACTCGATAACCGTGGTCGGGGCGCACCCGGAGTTAAGGATCCAATCCCTATACTCTTTAGTCAGACCTTTCCCAAAGAAGATCCCTGCTTCACGCGATTCTTCTTTAAGTTGGGCCTTGTTCACAAGTCTGGTAAACTCGGCAATATATGCCTCGAGTTCTTGTTTGCCTTGGGTAATATCAGAGAGCCATAAGATGGCCAACACAGTTTGATCGCCAGATTCGAAAGTAGCTTTGAGACGATTGACGAAGCGCTGGAAGGTGTCTGAGTACCAGATAGTTCCATCGAGAAGCTTGTTTTCATTTTGGTAATTTTCAGCGAATGTCACGGTGGCCCCTTTGGTCATATACGTGAGGGCGAACGAGATCTTGAGAGATTCTGTGTTGTAGACGTGTTTATTGAGGTTAAGATAACCTTCGACTTGTGTGACCCAAGTTTGAAGTCCGTTGTGACTTCCATCGTATTCTCTGGGACGCCTGACATTAAACTCCCTTCCTCCATTGGGTGGGTGGACATCATACAAGTCGTCAGGATCGGCTGGGGCCTTACCCTTACTGGACCCACCAATGGGGCCCTCTGGGGGAATTACCTTTCCGAAGTTCCTGGCGTACCAAGCTCGTAGAGCCGAGTCCGTAGGCGTACCTGTTGGGAAGGGATCACTCGACTGACCTTGACCAGATATCTTTCTCCAGTCTTCTGCCAAAGAGTGCATCTGTCTTTCCAACCTCTCTTTCAGCTCCTCTTCAGAGTATACCTTTGGTGGCATCTCAGGGGCTGACTCTCTGTGACCGATTGTCATGGACATAATGGGTGATTTGCACGCTTCTTGTTCTTCTTTGAGGACTGATCTGAAAGAAGTCTCCGACTTCTGATCGTCTTCTTCTTCTGAACTAAGCGCGACTTCCAATTCCCTAAAGCGGGACAAGTATGATAACTGAGGATTACTAGCTGTGGCTGACAGCTTTAGTTTTCCCGGTATTGGCGGTAAAGGCGGGTTCCTTCCTAGTCCTAGCGGGGTGTTGCGAGGAGGGACTGGAGGTCTCGACTTCAGAGGATTAGACACTTTAACGAGAAGTGAAAACGAAGAACCGAGGGAGGATTTATTTCTCGAAAGAAACCTGTCGGTTAGATAGGGGGAATGTGCGCCAGTGACTTTGCACGCAGGGAGACACGAGCGCAGGTTCTAGGGAGGCAATCTATTAAAGCCTAAAGGCTGCCTGTAGAACGATGGATTTGATTGAGGGTAGAGGGGTGCTTTTCCAAGTTAACAGAGAAGCAGGGGGACGAAGGCGAGTTAGTTTTTACGCGTAGGGAAACCAACAAGCCTTGTTTTGAAATATTGAAATTGGTTTGTTGAAGTTCAGTAACCAAGGATGAGTAGACTTTCGTGAAGAGGTTGACGAGTCCTGAAAGCTGCGTTGAGTTTTTCGATTTTGTTATGCCCGGGCGCGGTGACTTCTTCAAATGGAATAGGCACGAAGCGCGCGAGGTGGGCGACTATGGGCCGAACTTGTCGTAACCCCTATGGCTGAGTTATTGCGATAATCCGACAGAGGTTCTTCCTGCTGGCAAAGCCCTAAGGTTGTTTGCACAGAGGGAGAACAAGGATTGAAGCAAAGTAATTAGCTCAGTTGCAAGCTATCGAAAAACTGCAGATACAGGTCGAAGTATGTAGGTTTATATACCCCTAAGTACGAGTACCGTACCAGTCACGACAGACGCGTCGCGACGCGTATCTGCAGTAGTCAACAATGCTATCAACCAAATAAATAGGAGTCATCCAGTGTCAGAGATGGGGGTAGGCAAGGAAATGAAGGCTATACCGGCTGCGCAATCAGACACGCAGCAAGGAGCCAGACACCGGATCTACAACATAACATAGAAGCAATATAAGCGAGTCAGAGAAAGGGGAAGGATCACGAAGTGAACAAGTCGTCCGTCAACGGGCGGTGTAAGGCACCAGATCAAAGGTAACGAGTCTCGACAGGTATTGGAAATACCTGGACAGCCAGAGATCCAAGGTGTCCCTGGAGCATTTGAGCCCCTAGGATGGCGATGATTATTAAGGACGCGACGAGGCACGTGATGCACGTGACCGCTAGAAGTCGAAAAAGGTAAGACCCCTGATGGAAGCATAACACATGTGTCCTTGGATGTCCTTGAATTTGTTCCTGGCTTCCTTGATGCATTCCAAAACTTCTTCCCCTGTGATTCATGCCTCCTCTGCCCAGTAAATTTTTGCCACCATGCCATTGACCATTTCCACCAGCTTCTCCTGCTTTAGTGCTTTGCAGGTGACCTCCATAACACTAGTCCCACATCCTTTCACCCTATACCTGGTGTCTCTCTCCCTGTTGTCCAGTTTCAGTGTTTTTCCATCAACCTTGATAGTGTGAGACTCAATGTGGTCACCTTCTAGACATGGTGTAAAGGCTGTGTTTCAACCCCAGTCCTCCAAATTGAATTGCTGGAGAGCATATAACAACACCAGAAAGCAAGGGAGATCTTGAACAAAATTGAACCCTGCCACACTGATGAGGCCTTGGTGGTCATAATACCAAATCCAAATGTTGTTGCCTGAAAGGTGTCCAGCACAATTCACTCACTAGCAAGAAAAAAATACACACCTATAACAATACAATTGAGGGCATGCTTCACCACAATATTGGCAGACTGCATCTCAGCAGCATACAGTGCTGTCTGAATTATTACATATCCCCCAGGCTCCTCCATCCCAGGTTGCTTGCTCATGCAAGACTCAGAATTGGTCTCCAATGTGCATTTCCTGGATGCCATTTGAGTGCTTTCCTGAGTGGGCTTGTGAGCTGATCTGCATACTATTGGCTGCATGTTAAGCCTGACTTAACAGTGTAGTTCCATTACTTACATGGAGCCTGTTCTGTGAGTGTCACTCACTCAGCAACAGGGGCCTCTTGTGGCTCTGTTTCTTCCAGTTCATTTCCATCTTTGCCAATCCTCAAAAACTTTGGTTCAGAAGCTTGGTACCTTGACACAAAGTATACTTTGGGAGGAGGCCTCATTTCCAACTTGGATCACTTCAACTCAAAGACACCAAGCACATCCTTCCACAAGCTCACCATGGGTGTCTTATCTTGGCCTATCATCAATACATGCTCATCCCAGCTGCCAAGTCTAGCATCTGTAAAATACTTGGAGTAGTTCATGAATGGAAGAATGATGATATCTGGTTCATGTCTCAAATTATGCTCTTGAAAGAACATCTGTACTTCCTTGCTTTCCTCTTCATGCATACCATCAATCTTCAGCCTCTTCAGGTGTGCAAGAGCAGTGTTGGACGCCAGGACGAAGGGCTGATACAAGTCATCCTCCTGTTTACATGCTATGCTGGTACAAGACGTTGGCAAAGAATGCTAACATCAACACCAGCATGCAAGTCACAAAACTTACTAATCTATGAGAGCCTCCCTGATATCCGAGATCAGAAATCCCTCAATATCTTGGGTGTGCCCATTACATATGGGCAAAACTTTGTTGATGCATCTGTCTAATAGGACATGGCCATTCAAGTCGATAAGGTCATCTGGCGTCTTTGAAGCCCGGCTTAATATGTACTCGAGCATGTCATCTGCCTCGCATTGCTGTGCTTTGCAGACGTCTTCCGCGACCGAAGGCATCAGATCGTTAGTACTTGATTGGTGCCATGAGTCAGGTTTATTTTGATGAGGACAGAAGTGGACGAATGCACAAAGAGCTATTGGTGTTGAACTGTTCGCTCGCCGCAGAGAGGCTTTGGTTGCTTGGAGTCGAATGAAATAGGTTGGCATCTGGAGTGGTGCATGCGCATGGCGGGGAAAGACCTTCCACTGCTGCGCCGCCGGGATCAGACATGGACACTGGCAGGTAAAGATTCACGTTAGATGGGCACTAGTGTTGTGTCGTGATGGGAGCCGGGAGGTTGAACGTTGAACGTTGAGTACTGAGTGGCAAGAGTCGTGCCATGCTCATCATTGTCTGCAAAAGCATGGGCAGCCCGCTGACTAAGCGGGGGGAGCGCGTGCAAGAAAGTGAGGGTCGGGCAACTTGGGGGCTGAACGCAAGCCTTGCCCGTTTTCAATGCTAGTAATTATGCACGAAATAAATGAGTATTCTGCGAAGATAAACGCCCAAATTTGCTAGGTGAAGAACAGGTCTTGCACGGAAACACCCTAATTTGACGGATCAGATAATCGGACCAGTTAGGGTGTGCAGTGCACATTTCCGCCGTCGCAGTGCCGGCTCGTACTCGGGCGAATGAGATATGTAGACCACTGTAAAAATTGACATGCTCGGGTTTGAACGTCATGACGCCGCGGTGGTAGCCGTCTGAGCGACTACAGACAGCAGTGATGCAGACGACTAGGTTCAGCTGCGGAGGTGTGGCAGAGGTTGCGACGACTATTTGCAGTGGGAGTCTTGCCCCCATCACTCAGTTTCGCGACTGTCGTACTAAATATACTCGATGTCAGGAATACAAATCCTGGGATCAGCGTCGCACGATAACCCAAGGTACCTGCATGGGTCCTCTTGGCGCTCGGAGGCCACAAGGATCTGCACGCCGTCGGATGCCCAGTATCATCCGTTGAAACTGACATTCAACGAGGCCATCCAATCCCAGTACAGACCCCCCCCCCCCTCCTTGTCCTCACTACCCTCTCCCTCGCACATTTAGGAATAATCGCTTCCACGCGACTCCTAGTAGATCTGTTCCTAGTCCACGCAACAGAGTCCTGTGTTTTTCACTTCCTCTACCCCCTCTCCCCTTTTGTCAGGTCGGAAGAGGCTGCTAAATTAATAGCAACGACCATTCCGAGGACTACGACCTCCCGCCAAATACCGCTTCCAGCTTCACACGTACCGCCCCGGCCGTCTTCTCAAGAGCATGTTGCAGATGGGCAGGGAAAACGTAAGCGGTTTTTGCTTCATAGACACCCTTCGGTCGTCGGTGCTCGAAGACAGCGGGGACAGTAAACGGGCTACAGTGGTGAAGGATGTCATGGATTCTCTGGGATCACCCAAGCGTCCGTTGGTTATCGGGATACGAAGGGGTAAGACTGCCACCAATGTGGCCCGAGAGATATTCAGGGGTATGGTCCTTGGAAATCGGCCACAGGCGCAACGTGTCAAGGCGCCCACCTGGCAAGGAGGGTGCGTCCACTACACCGATCTTGGAGCTGGCGAAGATTCTTGTCGGTTGGTCTGTCTCATGAGGCGGTCACGAGCACGACCACGTTCCAGAAGGATAAAGTAGCAACCGACGCACGGAGAGACGGTACCATTCACAATCTCGCAATTCGAGCCGAGAGTATTCTGGGGCCCGGGTAAATTCTGCCTATTAGCCCGTCTTCGTCTGCGTTTTTGGCATACATAACCCCTCGGCCTTCCTCCCCCTCACATACACACGAGATACCACTAGCCCTAGCATGGATGTGTCACCTGTCGTCAGATGCTCTCTATAGCATTGGTGTTCTGGGCTGAGGTAGGGCTGCGTGTCCGATATTCGAAGAGTGGACTGAGAAGGGAGGATATAGCGAATGTAGACGGTTGGAGAACCTGACTACAGAGTGGGTTGGGGAGGAGGCGTTGCCGAAGAAAGGCGGAGAAGCATTGCGCCCGACAGAGGAGGATGAGGGATCGGAATTTTGGGAGCAAGCTGTCCCCCAAGTACATCAATCCAACTTAGAATAGTTTGTGCTTGTGGTGATTTTTGACGTACCCATACTCGTGATCGAACCCAACCCAAACCAATTACATAACTTCAATTCGGAAATGTATCTGTTGTATCGCAAGGACTGAAATTCGCAGTTTGAGCAGAGACGTTCGAAGGAGGCCCTCGTCTGGCGACGCTGGAGAGGACAACTTGACGGGTTGTCGAATGCCATCTCTCTGGGACACGACGTCGTTCCCAAGTGCAGTCCTCGCTGCAAGCCTGTCGCTGGCACTGCTCCCCTCCTTCCTGGTACCTGCATGGCGCATTCCCGAATTCACCCCTCGACAAATCATATACGCTAAGAATGTGTTCCCACTTCTACTCGCACCATGGGCCAGCCCCCACGCCAATGATATTAATACTCGGTCGTTATCGCGTCTCGTCCAGATTGCGCTGTCCCTGCGTCTCCCACAAACCGCAATATTACCGTGTTATGTCTACTGGATCACCATCGCTCTTGCGAGGACGCTCACCGGGTTTCTGCTCACTCGTAGTGTAGGATGGGCATACCCCCGATTGTTTAACCACTGGGCCCTCTACGAGACATCGAGTGGGATAGGACCTCCACTTGTGACCTATCTTCTTACTTCTGGGACACGACCAATCCTCGACTTGGTTCGAGGGTCGTTCATCAAGGGTCGTTATTGGGAGAACAGCTCACGCGGGGATGTTTTCCTGGTGGTATGTATGTGTACGATCTTATGCTGGCTAGACGGGGCCCCGTGGACATATGCAATGTCAACGTTGCTGTCTATTTCGTTGACGATCTGGAGAGCACTGTTTTCTTCCCCGTTGCGCGAAAGCTCGCATGTTCCTTTTGGTGGACTCGACCAACAGTATTCGAACAGCAGCTCTCCCCACCCGCGACGCCCTCGTACCACAGGCTTTCGGACCAGTTTATTGGTTTTGTTGGTTATACCCCTTCCATATATTGTCGGATTCCTCTTCAGTTTTGGCTACCATCCTATCCCTGATATTGCACCATCGTCCAGTTCTGGGATTGATCATCCTCTTCTTGAAATCCTCATTCTGTCCTTCCCTCGTCCGAACGACGCAGGCGCCATCCCCGTCCTCTCTCGCACGATATCATCCTATCTGCCCTACGTCAACAACAGTAGTACAACATCACTGTCCGTGTTCACACATGCCCGACAAGCGCACCACCCTTCGTTCGAGCTTGCGAAGAAAGAGTTTAGAGATACTCCCGTGGTGTTTTACACAGACCGAGATTTGCACCCAGATGACAGAGAGGGTCAGTATTTGCATGTTGCAGAGGCATTCAAGTGGGTATACGAACGCCATCAGCGAGATGATGATACCTATCCGAATCCTGCAAAGCCAGCGGAGTGGGTCATGTTGGTCGAAGACGATTTCCCGTTATGCGGGGAATGGGGATGGAGTGGTATAGTTGGTGTAATGAGGATGCTGGAGAGCAAGCGAACGCCGTCAGCATCCATGGGGAGATGGGGCGGGTTCGTAGGTACAGGTGGAAGGTGTGTCCTCATGCTCTCTGGTTGCTTTCTGGTCATGGATATTGATATGTGGGCGTCTTTCTAAGTGGTGTGATCATACATCGTTCGGTGCTGCCTATTCTCACCCACATTCTCCGGATCCATGCGTCCCTTAACTCCCCTCTACCACCAAATATCCCCCGACGTCCTCCAGACATCATCATCCAAGATTGCCTTCTCGGCATCGATCCTCTCTGCCCTGCGTATAATCACCCCACGTCTAGTTCTAACGGCGGCCGCAGTGGCAATCTGGTCATCACGTCGAGACTCGTCATGGACCATGTTGGTAGCGACAAGAGCACCGCCGCCGGCCGCGTTTACAGTCCCGAAAAGTGGCGTTGTGGATGGCGCCATCCTTTCCATGGGCGTGAAGAGGTGGTGGTCGTTCCGGTGTAGCTTTGGACTCGGCAGGCGGCACACAACAGGCCAAGGAGCCTCCATTTGACTTGACTTATGTATACTATCTAATGATTTGCTTGGTCGATGTGCGGTTACTCGGTGGAGGTGTGTGTTCGTTGGGCTGGAGGTTGAGCTATTCGCTCGGCTCATGGTTTTGTGCTCCGAGGGATGTGGATTGGGATGCCATAGCAAACCTGAATCTACACTGGCAAAGGTGAGCACCATTGATCGACACTGAAAGTTGAGTGGGGATCGGATATAGGGAGTGGCTCTTGATGGTAGAATCGTGTCGGTGCTGTACTATTTATTGGGTCGAGGAAACGTGTGCTATATGAATGTAATCGTGTTATGTATGGGTGATGATGCGGGGAGGACTGGATAAGGCGAAGTTAGGCGCTAAAGAAGCGTCGCACGGAGGGAAACGACGAAATGTCCCTACTATGTACAACCTTGGTCTGTTTGACGGTTGCTCCATTCAACTCTCACATCGTGCTACACCTCCATTTACCCCGAATATCTCGCCCAAGCGAGGTTACCGATGCAATCTTCAGCGTTCAACGTAGATCGCGTCGAACCTGACTCTCCTACTCGTAGCACCGTTACCCCTGGTCCTCGTCTCCAACCAGACAAGAGGTATTCTGCAGCTGAACTACGCGACTTCGGAGTGAAAACCTACCGGCAAGTTTGGCAAGAGTTCTATGAGTGGGAGCCTGGATATGCGTCCCATGTACTGACAGATGTAAAAAATCAACCGCTCTTTCCGGTGAGGTCGCGGACTGCTCAGATGGCGAGGAGCTTGGTCAAGAAAGTCGCCGATGGCATCCCCTCGCCTGCCTTACTTAGCGAAAGTGATTCAGAGGCCTGCTCGGTTTCCTTCACTAAACACACTGCTTATGGTGCGACAACTGCCAAGATGATGATTCCCACTGTTGTCCTAGATGCGACCCAATTTCCACCCCATGCTCCATACGAATGTTGTGCGCCGGCATCCAGAAGTATTTCGGTCAGCGAGGGGGACCGTGACACTGCAAAGTTTTTACCATATGCAGATGAGCCATCCTTTCCAGCGAAAACACACCTGGCAAAATTTGCACGCCTTGAGTGGGAGGAGAACTTTGATCCTGATTGTAAGATTCTCTATGTTTCTTCAGCTTGATGCTTGACTGCATACCCGACAGTGGAGATGATTCAACTAGAAACTGCATGGAGGCTTCATGCGGTTGACAAGCTTTCTCTCAGTGATGTCAACAGGATGAATATTGTCAAAGGCATCCACACTTCCCATAATTCAGGGCTTCTATGGGATAGTTGCCAAAGGTACTTTTGTTGTTGCACTTAAGGGAGATTAAACTGTTTCATATAAAATATAATTTGTCAAGGGACTTTCTGCACTGGCCAGGGGCTTCTCAGACCAATGCAAAAGATGGTCTACCAACAAGCCAGGCACCTCAGCAAGATGACTTGCATGGAAGGCTCACATCAATGCTCAGGATTTTTTGTCCTATACTAAATTGCCTTTCCCCCATGTGCCATACACATGGTAGGTGGCATCTCTGATTACTAATTAGTCCATGCTTCTAGACTCTGCATTTAGCCTATCCCTTCTCTTCATATCTCCCCTCAAAGAAACCTCAGATTACTGGAGAAAGCATGAGACTCTCTGAAGGAAACCCATGTGGAGAAAATTGCTTCAGATTGGTGCCTGATATTGAGAGATATGCAGTAAGACCTTATCATGCCTAATATTCTTTAACTCTGCACATCCCCTCAGGAATCTCTTCCACCACCAAGTGAAGTTGATCAAATGTCTTTAGCTGACAATCTTTCAGTCATGCTTGGGATTGCCCCAGATCTGTTTCCCTGTCAATTAGCAATACTTTGCTTCATGTCATGCAAGGAGGTGTGTCATACTAGGTGCTGCTTCACCCACATTACCACTCACATTACCTAGATTTTTGTCAAGCGATTACAACTTTTTCCAGATAACTCCATCCTACCACTTGATAGAGAATCTTCTGCTGCACTCTCCACAGATGGTGAGAGTGGCACTGAAGGAGGAGTAATGCAGGGGAGGAAGAAGAAAAAGAGCAGGCCTTTGGTGCAGTATTGTATGTATTCTTCCAATGGAGTATTACACTATCTAACATTTTAGCAGTCAATGACCATTCCCATGAAGATTTCCCTGTGTCAGCTTTCATTTTGTTTCCATTGCACCATTTTCTGAGGAGTGGAGTACCTAGTCTTGATCCCTGTGCACACCCAGGTACATGCACAACTGCTGCCTGCCAGTGTTATTCCCACAAAATGCATTGCAACCCAGCTTGTAGGTGTGGTTTGTCATGTAAGTAACTCAAGCACCATATAAACTAAAATGGATATTTCATTCATGCCTATATTCTCTTAGGTGTCAGACAATGGCCACCTTGTACATGCCAAAAGTGTGAAGACCACACCTGCTCTTGTGCAATGGGGAAAAGGGAGTGTATCCCAGGGCTTTGTGTAAGATGTGATGCTGGGTAAGCTTGGATGTTCCCCATTCCAGACAAGTTCACATCTTAAAATTTATAACAGAGGTACAAATATATGGATTCATTTTTCAGTCCTTTTCCAACTGGTTCTTATTTTTTACAGGTAGCAAGAAGGATCCATGTACAAACACTAGAATGCAGAGGCATGACACTAAAGTAAGCAAAATATTTGGATGCTACAATTGCACCTATCTTAACATGAATGATGATACTGCATAGCTTCTTGAGGTCAAAACTGGATCATATGGGCTTGGTGCATTTGCAGCAGAAGACATGGCTGTTGATGCCTTTCTTGGCAGTAAGTTGCAATGTGGTACATGGTTTACCTCTCTGGTAGTAACTGCTAATGTAGCATATGTTGGCCACATTTTGTCCAACAATGCTGCTGAGAGTACAAGGTAAGTTGATCTGTCTCTTAAGGACCTTGGATAACTTTCCATAACTGGTTTTAGTGAAATTTTGGCACACAATGGTCACAATTATCTATTTGAGTTCTCTCCTGATGCAGAAATCTTTGATGCAGCCCAGGTTGGGAACCTGACAAGGTACTTGAACCATCAAGGCAATGGAATGGACAATGTTGATGCAAGTTGTGAGTGAGATTGTTGCAGATGCAGACTGATTATTGATGCTTAAATGCAGCTATGCTTGTCAATGGAGAGCATCAGATTGGATTTTTTACAAGTAAGTTTTTTTTGATGCCCAGCAACATGGATCATTTTGAGAAGAATACAATAGAAAGGAGTGTGAATGCTGGGGAAGAGATGTTCTTGGATTATGGTCAGAACTACTGGATCCATCATGGTGGTAACAAGAACATGAGAGATGAAGATACTGCAGAGGATGGGACATCAGTTCAATGAGTAGCAGGCCTTTATATGTATATGGCTTGGTTGGAGTCCACTCTGTAGGTTGGCAGGTCAACATAGACAACATTGCTTGATGTACTATATCAATCAAGAAAGCATTCAATTGATCAATTATGCATTTTTTTTCTAGTAACAGAACATTTGCATCTATATTGAGTCAAAGAGGTTAGAGTCCCTTCCTGAATCAGCATCAAGACTGGTCAACAAATACCACCCAGCACTGGGGGCATGAACTCAGAGGATGAGAACAATATCATAGTGATCCTGCTTGTTTGGAAATTGTTCGCAGATGTAGTTCAAGGCCGCCATAGACGGGGGTTCAAGCGACACCACTGACTTCGTGCATTACGGAGCAGTATTGTTCAAGGGCTTTCCCAGATTTCGGGATGGTGCTTTCCAGGATCGCAGAGTAAGTTGCATCCAGGAGTTTCCCTCCTCTCATCATAACGTTCCTTCATAGTTGCTCCAGCTCTGTTAGGCTTGATGCAATCGCAGGCCAGACGGGCCCATTCAAATAGACAGTCCGCCTTGCGGACCATCTTCTGCACTTCAGTATCTCCGATGTCCGGAAGGTCGCCAAGTTGCTTGGAGACGTATAGCCGGATATCGCGCTCCGTCCACTCCCTCGAAATATCATCCAAGGACGTTGCCTTCATATGCGGAATGGCATTCAATGTACATTCGATATCAGGCAACGGGCGGGATGTCACGAAGACACGGAAGTTATTGGAGAGATTGCAGGCCTGAGATGCAAGCACCGACAGGATGCCTCGATCCTTCCGGACCGCTTTCATCCAGCACGTCGACCACAGTTCCAATCATCGTACCTGACACCATCGACCACGGTTCCAAAATGAGCTTTTCCCACTGTTCCGTGACACCAGACGCAGTCTTGAGCCAATGGTCCTTTTCAGGCACATCAGCCAAAGCCCGCCGGAATGATGGGTCCCGGCCCGCCTGATCACGCGCGATGGTGGTAAATATCTTTTCCTCCCGACGCTCGGCCTGCCTATCACGAACAAAACAACTGACAATCTCCGGAAGGATCCCTGTTCTAGTGCCGTCGAGACACTTCTTTGTTTTGTTGAGATCCGCCCCCTGCATAAGCGATGCCATCGAGGTTGAGGTCTTGAAGTACGCAACGTGCCGTGATCGATCTGAGTGTCCCGAACCGCACGGTCTCGGTGTTGTTGCATCAACGTATCTAACGTCTTGGCGTAGCTATCGACGGCGACCTGCTTCTCAGAGATTATGCTCTTTTCCAATTTCGTCCCTAGGAGTGTGTCAAATTAGATTTCGTAGTGAAAGATGAAATCGACCTACAGAAGCTCTTCACCTCTGAGTAATCCTTGATGAACTGCATAGCGTCACTTATGACCAGCGCAACCTTCCCTAAAGTTTCTGCCATGCTATCGATGTTCTGAATCGTGTCCTCTTCTGAGGAAACCAGACTCCTCTAACACTATCGAAGAGCCCAGAAACCTCATTGTCAAGGTCCACTTGATTGATGAGAACCTACCGAGGATAAGGTAAGAAACGAGGAAAATATACACGAGTAGGAAACGTACCTGTGAAGCCGCGGCCAAGACCGCCAGCGCAATCCGAGCGTAGGGGTGGACCTGCACACCCATGTCAGAGCTTGCGAGCGACAGGAATGTAAATTGCATACCTTTGCAATAGTGCTAACAATGGAATTAAAGGTTTTCAGAGGCTTTAGATATGCATTACTGATACTCTGAATGTTTGTGACTACAACACCGGCCTTCAGGACACCATCGATGGTTGTCTGACCAATCCGTGGAATGGGCTTCACCTGATCCAGTGCCTGTTGAGCGGCATTGATTCCACTACCTGTCGATGCTAGGTCTACGATGCATGACAGATCCCATCATGATCAAAGACACTCATGTGAGACCTGATTGGTCAAAGTGGGAGGAAGCAATTAATAAAGAACCGGGCGTGGCTCCTTCCGCTCTGCCGGCTGTCTTCTGTTTCTGTCCATGGGAATCGTAGTATATCGTGATAACGGGACGTGCGTACGCTCTGGGCCGGAATTAGCTGGGATTGACTACGTTGCTCCTTCACTCCTTCACCTGTACTTGTGCCAGCTGTCCCCGCCGTGACAGGACCTGTTCAATGACTTTTATTTGATCGACGAAACAAGTGCTCCATCCGAACGAATGCCTTCTGGAAACGTTTCCACAGGGTCCAGTGTTCAAGGAGACGTGCAGAGGAAAACCCTGAGACGGTCCTTGTGACTGTTTTTCCGATTGATTAACTCGTCTCACTTCGCATGTCACTTGGAAGAATTGAAGCGTACCGAGAGGTTACCAGCAGGTATAGAACCGGATGACCTCTCACGCCCAGACAGACGACCTCTCCTTGCCATCGTGCAACGGGTTTACTTGGTGCATTTTGGGTTACATAAGGTAGACGGGTTAGACTTTAGAGGTTTGATGTTAGTAAATTCGCCCTCATCAGGGTCAGTGTTGTAGACACGTCGCAGGAATCGTCATGCCATTGAGGTTTCGACGACGTCCTCATCGGATGCGGAGTCTATCCTCGTACCCCGACGCTGTAGCTGAGACCTACAAACAGCCTCACAATGTCAGCGGATCTGGAGTAGGTCATTCGCCATTGCGACATCTAAAACCCCTGGGACTCTATGTACTGCACAAGTTTCACCCGCTATGAGTAAACTCAGTACTGTATCTTAACCTCGTAAAAAAACTACAGAGTGACAACGTGATACACGTGAATCGTGAGGATACAACAAACAAACTTCCTTTCGTTTACTTGAACTGCAACGAGAAAGCAAGATGTCAAAGATCGGTTCCTCACATTTAAAAAAAAACGCCAACTCACATTCTTCCCATCCTGCCACTTCTTCCCATCGATCTCCAAGTCCCAGGCTAAAGCACCCTCGAAGAAAGCTTTGTCCTCGGCGTTCTCGAGGTCGAGTTTCCTGTAGATGTAGCTCTCGTAGTCGGGTGCTACCTCGACAACGGGTTTAACATCCTGACCACGCAGGATCAGAGCACCGGCGATGATCGAGTTGTTGGCCTCTCCAAGGACGCCCATGGATCCGAAAAGATATTTACGTGAAGCCTCCAGACGGTTGAAGAAACCGCCGATTTGGTTTGAGGACATGAAGACGAGGGTCAATTCCTCGTTATATTTGAAGTCAACACGGTAGACTGAGAAACCCTCTCTGTCGAAGCTACGATGGAGTAGGTGTCAAGTCGATGGAGACGACTACATTTGGGTAAACTTACTTCTCGTAGAACCACTCAAGAGAGCCACCGGGTCCGCGAGTGTCTTTGTTGGAGTAAGCGCGTTTCCAGTCCTCGAGATTGAAGGTCGATTTTGGTAGGAGATCGAGAGGGTTTTTGGCTTTGGGCTCCTCAGGGACAAGGCTCTCCTCTTCCTCCTCATCTTCTTCTGCTTTCTTGGGTCTCTCCTTCTTTGGAGCCTGTGCAGGAGCAGGCTGCTTAGGTTCCTTTTCTTTCTTCTCCTTTACGGGTGGAGTGTACTGTGCGGCCTTCTCGACGAACGTGGGTTGGCCAAAGACCTCCTTGAGTTTTGGTTGATTGATGATGAGGTCGAGGTGGCGGAGGATATTTGGGTACTTAGCACGCAGCGGGGCATCGAGGGTGTATGAGACGGCAAGGAAAATGACAGAGGAAACGGTGATATCAGCAAGGGTGAGGCGCTCGCCAACAAGGTAGGTACGAGTGAGGAGGATCGTCTCGAGGGAGTTAAATCCTCGGATCTGACGCTCGGTCATTGTCGTATGGATCTGTTTGGTGTTAATCGCCGCAAAAAAAAAGTAAAGGGACGGTTGCCAGACTTACAGCCTTGTTATATGGCATATATCCGTTTAACATCAGATAAATGAACTCGGTGCACAAGTGTATTTCCGACTCCGCGAAGTGCATATATTGGTCGACGAGAGCGGCGTCTTCGAGGGTGCCACCGAGAAGGCCCGAATTAGGTGGAATGGAGGCAACTATGGGTTCTCCGTAAGTATCGCTCGCTTTCACAGGTGTGCAACGAAAAGAGGGATGATGGCGGTCAGAAATACCACTATCTGTCGACATCAAATTCCGACAGGGATAACTGTTGAAGATATTTTCTTCCTTCCACCCAATAACCTGACAAGCATCGCGTGTGATACGTACTATACCTGAGCGATGGCGGCGCCTTCGGTCAGGTTAAGACCGTTTGCGCACTCAAGAGCAGGGATCTTTCCATGAGGGAACTTGGCCAGGAAATCCGGCTTTTTGTTGTCTTCGTAGTGCTTGTACTCTGGTTCCTCAAACTCCACGCCAGCGACCGCAGCAGTAGCCTTGATCTGTTACGCGAAGATTAGATTTGACAACAGAAAATGCGAGAAAACACGTACGATGGTGGTCTGGTTCATGCTGGGGACAGAGTAAAGCTTTCCAATGGGCGCCATTTTCTGAGCTCACGAATGGGAAGATGGAAGAGAAAAGACAAGAAGCGATCGATATCTGATTTTTTTTTTCTTGCACGGAAACACTCCAAGTCACATCGTATTGGCGGGTCAGATAATCGACCCTAATCAGAGCTTAGGGCAGGCGTTATCGATCTGATAACCCCCAATTATTATTTATTTATTTTGCTCACCTGCCATGGACAGCGACGACAGGTCAGACGGCGAGCAGAGACAGCAGTGGGATGAGTCCGAGCTGGGTGCACCCGGGGTGGCTGCGTCGACGCCGTCGTTTGAGGCGTATTTTTTGCAGGCGTCGTCGCGGTCTGCGACGTCCTCCAACGTGTTCTCGTCGCGCGTCCTGCCCCTTAGCGCAGACGAGTACGCGGCGGCCATCGCAGCGTACAAGGCACGCCCACAGGGCCAGACGGTGCAGACGCGATGGACCGGCCCATGGGACGAGGCCACCGCGTTTCGTCGGTACGCACGGGAGCTCGCCGAGGGCTTCAACCTGCTCTTCTATGGCTTCGGTTCCAAGAGGGCCATCCTAAACAAGCTTGCGACGGAATGCCTTGCCAAGAAAGGCCACGTCGTCGTCGTGAACGGTTTCCAACCAAATACCACGCTCAAGGATATCCTAGCCTCCATCGAGCGCGTGCCCGGTGTGCTGTCCCACTCTTCGTCGCTCCCTCTTTCAGCGGAACAACGTATATACGATTTTTTCGCTGAATCCTCGCAGGACGAACCACGTGCCCATCTCTACCTCGTCGTGCACAACATTGACAGCCCTGCCAGTGCGCTCCCAAAAAATCAGAAACTTTCTCTCGCTCCTTGCACTCAACCCCAACGTACATCTGGTAGCCTCCATCGATAGGCTGAATGCCCCCCTACTTTGGTCGGCGTCTGATGTCAGTTCTCGAAAGTCTCCCGCGCATAATCCCGGAGATATGAAGAGCAGTGTGCTGAGACGCGGTTACGCATGGCTGTGGCACGACCTCACCACTTTGTCACCTTACGACTTCGAACTCACGTATGCAGATCGATCCTCAATCTTCCGGTGCTGCTGCACTGAGTACTGGCACTCGGACTGCACGTCAAGGCATCACAGCAGGAGGCAACGCGTCTGGTGGTCCGCTCTCTGAGACTGCAGTAGCGCACGTCCTTGCAGCCGTTACTGCCAAAGCAAAAAAACTCTTCGCCTTCCTTGCCGCGAAACAGTTGGAGAACATCGAGACTGCACCCGCAGAAAATGCTACCGACCTCCAACAGTACGGTCTCACATACGACACCCTTTTCTCTGCTGCCCGAGCCGAATTCATCGCAACTAATGATACCACTCTGAGATCACTCCTTGGAGAATTCATGGATCATGGTTTAATCCTTTCAGTAAATCAGGGCGGATCAGGCGGTGGTGAAACACTCTGGATCCCCTTGCGCAAAGAACGCATTGCAAAAATTCTGCAATCCGTAAACGAAGAATAAGAAACATCATTCCTTCTGAAGATCGAATGGATTTTGTAGCGAATATTACGAACTTAATACACGTATGGAATAATACGATACGGAACCAGCTTCTTGTATTTCTCCCAGTCTTTGCCGTACCTAATATATACATTTGTGAGCATAAACTCGACCGAGACAAGGTGTGAACTCACTTTTTCTCGCACATCTCGTCATCACGGCGTTGTCTGTGAATAAGAAGCACCGCGAAATAGATGACATAGAAGTACGTGATAGGTGTTTCGAAGCCAGTCGGCAGAGACCAGGCAACTGCCATGACGAGGTCGCCACTAGGTCATCCAGATCAGTACTGCATGATGACATTAATTCAACCTGCCACATACAAATAATTAGGATGCCGGGAACGCCCCCACCATCCCGAAGTAAGCAATTTGGATCCACTCTCGGTCGTGAAATATTGAAGGTCTGTGGCTTCCATCAGAAAAAATCCAATGCAACATGGAGCACGTCTACAACTCACTCTTGGGGTTACGTCCGTTCCTAAAATCATTCTTTTCCCCATTTGCATCCCGGAAGATATAGTAACCCAATGCGTTTACCGCGAAGATACTCAAAGCAACGAGGGGTCCGAATTCTACAGGGTTAAAGGCAAGATACCGCGCTTGTAGGGAGTACACGAATGGGACCCATAGCAGGTCACCAACGGCTAGCATGAATCCAAAACCATCAGTTGTAATATCCATAGTAGTGAAGACAGCCGGCTGCATGATTGTGGATCAGGTGCCGCTACGAGAAAGATGCCCATGTGGCTTACCTCGTTGTACAATCCATCTGCAACATAGAACGATTGAAAAGCGAGGACCAACCACATCGAGTAAGTCACGTTCTGTAGACCTCCACGACGCACTGCCTGCTCGCAGAGCATGCCGATATTGACGAGAACCCAAAGCATGAGACCAGGTCTGAGTTCATTGAATGACTTGATATCGAATAGCCCAATAGACGGGTTTAGTTCGCGACCAATGTAGAACTTGGTTGCGTACACACGTGAGAATCGAACTTGGACCAAAAACGATAGTAAGGACTTACATCATAAATCGGGTTTCCAGAGTTGCCGCCTAAAGCGAGAAGGGCACCTTTGCGGAACGATGCGGCGTACACTGCGAGCGCTTGCACGACCGACATCATCAATGCAGCGGTCATGAAACCGACCCACTTGTGATAAATGAATGTGAAGGACTCAGGGCCGAACCGCATGATATAACCAGTCGTGATACCCAGGGTGAGCAAGAAAGTCGAAAAGGCTGCGCCGACCATGCCAGCATCAGAACACCAGTTATTTAGACAAAACTGGGTACGCACCGTTGATTTTATACTGTTTCTTTTCTCCAGTGCGTAATTGAACACCCTCAATCCAATCACCCGGGAGGACGGCCCAAGCCACGACACAGTACATGTACCAGGCAAAGTACATGAGGAATGCTTGTGTGTCCCATAAGCTTACCCACCATGCTATATCCGTTACCGCGGCTTGGATGCGTGCAGGAATAATGTCCAGAGACGGAGGGCACCCGCCGGAAGTTGCTGAACAGCCAAAGTAGAGGGCGTACGCCGTTGCGGGGACGCCAAGAATGATCAAGAACGCTCCCGGTGGCCCCAGAAATTCGTACGTCATGGTTCGTGGGTCTAGGGTGTCATCTTTTCGTGGTTTTGACGACATTTCGCGACGGATGAGTGGTGAATAATGAAAAAGCCAACTCGCCAGAGCTAATAATTGGTTGGTGTGAAGTAACAAAGTGGTGCCACCAGGCCCAAACAACCGCCACTCGTTAGTATCTACATTCCCCGCCTCCTCATGGTACTCAGAGGTAGAGGTATTAGTCTTTGTTTATCTACTCGCACTCAATTCACTACGAAAGCTTCTTTCACCTTCTCTACATCACGACACGTTAGACTATAACGCATCGCGCGAGTGAGTGTTCCTCCGTGACGGACAACCTCGTGCATGTTTTCGTCCCCAATATTCTGCCAGTTGGCGATGAGAACGTCCTCCCCCGCAGCACGTCTGAGCCACCCACGTCCAACGAACGTGTCTGGCAACGTCTCATCGATACCATGTAAGTGAGACGTGTAGAGATCGTCGGTCGTGATAATAGCGCTCCTCGGTTCCAAAAGGACGGACAAGACAGGCTTCGCGTCGATAGATCTTCCATTACCTTTGCCATCCTGCTGAGAGATGGTAGAATCCATCATTACCTCACCTCCCGGGTTGTATCTAAAGTAGTGGAAGATGGTGTGGGATCCCAGAGAAATTGTCGCGACAACGGGGTAATATGATAGTCCGTCTTCGTGAGGCTAGACCAAAGCAGCTGGTTCAGTGCCATCACATCAATCTCATTGGTGTGGGACACAGAAGCTCACCATGATTCCTTGGCCAGGGAGATACTGCAATGAATAGTGTTAAAGGACCTTGACCGTGATCGGGGTGTCCGATTCGCTTACTTCATTAAGAATGATATGGTTTGGTTCTCGGTGTGGGGAACGCTCAAACGCCCTCGTTCCCCTCAGCCGGCTTAAAATGTCAGGGCTATGCAGTAGACAGATAAGGATTTCGACTTCAGTCACGACGATCGTGGCTGAGCTCACAAGGACGTCAAGAAAGCAGGCATCTGTTCTTTTAGCAGGGTGTTCTGTAATACTTGTCCACCTGATTGAGATAGGAGCTCTCCACATCAGAAAGAACCATGCTAACGGCGTCGGGAAAAGTGTCTCACCCCACAACTGCAATCTGGCACGATTATAGCATAGCAGTGCGTAAGTGGCTAGAAATTTAACGGTGATGTTACCAGGAGAGTCTTCCTACGGCACATGTGCCAGGAAGTACAGACTCCGGCTGATACGCATGTGGTATGTACGCACCTACGATTGCACAAAGTCTTCCACCTGTGTTTTGGAGACTCGCCGATCTGATCACTCGCACAAATGCTCTATGATCAGGATAACAGCACATCGCGTTGGGGGGCACTTGCCTTGCGTAGTAGGTGAACTTCCTCCTCTCTAGATATGAACTCTGGGATATAGTAGGCGCCCACGATATCGTGTTGGAAGGCGTATAGACTTATTTCATCCGGCATCGTCCTCAGACTTGAATTAGAATATCGGAACAGACTAAGAACATCGACGTTGATGGTGATGGATGCAGTCCCACGCGCAGCAGTCGCTTCCAGGCCTCCGAAGCACTTGTAAGTGCATACGAGCGGAAGTCCAACTTTAACTGCATGCATCGTTGAAACGCTGAAGGACAAAGGAATGCTAGACTACATCTATTCACGCTGGAGCCGCCGGTGTTCGGACTTCTCGAACTGGTTAGTCGGTCTGCGTCTTGGGGACACCATGAATTTATGACATCAGTTGTCACAAGACACTGAGACCGTCGTTAATCTCGACCGCTTGCACCCTCCAACTAACCCTCATTGTAAGTTCCATTGACTTTTCCCAATCGGATGTTTTCAGGGAGTCCCCAGATTGATTGGCCTTTCCACGACCTTTGTAGCTGGGAAGTGTCACTCGTCTCTAAGGAAGTACTCTTCTAATCCCTCGGGAACTTGTCATGAACCCGGGTGAGTACTGCAACATACACTGCGACCCTGGCAGGGTCAGAATCAGGGCTCCGATTCCGTGATAAGCTAATTATCTCCGGCGACACAGAATATACATACATACCGAAGGTGCCAGGCACTCTTATCGGCTTGCAATGTCGTATGTATTGAGTCAACTGGCTATACCATTCCTCCCTCGTCTGCTATATACCAAGTCCTCATTTCGAGCTCGCACGACGCACGTTGCAACATTTCTATTGCAGACTTATGTGGTTCAGGCCCTTCCCTGAATGGGACATTTCAAAAATTCCATCTGCCGTGCGCTTCCCGAGACCACCGGGGGGTTGGACACACATGTAACAAACATGCTGATCTGAGTAAAGAAATTCGTGTCCCAAGGATGTGAAGCTTATAAATGGAGCGGAACACGTGCAAGATCTTCCGACAGCCTTCGTACCGCAGGCGGCCGTCCCTCCGTCCCTGCGGATAGCTAAGGCATACCGAGCTCATTCAGATATGATCAGATGGCTCTGGACAACTATCGCGGGGCCTTCCGTTTGGGAAATTGGGGTCATGTCCACTCAGGCCCCTGATTGCTTGCTTGTGTGATCTGAGTGGGAATCTCCCATCACTTCACGGCGCATCGCACTGCCGCTGCCGCTTAGCCAGGTCAACCTTCTAATCTCATGACTTCTCTAAAAACTGATTCAGCCATCATGGGTAATTACGTCAGAAAAAAAACCCAGTTATCAAGTTGATTTCCGCCTGTCTGGACCTGTGTTATTTGAGGTGAGTCCCTAAGTACCGGTACCCGCGAACGCGCATTTCGCAGCGATCTAGTCCTGATCGGTAGTCAGTTACCTAAAGTGAGATGTGGTTTTCCCCCCTTCATATACGTAGTATGCATTTTTGCATTTACAGACAACGATCTAGTGCCTGTGGAGGAGTGCGCCTCGAACTCAAAGGGTCCCCCTTTCCTGGACAATGGCGCATAATCATTTGTCTCATTCGGAGATCCAGGGTAAGGGTGTAGGGTAGCCGAGGAGGGTTAGAATATTATATCACGAGGAGATGACCAGATCAGAACCGACAATGGAGAACAAAGCAGGTGCGAACAAAGGCCTGACTTCAATTTTGTAGCACCGCTTATTACGGGAAAGCTTAGGAAACCCGGACCCCGCTGGCAAGAATGGTCGGGGCGCGATACATTCATTATTGGCAACCTCTGGTCTTTAGCCTGCGAACTTAATCTAGTCAGTGATTCAATGAACGCTGAAAGGCTATATTGATACCGCGGATGAGAGTGGGATAGCGAACAGACCCGAGCTAAAAAGGAGATAATCATCCAGAAGTCGTATTAACTGAACCGTTTGGTAAGGCAATCCAGATTGACGCTCGTTGCTTGTGCCCCTTCGGCATCCACGGCCAACGATCACCCCCGTCTGCGTGGAACGAATCGGCCGCCATCACATGGTATGCACCAAGCATTGTGGAGTTCAGGAAGAGAATTTTCTTCGCGTCCGAGCAAATGGTAGGGCGCTCAGGGAATATCGTCACATGGTGAGGCCACCGAAGGCGATGCGAATAAGGTATTCATGGGACTTGCAAGGACGCTTGGGCATAAGTACTCGTGTTGGTTTTTAATGCGCGAAACGAACAAGGCTATCTACTTATCCAGTCATCTTTCCTGCCAGAGCTTTCCCCCTAACAGCTATGCCATTGTCACCACAAACTCTGTTCAAAAAGCCCCGCGAGGGTTATTAGATGGGAATATGTACGGAGTCCCCGGGGAAGAATTTTCCGTCGGGCACTGAGACCGTGTACGTAACGAGAAGCGAGCAATAATATTACTTATCAGAGAGGGCGAAAAGCTGATAGAAGGGGGGTGACGATGTATATTGATGAGAAATGATGACGCTAACGGCAAGTGCGCGGGATCGAAAAAAGCAACTATTTTTGTTGTTCTGAACTGTAAATTTATTCAGCATCCCGAGGTCGAACGAAAGAGGATGACCGTGCGTACACCGGTACATAGACACATGGGTAACCTCGCCGATTGCAATTACCGCAACTTGGACGTCCTCCGTCACATTTTAACTTTCGGCCTGGAGAGGCATAAGAGATGTGTGCAGGTGGCGTAAACAAGGGAAGCACCTCGACAGAATTGGCATGCCATGGGAGTCCGTCGGGGGACTCTCGGTGCGTCATGATCAATGTATGTCCTATACTGGTCATAAGACTGATTCGAGCCTCAGTTTCAATACGAGCTCTTAAAAAACTTTGAAGCATACTTGGGAAGACATGGATAAAGTTATGGGTATGATGGAACAGCTGGTGAATACGGAGGGCGTGAATAACAGAAAGCCAATATAATGAAGGGGCGATGTATCAGCAAGAAAAAGCTGGGTTCAATGCAACCAATTTATGGGTGCCCACCCTATGAGGGAAAGCGCGCCAAATGAACCATGAGCCCCAATCAAGGTTTGGCAAATTCGCCATTCTCAGATATAGATCATCCAAGCAAAGGAAAAAGTAGTAGATCTCCGCTATGTCGGCTGCGAGTTGTTATTTTAAAACGCCACCATGTATTGGTCGGATTAGAAGATATCAAGGAAACGACCTTCTTCTGCACCGTCTCTTGGAAGTGCCACGCGCCGGCTTTCAGCGAGGAAAGTTTAAGTCCAGGTTTGTGATACATTGACCCTAGTCGAGTCAAGGATGCAACTTTAGTGCCAATCGGTTTCATAAACAACTTTGCCTCGGACTATGTGCGGAAATTGGACATCTTAGTCCGTGTTCTGCCGGTGCCGAACTTGACAGCGTCTTCGGAAGACTAGAATGTACCGTGAGGGGAATATGGATCCCGTTCTCGTTTTCATAAAGCAAGGCGGTTTGTAAACGGGTATGTATGTACATACGGAATTTATTAGGGCGTGCCCAGCCCTCTGTAACATTAGGGTCGGGCGTAGGGTCGCACTCTACACGGGCATAGCGCCGCGGCAGTTTTCGATGGGCCACGCGGCCATTCCAGCCTCACGCTGTGACCTGCGTGGCTCTAAATCAAATCGAACTAGATGCGCCGACTAGAACTGGATGTACGTACCCATTCAGTTTCTGGACTTCTCTAATCGTGAGCTACTTATGAGTACCGTGGTCTGCGCCAAGGCAAGGGAAAAAGGCTAGGTAAACCCGGGCCGTAGGCGCGGACGCGAGGAGAAACCCATAAACCTTGGGGAAGATGAGTAGGTGGTTTATCGATGGACACTCGTAACACACCCAAGCTGAATTAAGGCTGTCACATGATGAATGATGGAAGTACTTACATGCGCAGAACCGACCACAGCTTGGTCCGGCCATAGCAGCTGAAAGTGTCCTAGTGCCTTGAAGGTTTCAATCTGAAAGTTTGGACACGTGTCCGGAGTCGACCGTTTCGTTACCTACTACTTTTGGAGGTGAGCTTGAAAGCAGTGTTTCCAGCCTGTACAGTGTCCCTGCCGCTGATTGGCACAGTCGGATCACCTACAGGAAGACGTTCCCGTCCTCTCTTGATGTGATGGGCCAGCCCTTACTTCTGACGTACCGGGATGCCACAGGTTCTTCTGAGAATACATGACTTGGTGCCGAAGCTCAGCGACCCCAAGAGCGGTATCTGATGGCCAGAGCGCTACGAGCTGGCCATTGTGACCGTGGAAAGAAAGCACTACAATGTCCTGATGCATCCACATTGTGCCGGCAGCCGGAGTGCGCCCGATTACAAACTGGGCCGAAGCCAGAGGACCGCGGCGTATCAGGTAGCTCCTTCTCTGGATGCCGCGCTCGAAGAACGTTCACACTTGGAATCCCTGCGTCCATACATGAAACTACTGGATTTTTCTGTCGGACGCCTCCATCTCCTGATAAATTGTCACAATTTGTGACTCGTTCCTTTCAACTCCGATCCATGACATATTGAAGTTGCAGTCAGCAGGTTGTAAGTTCCTACTTCCCGGAGCCAGCTGAGGGCATGATCTGCAAGAAAAAGTCTCAGTTGTTGGCGGCTACATCACTGATGTCTGGCTTGTTCCCAATGCAGATATTCGCTTTCTCTCTACGTGGTGGCGTCTACATACTACGGAAGGAACCGAGCTCCTAAGGACGACGCACGGTGTAAACTTGGGAGAAGGCCGACTGCTCGTACCACTGCCACCAACCGGGCCAGAAGTCGGATCAATGGCCACTGTGACCCTGGCTCCTGCACAAGGCAGGCCGGCTTTCTTCCAGAAAGGGAACATCTCGAACATTACTATTACTATCAAATCACTTGTTGCCTCCACTTGGCTCGTAGCTGTCCCGGTGAATGATCGAGTGCTTGCGGTGCCACTATTTAACACCTAGAAGATGAATCAAAAACTTACTTTGCAGGCGGTTTTCAACCGAAGCCACAAATCCTGTGGCCGACGATACAGAGTTGGTTAATGACTCCGCACTCGTTATGATCTGCGTTGGTTTGCATCACTGCCGGAAGGACTCTCGAATGTCTTATCAGATGTCTCAATAATTTTCCGCATGCCGTACTGTTGTTTCCGGCGCGACTTTGCAAGATATCGTGCAGTAAGCATCGTGCCCCTTATCTGTCTGCCATTCTAAACACATCCCTTTACACTTGCGCCCTCTCGCTCATCGATCGGACGCTCGCACCCCTCTCGGCCGGATCCCAGACAACCTAGAAGCAGCAGTGTAATACCGGACCATCTTGGTTCAATTTACGGTAAGATGTGCCTAGAGAAGAGTGCTACATGATCTCATACACAGGAACTGGGGTCTCGTATCTGAATGCGTCTTTGCCCACGCTTTGGGTGCCCGGTCCGTAGCGTCAAGATCTCTGTTACACTCGTGCCTAGATGTGGTACAAACACCTGTCTTCTTTCATCTCTCTTTGTACCGTGAGTTTGTTCAATTCCGAGGTACTTCGTTCACGTTTTGCGGAGCGAGCATGTTTCACAGAGGTTACATAATGTCTAATACCAAATAATGCTCGTTGTGGACGGATACTGGTACCTCAGGAACTCCACGAGACTTTTTTTCGAAGTTAATGACCGACACCAAGGGCAGTCTATTTACTCTTCTATCTGGGACCAGCTGTCAGGTACTAGATCTTTCGAGAGCCCACGCCGATTACATTTCCCGACCGACGTGGGATGTGTGGTCAGCAGTATGTCAGCGACCATCTCCATGTATCGTTCGATAAGTCTAGTCAGATAGATTTGGTCCGCATTATTACACCGAAGTTTCGCCGTTCTGTGCACGGTGTACATTCAATAATACGCTTCAAGGATTGGTGTACAGGCTTCCGGATCCCTTACGAATACATACTTGGCGCCCTTGCAGTCCGACGGAACAACGGAATGGATTGACTACCCCTCATCTATACACCGGATAATATCCTTTTGTGTTATTCACTAAGTATGTACCAGTCACCTTTTTTCAGTACAGACGTCGCATGATTTCTACACTTCGTTAATCGACATCTTACACTGCTTTCTCTGAAATCCAATTATTGGCAATATGTACGTCAGAAAGACTTGTCTCTACACTGACAAGTAGTGGACTCTCTTTAACGTCACTGTAAGCCTCCATATGAGTCCCCTTAGCAAGTAAGGGACACATGACTTATGGCAGGAGTGGTAATAGCTGACCCATATCACGCACGCCTCTGTGTTATTGCGTGCTCAGTGGTCACAATAACCAAGAGAATAAGGTGAGCCAATGCCTACATTGGACGCGATGTGTTGATGGGCGAAGGGTGAAATTTGAAACTTGGTTTATGAGTGAGTATTACTCCCCGCCTTACCTGACTGAGACACTTGGTTCCCCCAGATCGTTTGTCATACCCTACCTAACAGGACACTGGGTGATCACGCTACTCCGGCGCTGTAGTCTTTGATGTAGGCGCCGAAACGAGATCATTGCATGCATTATCTACACCTTTACTTCCCAAGCTGTTTTCCACAATAGGCTGCTCCTTCGCTATATCTTTCTCGTCATTCACATGTACTGTCAGTTCCTTACCCGCTCTACGAATGAAAATATCTTCAATGGCGTCCGCAGGCACAACAAGCATCAGAGACGGAGGTCGGCGCCCATCTCTACCGTCATTTTCCCCCGAATACGGCTATCGAAGGACATGCGACCCACCGAATGTCAAAAACGATCCTACAACTGAACCTAAGTACCCAGTTATCCGCGTCCGATGGCCACTTAGTGATCCGTGCCTTCCGGCGTTTCCCCGTCGACCATAAGGTGAAACCGATGGTGCAAAAGGGTGTTCTTGGCCCACGTTTTGTTTTCTTACTGGAGGTTGACTGCAGGCAGTTGACATCAACGTCGTATGTGGAACCCGCAGATGAAAATGCTTTCTCGAGGTATTCACGATCATACACTCACAATCTAGCGGCAGATGAGGAGAAAAACACAGAAAATGAATATATCAAGTGTTTATCGCGTAGCTTGAGAGCCGGTACGAAAGTTACTCTGGCCATGTAGGAAGATCGTCCTCTTGTCTGGGCTTGCATTGATATCGCGTGTGTTTGCGAGTCGAATGCAAACGATGAATATGCCCAGACAGATAAGGTGAAACATTAGCAAAGGTATCGCATACAATAGGTGATATAGGTGACTTACGTGTGGCGAGAACGAAGTCAGCTATGATGAATGGGCCTGGTCGACATTAGAAGTGTGGTATACCTGTCAGATAAACCTACCCTTACCGTTCCCGCACTGTATGGCCGTCCGTTGATGAAGTAGGTATTGGCGATCGCTTGTTGTCCGCTCAGCACCAATCACACTCAGAGAACTAGCCCCCGTACGCGAGCGGGCGTGATAGGAGGGCCAAAAGTACCCAGTGCTCAGACATAAAAGAAAGGAGGGTGGGGATTTAAGGATTTGTGGATTTGGGATATACATTCTAGTAGGCTGAATCAGCATCAAGTTATTTGCTTCTGTCTCCAAAGAATAGATGTCGAGGCAGGGATCAAAGTCGGTGACGTTGTCCAAAGCCCTAGTACCCGGATGCGCACAGGGAAGGGGTCCCATCTATTTGAAGCTGTACCACCTTGCTCGCTGAAGGTATTCATGGCACATCAGAGGGGACTAAGGTCACTCCCAATGAGCAATACGGTTGACAAGGGACCAGCAACAGCACGTCGGAAAAATCAGATACGGCCCGGGGATGCTTCTCAGACCTTGCGAAGTGCTTACACAAAACCTGATTTCAAGGACATTAGCACGGGTGGCGCTGATCGCCTTTTCGAGTGTTGTTACGTCTCACGGAGCTCACACGCTGGAAGCTGCTAATCACATTATCGCTCCTGTGGTCCGCGCCACCGAGCACCTTCATACTCCAAGAATCTCAGGGTTCTGCAGGATGGCTAGCACCGGGAAGACGAAGCAGTAACGTTGAGCAGGCATATGAAGTAGGAAGGGGCGCGTAAATGTGCTCTATCGAGTTGCTCCAACCCCGTGTCACGTGTTATTTCAAGCTCTCTGTTGCTCGTCGCCAGGCGCATAGCGCTCACCCTTTGAAGAATCATCCGCGGTTTCGGACCCCTAGGCAGTACGTGTGATAACATAAGATATGCCTATGATTGTTGATCTAGCATTAACTGTGTGAGCTTATGGTTTGCCTCTTAGGAAGATGCGGTTGTTGGATGTAAGAGCGGTCATCCCTCGCGAAGAGAATATTCAGCAAGCTGGATCCAAGACCAAGGTTTTGGAGGAACTAGATGAAAAGACTACGGAATATGCGATACTGTCGCACCGCTGGGGAAAAGAGGTTGATTACGATGAGATGACTGGACTCATGAAGATGGACGAACAAGACAGGAACGAGGTCAGGCAACGCGACGGTTACCGGAAGATCATCAAGAGTTGCGAACAGGCCATGACGGACGGCTACACATGGTTGTGGATTGACACATGTTGCATTGACAAACGAAGCAGTGTGGAACTCTCAGAGGCAATCGGGACTATGTATCGATGGTACCGCAGCTCGCAGCTGTGCTATGTGTACCTCAACGATGTCGACGAATTAGCCTTTCCTACTGAACCAGACTTCGACAGGTTTGGGAGATCCAATGGTTGGCCGGAGTGGTTCTCGCGAGGCTGGACACTCCAGGAACTCATCGCTCCTACTGAAGTCGAATTCTTTAACAAGGACTGGGTGTCTATCGGCACTAAACGGGACCTGACATACACAATATCGAGGATAACGGGAATTTCATCCTCTGTTTTGCGGTGGGGTCTCCCACGGTCAGGACCCAAACCCAACATCGCTCAAATTCTGTCTTGGGCCGCTGACTGCAAAACAACGCGAGTGGAGGACCGAGCATATTCACTGTTGGGATTATTTGACGTGAATATGCCGATTCTGTACGGGGAAGGCTCGAAAGCATTTCGGCGGTTGCAGTTCGAAATCATCCGGGCATCCAGCGATCATACTATATTTGCATGGAATCCAAAGGGATGCCTTGTGAGTGGCGGCAGTGTCCTTGCAGATGACCCAAGCTACTTTCGGGGCTGTCATGACATGAAAGAACTGGGACGCGAAGAGTTCGTCGATGAACTAGGGGCGTATTTGCTCCAGAATTTGATTGATGTGGACGCAGACCCGCGGAATATTCGATCGTTGCTTTACAGTGTGGACCCTCCACCTTTCAGATTCAACATCACCAATCTGGGCATCCAGGTGTCGTTGCCTGTCCTGTCCGATGGCGACGACTGTTGTTTCAAGGCTGTACTGCCATGTCTTGACAGTTATGGAAACCTGGTCACCATTGACCTCTGCTACAATCGACTTTGCTTTTCCAGGCGGCGGCCCTCTACATCGATTATGAACACGATCTAATTTTGCAAGTCACCTTATCTTGATTGCTTTTGAGACGGTGAGAAGATCTGTCACACTCTCAGGCTCAATGACAAGCGTGCCTTGTGGCATGGTTTTTCCCGTTGCGGTGCTTTCCCGTACAACGTCGCAGGGGACGCATTCACATTGTCACTAGGAAACACACTCGTCGTGCTAGTCTATGCCAATGACAACACCAAATCTCGCTTTGCAGTTGGATTTGGATGTTGCTTTGGTTGGGAATGGACACGTTGTTTGTGACGAATGCCCTGTAGACCACGAGGCCCGGTCATCGTACCTTGACTTTGCTAAGCAGGTATATGATTTCTTATGGAGTGCATCTATCCACAACTCCTTTTTATTCTCCGATGACATCGTTATTGAGGTCGCTCACCTTCCCCGATCCATTTGGGATGCAAGGATTGTTCGCGGCAACAACTATGGTGGCTACACCGACGTGATGATCAACGTCGAGCAATGCCCTGGTTGTTGTACTGGGTCACGTCAATATACAGATATATTTGTCGGTACTTTCTCCCATGTATGCGTTCGGATCTAACCATCTAAACAATCATAGCTGCCTTTGCATGAATTGGAATTGGATGGGGAATCTACACAGCTATATGAGTGGACCGATGAAGAGATTGCAGTAAGTCATAATGTATCTCTTTGGCCTACGCCAAGTCTCACACAAACAGCTGGGCGACTATGGCAACTACGGCGACTCCAGATTGGGCCATTTCAAACGCCATGGAAACATATTCGAAGATATACAGGAGCTTGGTATCAATCCCAGGGATTTAGTTTATCACCTAGTCATCTCTCGTGTATCCAGCCGTAAACGAGTGCGTGTTCGGCGTTGCGTGCAGGCTCAGCATGACATTGTGGAGTCGCCTCCTGTCGGCTTTGTCATGGTCAAGGGCGCCACGGAAACTGTCACACCCTTGGCATTACATCAACCCAAGGCCCTCTCGCTTCCAGACAATGAAGAATTCAGGTTATTGTTTGAAGCTTCATCAGAGAGACAGGGAATGACGGAATCGCGGTCACGACCAGTCAGTGACAGGTTTAAACAGGTTTAAACCATTCTTTTGCTTCCTGATGTTTATCACCCTGTCTTTCAGGCAAATGTGTTGTGACAGCAGTCATACAATGCTCAAAATTCCACAAAGTCAATGAAGGAAAATGGATGGATGTGGAAAGTGGTAAGTTTACTCAGGAGATGATTGCTACTTTTGTTTTGATCTTGCATGTCAGATTCAGCATCAAAGGGTGATAATTGGTCTGCAGACTCAGCAGGCATCTTTATCCCTCTATGCAAATTTGTAAGACCATTGATTCAGCATGGTCAACTGGCATGCATTGAGAAAAGGGAACAACACAAAAATATTAGGTGATCTGTTTGCAATCACATTGCTTGTAGCATCACTGATACTGTGTTTGAAATACAGGGAACACTTCTATGCCTCAACAAATCTGGCAACTACTCCTATTGACCAGGCTGTGAGCGAGAATTGTGTATCACTCACAAACACACCCTCATGGTGACCACAGAACAAACAAATGCTGAACAGAGCAGTCAACTTATCAGCCAAGTTTGGTTTAGAGTACCTGAAGAATTTTGTGTGTGTTCATCATTTGATATCTCAGCCTGTTTATACCTTTGAAATGTAGGTTGGTGATATAACATTTTTTGAGAGGCTCCCTTCAATAATGGAAACTCAGCTACCCTGCAATGCCTGTGTAAACATGACAGAAGGTCAGCATACACCATAGGTATTTATTGGGAAACTTCTGCTGCAGTATAGGAAATGGATTATCAGTGCCCCCATTGGATCAGACATCTGTTAGTTGGGCAGTGACACAGAATCTATTTGAATGCTGACCCAAAGCATGGCAGAACACATGCTGTGAAGCTGTGATACCCTTTTCCCTTGAGAAGTGCAAAGGCTGTGACAGAAAGTCCCTTTTTCGAGATGCAAAAGACCCAGCACCAAATAGAGTCTATATCCAAAACTCTCAGTGTTGGGGTAAGTGTCACTGTCAGCCAAAAGGAATTGAAGCTGATTCAAGCCATGAAAAGCTACTTGAACAGATCTGTACCACTCACCTCAATGCATCTGGTGGCAATCAGTGAGTGCTCATTTCTTCTTGTATTTTTCTGCACTGCACTGTTCTTTGTGCTCTGGTTCCAGAGGAACAGGTCAAATAGGCCACTCTAGTCATCATATGGTTGGTACCACCCCTTGACATTCAGTGGTGCAGGTCCTGATACTGGGACAGGCTAATGTCCATTCAATGGTACAAGAAGTTGAGGTGCTACAGGCAAAACTCCAGGCCACACAGGATGAAGATGAACAGCAAGCACTGGAGGAGGATATAACAGGAAAGGCAAGGATACCTTCAAGCTGTAACCTGGCTGAAGCTGATTGCTTGTCTGTTATAGATCCTGTGGTTCTATTGGTGTGGGATCTGTTCAGAAGTGGGCCAACTATTAGCACAGGTAAGCCAGTGATTTTGTCTGTTCATGTCCCTTGACATTGTTCAGGTCATGAACTCTGAGAAATTTCTTCCCCAGCAGGATTTGCATGAGATTGCAGAGATTATTATGAGATCTCCACATATGGACCTGGACAATGGTACAGTTCATTTGCAGAGGTAAGTGTAGTCATTTAGTCTGCAGTGTCAATGCAATTTGCTGAACATGCATTGTTCAAGGATCATGCTTGATGCAGGTGCAGGCATATCAAGATATGAGCTGTGGCTTGCTGCTTGGACTGCATGACAAGCTAGATTGTCAAGAGTTTTGGGAATCAACTCTATTCTTGGCACTCAAGAGACTGCCCCTCAGAGTACAAGTGAAGTGCCCTCCACATCAGTTGTTTAGTAACACTGGAACCTGGCAATGGAAGACTTTGACTTTGGCCATGTGGATTCAATGGATCATGTAGTCAACAGGTAACCTCCTCAATGAACTGTATATCTAAACCATGTATGCACTTCTATATCCTCTTGTAAACTAACCTTTCAATATGATTTATGTGACCTTTCCTTGTGGTGTATCACATGCCCCTTGCCCTGAAAACCAGTTCTCAACCTTGCTGGAACCCTGAAACCCCAAAGAGTCAAGATTGACTGTGAGTAGTGTCCATCATAACTATAGGTGTTATAAGCCAGTGATCTCATGGTTTCTTGGGAAAACATGAATTGCTATGGGTTCTATGGGTGGGCATGTCTGGAGGTCAAAGGAGTTACGAAGCACTATAAAGACACTTGCCTATGCATATCCCAATATACAACCTTATGTGTGCACTGAATCATGAACAGTCCAGTTTGAGGTTAGTTACAAGTTTTAATGGATCAGACCATTCCCCAGCTGCAAGGAGTTTTGCCAACTGAAGGTAGAAGCATCACATCAGTGGTGGTGGTACAGGAACTGGAAATTTGCCAAGTCTGTCAAGAGGGAATAACAGAAAAAGTTATTTGTAGTACATGTGTGACACCAATTGCAGTCACCAGTGGTGTGAACAGCAGAACCCTTGACCCCAGTGGTCTCTGGTGTGGTGGCTAGGTGGCATGGAGAACAACATGGGAATCAGTAGACATGGAACCTACACAACTTACAAACATTGGTGAGTGAGTAAAGATGGGAGTGGCACTTGCCCAGAGAACTCCAAGGAGAATCACAACAACTACCCCTCTCAGCACATCAGGAAAATAACACTTTACTATTTTTGACTTTTTGTGACTAATGTGACTTTTTGGGAAGGAACCTACTATCATTACCCATGTCCTGCAGGCATGGCTGCACTTTTCTTGCTGATTTTTGTCTTGTTCAAACCACCTAATTCATAGCTTTCAGTAGATACCACATACATTCAAATTGATGGAGGTTCCAAAGAGATATTGTGATTTTTCTCTCAGACAGTGTGCATCACACCAATGGCTCAATATCTCTGAATTTTCAGACATTTTCTAGTCTTCTTGGCTTAGATATATCATCACTTAGTTGTCTCAATAGATTCTGTTCTCTTTTCATTCTTCAAAATACTGTATATGGCCAAAAAAAAAGTACAGATAGTAGGTCCCTTCCCAAAAAGTCACAAAAAGGTCAAAAATAGTAAAGTGTTAATTTCCTGATGCATCAGGTGAAGTGATAAGACCCTCTTGGGCAAAATATGATTCTTGCGGCACTTGAAGCTGTTGACACACGTCAGACAATGACCTGCGAGACTGAGGTATGTATATCGAGCAACAGCCTCGAGCAAGATGTTTTAAAACTCAATATGTATGTACAGAGATGCACGAGTATAAGTGAACAAACCCATCAGTGGGATTCAATTGCAGAAATTCTACAATCAAACTCCGTCATTCCGAGAAATATACCTGAAATTCAACAGGTTGGAATGGGATAGTATGGCATTTCGTGTGTCATTGACCAAAATAAATAAATAAATCTTCTGACTACCTACCTACGAATTCACCCAAGTGGGTGGGGTGAAAGAGATACGATAAAGAAAAAAAGAGGGATCAGGATGAGGTCGGAGAGCATCGAACGAAGTCAAGTAGAGTTGTGGAGAGGTGTGAGCGTGAGCGTGAGATGAAATGGATGCGAGAGTGGATAGAAGATGGGGGGGATAAGACGATCAATTATATATGGGCGGGTCCATCATAATGTGTCATAACAATCATCATAGATAGCAGTGCGTGGCGGATAGTGTGGAGATAGGGAGGGGAGGGGGTTTCAACAGATGTCTAGACCGGGCGTGGAAAGGGAGGAGGGGGGACCGCAGAAGGGGGGGAAAGCATGGAACATAGTGGATATAAAGTACGAAAAAGGGTACCATAGAAAAAAAATGGGTATGCCGGTGATCGACAACAAAGCGAAGAAAACAAGCGACGAACCAATCGAAAACGCGCCACCGAGACACCCAAGCCTTCAAGGCCGCATCCTCCATCCGCCGCCCTCGCCTCGTTTTCGATCCCTGCCTATACCTCCAAATGCCTCGCGGACAACTAACCAGAGCGCCGTAGACGAAATCGTATCCTTAATCTCCTCCGCAGTGAGCACCAACCCGCCGTAACCACTCCCACCTGTCGCACCAGAGGTAGCAGGGGTCTCTGCCGTCGTCCGAGAGACGCCATGTGCCGTGAGGATACGCTTCCTCACGGCCATCTGCTCAACTTCTATATCGGGGAGGGGGAATGGCACTTTAAGCAGGCCGACGACTTTAGGATGGTGGGGTGTCGGCGAGAGCGTGGCGACTTTGAGACAGACGGATTGGGGTTGCGAGTGATGGTTTTCAGCGGCAACACTAGGATGGCGAAAAGATGACGAAGGTGATGAATGAGACCATACGCGCCGGATTGTGAGTGTACATATCCATGGCGTCTCAGAGTCTTCGGGGTCGCTATCATCGCCAGAGTCCTCGTCGGTCCCCGGCGAACGTCGATGTTGCTGTTGTGATCGGGCGTTGTGGGGCGCAATGCTGCTCTCGTCTGTGACTGTGTCTGAATTGCTATGCTGGGAAACAATGGAGAGGCGTTGATCCTCTAATCCCACAGCAGCATCGACGGCAGCTCGACGGATAGATCCAACTGGAGAGGGTGTCGACAGTAGTGGTTTGCTGGGCCACCGACCAACCGTAGCCGTCTGTTGTTTGTTGTTCTGGCCAGTCTCGTTATAGCTCTCGCCCACCTGCCGCTTTCCTCTCACTCTGTCCTTCTCCCGCTGTTTCTTCTTCCCCCTTTCCCACTCAAAGCGAACCTCAACACTGCCACTGCCATCTGCGCCCATACTGGCATTCGTGTTCCCAGCACTTCCACCCGTGCGTCCATTGATATTCAGTCTCCCCATCATGCCGTTCAAGAGACCCGTTTCTGTACCCTTGAGCCACTTGCGGATCACCCACACATACTTCGTCGGACGTCCAGGAGGGGGTTGGACCGAAGGGTATAGAGCCGCCTGCACACCAAGCACGGGGGAACAGTACACTGTCGAGGTGAATGGAGTCGTACCGGTCATGGGGGTAGGTGCTAAACTATCATCTCCAAACCCAAGCTGAGCGTATGGAGCAGACTCCGGTACGCCTGAATGCAAAGGATCGCGCAGAGGCAAGGGAGCTCCACGCGCCACGTTGTGACTGGTTACGCGTGGAGGCGCGGATGGGGGTGCTTGGGGATCCGTGCCTGAGGTGGGGACTGCGATTGATAAGGTACGCGATGGATCTTTCTTCTTGAACATACTTGTGAAGAGTTTTTTCCGGCGAGGGCCTGACTGCGGCACATCACCTGGGGAAAGTGGAGAGTTGTCTGTGGGCGGAAGCGTGACATTGATGGCCGGCGGCGGCCGATGGTGGGGGTCCCTGTCCAGTGCAGAAACAGTAGAGTAACTCGTCGATGGGCGGTCTTTAGATGTGGGATATGTGCGTGGACTAAGGCGTGGAGATACTGCGCCAAATTCGCGCTGCGGGTCATCGATGGAGGTGCGTGCGATGTTGGTGGTGGTCTGTTCCGGTGGCATCGTTCGCGGCAGTGGTGCAGACCCCCATACTTCAATTGGTTCCAGGATGGCGAGCCCAACGATTTCGAGACCGCGCTTAATGAATTTGGCTACTTTCGCGTCCGTACCAGCGTCGACTATGGTGTTTGTCATGACGTGGTGGGCCTGGAGGTTGTAGAGAGGGATGATCGTGCGTCTTCCTGAAGACGTCGTGGAAGTGGATGCAAACGAAGATACGGAAGTTGCGGAGGTGTATCCAGAGTAGTCAGACCTATCAGATGATGTTCGAGCCAAGTCGGAAGAGTCTGTGGTGCCATTCTGATGCGAAGGGTCAAGTGCTTGTACAGTTGAAGAGGAGCTAGCGACACGAGATTGTGGGGGGACGAGTTGGACCTGTAGATTGAGCGGATGGATTGATTTGGAAGGGGGAGGTCGTACGACGATGAACGTCTGACAAAGGCGGGTTCAGGTGAGCGTCGAGAGGAAGAGAGCAAGCAACACACCTCGTTTGGTGGCCTGTCTTTCTTGCTCTTTTTCCTTGGATTGGGGGCGTCTGTAGTGGGTGTCATGGTGCCATTCTTGTCATCTGGCAAGCCAATGGTGCTGGTCGTTGGCGGTGGAGTATCTGGTATGGGTGAGCGTAGCTGATCCTGTTGATTGTTATTATAACTACTCGGCTGAAGGATGGAAGGCAAGAACGATGCCAGCGACAGCGACGAGAGCATCATCCCTTGCAGACGGGTCGTCGAGTCTGACGCTGCCAAGCCGAGTTGTATATGTTTCGTGATTATGTCACTCATCGCTTAACCCCAGCTGCCTTATATGGAAACACTTCGGTCAACTCCGACAGGTCCTCCGATGGAATGTCTCCGTCGGCACACCCATATATGGTAATCACCTGCGGGGTCGTACGATCAAGGGAAATCATTTGAGTTGCCGGCTCGTTCTCGTGTTATCAGATTTCTGATTGCCCGAACCACTCGGCGCTGCACACAATGGCGCGCGCACATGACACCGTCGTAGCTGCGCTCACAGCCTTTCATGAACCTAGTACCCGTCTTGTGCGTCCTGGCACCAGGAAAGCAGACCTCCGGGCACACCGTTGTGCCTTAACGAATTAAAAATCTAGAATCTATTTAAGATAAGGGGTGCCGATGCAATGACGCACGCCCGAATGGATAAGAGCTCCGATGGAATCATCGTCTCCCCACACCGTCATCATATGACGGAGCTACCAGGTACGGTGTCCAGACATAATCGCAGCACGCCACCTAATCTTGACAGGGGGAAGGCCAGATTCGAGTCGTTTACCCTAACCCTCCGATAGTGTCTCGACACTTGAGATTGGCAAGTACCAGTTCAGGTTCGTACATCAGGTGCCTCCGCCGAACGCATCCGTTATCCACGGCACTGTGGTCTGATCGGATCAGCCCTGGAATGAAACAGACACGATTATATCCGCCAAATCATGATCTTACCTGCCTCTTACTTCATGTTCCATATCGTACCACATCACGATGGAATTATTCATGCCATCCCATACACACGCAGAAGGGGAACCCTCCCGCTCTGGCACTTCGCATCACTGGTGCTTACGCCGAGCTCGTTACCAAGACATCTTTCTTACTCATCTTCCTTCATCCCTCTCTTCCCTGAACACGTCATTGGCTGCTAATTGGGTTGCCGACACCCCCTCCGAGCAGCCTGGCAGATATAGCTTGGCTTCCGGTGGGTACCTAGATACGCTGTGGTGGTACCGCAAGGATTCTACGTAGTAATCGGCTGGCGTACAAGCTGTGCTAATTAGCCACTGGGAGGCACCAGTATATGTGATCATGGGAAACTCGACACCAACTCCTTCATTAGTTACGTACCTTCTCTGTTCAGTAGACACGACAATCTGATTGAGGCGCATACGATACGACACGGACGTGCAAGTCTCGGATACTGTGGGTTGCATATGATCGAATGTTTGGGTCAGCACGGGTCCGAAGGTAGGTAAGCAAGATTGACAATGCGACAAAGGCTCTACGGGTACAGACCTGACGCTCGGGGCCTATCTTAGAAGTGAGAAGAGAAGTTAAAACCCGTCAGTCGCCTCGCTCGACAATTAATCCCAATCATTCCATCGGGTGCACGGTGATTAACAATGCCCAAAAAGGAACTTTGCGCTGAGGATTGCACATGGTGTGATTAATTGTTTTCCCGGCAGCTACGACCGAGTACTGCATGGGTGACACGAGAATGCCACGGCTTGCGATGATTCAAAGGTGAGTTACACCAGTGGCGTTGACAAGCAGCCGATATTGAAGGCGTGTAATTTACCAGCGTTGCAATCCGTGCCATAGACCGAAGTGTAGTGTACCTTCCAGGAACATGCTGCGTCCGTCCGTTTCTCCTCCTCATCTGGCGGAGGCTGATATTCGTTGTCCCTAGAGGAAGGGAATAATCCCGGAATAGTCGGGCGTGCGTTGCGACGGGAAATCCGTCCGAACTGATGTCTCAAGTGTTTCATCATCCACATCAGCTACTAGCTGAACTCCGTTGCTGCCGGACTGTCATCTTACCTGGGAGGGCCCAACGTTGCGCCGGTACAAACGTAGACAACCAGAGCGGGAGAGAAAAGTAGAAAGCGACGAAAAAAAAACACATTCCGACACTTGCCGGCCAAGCCTAAATTTATTCCACGTTTATAAGACCCGCCAACGGCGCAGTGCTCTACCTCAGCATTCGTTTTATGTCCGGTTAGTAGCCATAAGTACATCTGGCACAAGTTGTGTCTACGGTTACAGGGACGGCAGTGTAGCTAGTTGGAGTAATAGCAGTATACAAGCAAAGCAACAAAGCAAGTCAATATGTCCTATGCTATGAGGGCGGCCGTCAAAAACTGCCGAGCAGTGAATTGTGATAGTGGTTTGTCGGAAGGATGCAAACGCCAATAATGGCAGTGAGGCCCATCAGTCATCGAATGGCACATTTGTAAGACATCCCTTCATCATCTTTTCCTTTGCCTGCCGGCACAGACCATACTTTAAACATCTTGATTGTCTCTTCCACGGGGCTCACGGTAAAGATAGAGCACCCGTCCGGTCCTATACAGGCATGCCCGATCGGGGCACTGTGTGCGTTGACGGAAACAATTTTGTCACTTGATGGGTATGCATGTACCGTCATCGAATTACTGAACGGTGTTCTAGGGGCCTGCTTTGCTGGTGGCTCCGCACGACGTATGACATGCCATGGCTCCCACGACAAGCCATGGGTACTTAATATCTCTTTACAGTGTGGAGACCAGTGCAAAGCCGTGACGTTCGTTTCCGTGGGGATGGTAAGAGGAGAATTGGACTTGTTGATATTCCACAACTGGATTTTCCCATCTGGAAATAGCCCGCCAGTAGCCAGCAAGCCATTCTGCCATGGAGCCCACGAGATGGCCTGTGGGTCGCTTAGATATCGTAGTCAACCGCGGAAGACTTGACCCACCTTCACTGGACCTTCATGCTTCATCAGAACCTTCCTGTCATTAACTGTAACGTGACCCCCGGCCCGCATGTCCCAAACATGAACACTTCCAGATTGGTCTCCTGTCGCTAAACACCGCCCATCTGGAGACCATTTGGTACCGATGACATGTCGCCTATGACCCTCAACTCGTTCAACCTGTCTCGGAGAACGGATGTCGAAAAGTGATACGCGCCCATCCTTCCTTCCAACGGCCAGCATGTTCCCGTTCCAATGAATGCCCCCTACTGGGGAATCGTCGTCGGACCAATCGGTAATTTGCATCTGGGTCAAACTGTCCCATGTTTGGACGATACCACACGTGGTACCCAGTGCCAAGATGTGTGGATTCGCTGTGCCACCCCAATCCACGCTATGAACCATACCATCTGCGGCCGGCACCCCACACAAACGTACGATAACACGAGTGTCAAGGTTTTGGAAATACACGTTCAGCTTGAAAGCTACACCAATGCAGTTCGAATGCGACCAAGCCATAGGAGATGCAAACAAATTGAGCGATATTCCAGGCCCATCAAGTGCCATAATAAACTGTTTGCGGACCGCCAGGTTGGACTTGGCAGATATAGCAGATGTAGTCCGTGGGGTGTTAAAAAGTTCTGACGCACACCTCCTGAGGATAGACCGAACCTTCGTCTGTGCTGGTGTTGCAGAGGTTTCGCCACAATTCAAAACACGATCGTCGACGAGACCAAATGACTTGGCGACGCGGTTCGTGCGGGGAGTGGTATTAAGTGGTAACGTTGTAGACCCCCGCACTGCAAGAAATCGGTCTGCCTGAATAATTTTGAGGGGTTGAGGAGCATTTCAAGGGCAATATACTGAGTGCCACTGACGTCAGTCTCCTCCACGGCCGCTTCTGAGGCAGGTGAGGCCCTGAGCTCTGTCGCCTCGAAGTCGAAGTTTGGAATGGAAAAACGACGTTTTTTCTTGCTCGATTGGCTGATCGAGAGGGTAGCCCTCGACGGTGTCCGCTTCAGGAGTGGCGTCTGGCTACATGAGCGCTGAGGCGTCAAAGGATACAGATCCCTGGACAGGGTTTAGTGTAACAGCGCTAAGAAGAGTACATGATACTCAACGATAGCATATTCTGTTGTGCGCTATTAGACCTGCCTTGCATTACTTCTGAGTGATAATGTGATGAGGAGTACGTGCCACTGTCTTTTGATTACACACGGGCCGAGGCGACAGTGGCGGTGCAAGCGCAAACCTTGACCAACACAACCATTTCGATGATGGATATCGATGACTGACTGGCTTGTGTTTAGAAGAATATTGCATTTCTGTTGCTGCGAGTTCAGCTGAGACTCGCCTACCAACTATCGTTTCATCATACCCGGCAAGTAAGGTGCGCATCGCTTTGCACAGCGTGGTCGAAACGATCATGCAAAGTTATACGCACCTTACCTATCCTGCTGGAAATGATGTGGAAGTACAGAGAGTCTTCCCCCCGATCAATGTAGCAATGCACTTTTCTTCTTTTTTTTGTGTTGTTATCCCTACATACACTGTTATCATACGCTGAATCTTTCTAGCCCGAGTGTCGTCATCTTGCATTGTACAGCGTAGACTTGGTAAGTTCACAGTTTCCTTCGGAGTAATGTAGCCTAGGAGCGTTACATGTCACCAAAGCAACTGGGACGCCCCGCCGGACTCAAGACGAAGAGTAAAAATAATTCGCGTGCCTCTCATGGTGAAATTTCACCGTTCGAGCACGGGGGATCGCTCGTGCAGTATTGAGCACGCACGGAGCCTACCCGAACGGGAAATATATGTGAGTCCACCAATACAAGAGTAAAGTAGGCGTCCGTGTTAGCTCGATGTCAGTCTAATCGTGAGGAATGGGCGCCTAGGAGCTGAACAGGTGCAGGGACGCAAGTGGGAGCTGATTACTCACACTGGGAAATAGATGAGCTACTCTGAAGTCGTTCATCTCGGGTGTCCGTGCTGAGGCCCACCCCTAAAGAAAGAAAGAAAGAGACGGTTTCATACGTCGCAGTTTCCTCGGGGGAGGGGTTTGTTCATGGCACGGCTTGGCGTCGGCAGGCGGGAAATTATATAGAAGGTAATGGACCCGTGTCTGGAACCTGCGGTTCTACCGATACCCTGATAAAACTTTTCAAACAGTTTCACCCCTTACTTGTCGAAGTCACGGTAAACGTGCAGCGGCGATTTTAGGAATCTTTGACCACTCTTCTGTGATGGTAGAAATCAATCGATCACTCCTGGAAGATCCGTCCAGAACCCTGTATTGTATCGCGCCGCAGTTTTTGCGTGATCTGTGTGCATGAGAGGTGTTGTGGAGGTTTAGGGCTGGACCACTACCCCTGATAATAGAAGTTACATATGTCTACCAATAGTGGTCCATCTGAGGTACGTATAGCTAGAACTTAATTTTTTAAGTTTTTTTCCGAAACGACCATGCCGATATGGTCGCACTGTTACGACTATGAAATAACATACCAGGCGGTGAGTGCGATCTTTTTGTGTCAAGTTACTCTCGCAGTGCCGTGAGGGAACCTGGATTGCTTCCAATAGCAGAAGTATTATGCCCGTCTGCAGGGCGCGGAACAGTCCGGCCTCCTTGGATTGCATTACCTGTCACCAAATCAAGGGAAAGACAAATCGTTATTTTCCCTAGAACGGAGAACATTCCCCTACCAGCATGATTTTTTACTGGCGGAGAAGTCAGGCCGTTTGATGAGTCCGTTTCTAATTCACCGTGGCACAAGGCTCGTTAAAATTACTATCCCTTTCCACGTAAGGATTCGTTGGTTCTCCGTAAGACTCCTGCAGGGAAGTGCTCACCACGGGTAGCTCATGATCCGAAGGCACGAACATGGAAAGATATCAGCCACATCTGTCCACTGCCTCTAGCGACGCGCGATAGCAATCAACGTTGAACCCATTGAGACGTCCGTTCTCATAACTTCGGATTCCCAATGGAACGAAGTGAGAATTGGGCGAATAGTATTGATCGCATAATACATTCAAATGCGTTCCAAGCGCCGGCTCCTTCACAAGAGAATCACTCAGGACTTTGCATTGGACGCCGGTTTCCACCAAGATTTCTCATACGCCATTGGGTTCAGAACTGCAGATAGGCCAGGTAACTTTTCCTCCATCTGGGAAACAGCTACGCGGCGCGGCTGTTGACAACTCTCCCGCACTTGAGCAAGCCCTCTCATTGGCCAAGAAGTGTTTTACCAAGCGCGCAAGAAGTCTTGCGACAAGTCACTTCCAAACGGAGGCACCCATACGCTGCTCATCCCCTCGGGAAGTTGGGCAGATGGACATCTGACCGCATATACGAGTTATCACCCTAATCCCCGAAGGTTCTCCTCTATTACATAGCAATATCTGTGTGTTAACTCAGGGCTCTAGTACCCGCTTGCTAACCTACACAGTATTCATAAACCAGACGCATCCAACTCGGAATCAGCCGTTCAATGTGTTTGACCGCTGGATCGCATCTTTCCCCGACGACGGCCTATCCATCCAGTTGGCGTCTTCTCTCTGCATCGCTATCCGTAGCCACAAGGTTCCCCCGGTGGAGCGTATATGCCGTTTCACACGGTATCAGGGTCGTGAGTGTGTGAGATCATTTAGTAAGTGATCCTTCAAGTGTGGCGCAGGGGTAAGCCCGTTTGCTCCCGCGCATACACACTAACAGATGGTTCTCAGCTATTCGGGCACCTGGATCATGGCTCACCGATCAGTTCTAGGGGCTATACTTAATCTCGGCCTGCACCAAGCAAGACTATCTCCGCAGTGGGCGGATGGCAACCAGTAAGGTTTATCGTTCAATTCCAGTTCTACATACACCGAGTGGGTCTAGTATACATACCTTAGAGGCATCATGAATCGTCTCCCATCCATGATGATGTCAAAGGGGTTTGTCTGCAGTAACATAATGCTACCATCGCTGTGGACTCTGGAAAGGTAAATCCCCCGCGTTCATGCACACTAAGTCCTTATTAATTACGGGTTTGCCTCGTATGTGAGTAAACGCCGCGGTCGGCATGAAATATCACCTGTCATCCAGCCCCATCGGCGGCAGTAGTCCGTCGGATGGGTGACTGACTGTGGCTATTAGTGACGGCAATGTACTTATAACTTGCGGGCCACCGCAGGCCCATTTGACCGATACCGGTTAGGCTGCACTCGGTTATTGGGACACTATTCGTCAATCGTCATACATAGCACGATCAAAATCCGCGGAAAAATCCCGAATACCTATAAAACAAGTTAGAAGGACATTACTCATGTAACGGGCCAGTTATATGCTTGAGGACAGAATATCTCGATAAATCTAATACCGCCTGCTCATTACGAAACAACCCTCATAACTTTGGACGTGAGAGGGACTAAGAGCGTCCCGCCAACGTCCAGACAAATGACCGTCGCTATTCCCAACAAGAAACCCACGATACAACCATCTCCCCCGATCACCACCGACCTGCACGATGAATGAACGATACAGTCAAAGAATAGCACAAGATGACGTACGTATTCCTTCAACAGGCTCACCAGTCCATCCAGCGGACGAATACGACCATACAAATTAAACTGACCCCAAGCGGAATGACCCTTGAGCTACATCAGCAAGGTTGCCTGATCACATCAACGTAGATTTACCTCGCCGATAACTATGATATCACAGATTAATTGCTCGCGCGTTCTAGTGCGCAATGATCGCCTGTAATGAATGACCTCTTCCATTCCTGGCGTGTAAACCTCCAGAAATTCTGAAAATTCTCGTAGACGAACGTCAGATGGAAAGAACGCTCTGAGAGCATCGCCCAGTCCCAGGGGTTGAATATTCTCGAGAGACTCTGGCGAGCCCAGTAAGTGATATTCGCGTAATTTCCATGTCTGACGGTGTTGTGCAACCTGGCAATTGCGCAAGACAGGGGGGAGACCGCCTGATAATAGAGACGAGTATACGTCGAACTCTGTATACTATTGGAGTGTCACAGATGAATTGGAAAGGTAGGTGATTGGGCTGACTGTAAAAAGGCCTTCCCATATGCCTTCGAGTGATCCGGGTATGTATGACAGTGCCAACGGCACGCTGGGTTGAGCTAGGTTGATACACCTTTGCCAGTCAGCATCCCAGTCCTCGCTTTTCCTCGAGTCCAGTGGAATACTGGAGAGAGCCTTGGGTAAGTGGTTTGTGGCGCCGCGCGAAAGCAACTGCAAGGCGAATGTGAAGTAGGCGAGTATGGCTGCCGGAGCAAGTGTTGGAGTTGCTACGAAGTATGTCTCGGAAAAATGAGTAAAGCTTGAAGCCGTCGCTCTCGATTCTAAAGTAAATTCCGCCCACGAAGGCTCACATATGGCGTACTGGACGACACGCCGTCAGAGGAGGCCACGGTTTACAGATTGGGAGTTACACGAACACGATTGGCTGCTAAAGCTGTAAGTTTCAATGTACTTATCAGGGCGCGATAGTTAGTTGGGGTCCGAGGCAACGAATCTGAGTTGAAGGATTGACCATGTGACGGTAATTGGGAGAAGAGGACGAGACTCACCTGGACGAACGAGGAACCATAGCAACCACATTGCCAACGAGTTTTTCTCATCTTCCAGAGGCCACTGGTCCCGACTGATCCGGTGCGACGCCAATGATGCGCCTTTCTCGTCAAACCAGTAGTCTATCAACCAGGTCTCCATGTTCGCATACTCCCGAAGCTGCCGTTCATTCTTGCCATCGTTCTCCAGCATCATCAAATAGGCTAACCAGAGTAGGTCGCGCAAATAACTCGGAGATTCACCATGTTCCGCCGAGTGGTAGTGAACTCTGGCTCCGGCTCCTGCTCGGATTAACTTCAAATGCGTGAATCTCTTCCGCAGCTCGATGGCAAGGGTCCTTGGAAAGCTTATAGATGAACCTAAACGCCTAAGTGCAGCTCGGGTGTCGAATTTGAAAGTGAATGTGCGAGCGTAGAGTACGGGGTTGTTCTCGAATGACAGGCGCTGATAGATATTCCGACATGTTCTCAGCAGTGGTGGAAGATCCAATGGTGGGCCAACCCGCGATTCCGTCGCTGCAAAGTAAGCAATGTCTTCAAGGACTTCCTGGGGTAGTTGTGAAAACGAAAGCATTTCCGGTTGAGAGGGTTGAACGTTGAGGCCTTGAGGCCGTGCGCTGGAGTGTTGTGGAATTCCACTAGGCACCTAGCAGTGGCGCATTAGGATTTCCTGATTCATGTGTGACCTAGTAAGCTGTAAATACGTAGTAGCCTATAGCTAATGACCAGTGAACCACTCGGATGATATACTTCCTAGCGGATAGTTGTAACGGGGCTGGTGATACCACGAAGGCCAATATGTTAGGTAGCAATACTTAGTAAGAGATGTATGTATACTATAGTGGCTCAATATATAAATGTCATCGACGTTCATGATGGGGCCTTAGGGAGTCGCCGCCAACTTGGACATGCTGAAGATGGATTCCCACTCAGCCGGTTGTTCGCCAACTGATATACTTCTCCACCTGCCAACAAAGTTACAAGAGGAGATCACTGTCGGGGGCCGCAGGCAACGCAGTGATCAGATCTTCGACACAGGTACCACAAAAAAGCCAGATTACTTGCCATATCCCCTAAACAGCGCACGGCCAAGCTGGTCTGTATGATCTTCGGCCTGTGCTCATCGTGAGCATTAGCAAGGCAAGATGACGAAGGACGCTCACAGGTTCGCGCACAAGAACGATCAGCCCGTCCGACGGTCGAACCCTTCCTACGTACTTATATCCACGCCACGCCGAGGCGTAAGGTTCTTCCGTCTGAGATACCTTGCATCAGAAAATAGCAATGGTTTTTTTCACAACGCCATACCTCGCCCACAATAATAACGTCGCGAATTTCACCGCTGTGGGATGGGTCCTGGACATCACTGCACTGGGGAGAATTTTGTGGCCGCCGAAGTGGCACATAGGTAGTCCGGAAAGAGTTGTTTTTTCCAATAAATTCTATTCCATTCTGTCCAAATGCCAGATGAGTCAGATTTTGCATGTTGACAGCACTTAAGAAAATCAACCCACCTCGACTTTATACGACCGGCAACCCTGAGGCATGAAAGCATTAAAGAATGTGTTCCCATCTCGCTCCACGGGTACAGGCGTCGTTGGCGGATAACAGTAGTACTCGCGAAAATGGACGTAGAGTGGAAACCGGCCAAAGAAAGGAAGGGCCGATGGTGCCTCAGGGGACGACATCATCGATTTGTAGACGTCCAGGAAAGGCGTCTTCGAGAAATGAGTTCCGGAAAGTTTCCTCGATAAATAACTAACCATGGAGGAACCTTGCCAATAACCGGTCAAGGTACCAGGAATATAATAACCCGACATCGTGGGCGGAGTGCCAGCCAACGACCGAGACCAGTCCGCATCATGACTTCGACTCTTGAGATAACCATCAACCTGCGGGTCGTCCGAACGGGAGCAAATTAAGCGAGTATTACAATGAGTGTTAAAGTGATCGACGTCCTCCTTGGTAGGGCCGAGCAGAATTCCCCTCGACAAGGCCTCCTGACGATTAGCTGGTAGTTCAGGGGGTACTTTGAGGGGGAACTCCTCCGCCCTAGCGAACTGACTGAGGATGGCGAAGGGGGCTATGGGTGGAAGAGTAAATTGGGTTTGAACCCCGAAGTATTCTATGGTCATCGAGACAGGTCGAGCCGGAGGGTAGACACCATGACTCGATACGGCTAGCTCGATTTTGTCGGAGAGATAAAACATAGTTTCAGGCTCCGTGAAACACGGATACTGGGAGTAGTGAGTAATGCATGCATGAGGGAAGCGTACGTACGTACTCGGAAGCCTGCATACGCGTAATATGATAAAATATCAATGGTTCTTTGTCGGAGTTGTGTCTCCTGGCGAAGGCCGCCTACTCGGCGGGATGAAAATGACAACACGTGTAAATTTGGAGAGACCCTACAATGTGAAGTGATAAACCAGAGTAAGGCAACAGCCAGGGAGTTGACCTCATTCTCCAAAGGCCACGCGTTCTCACCCGCGGTGTCTTGCGTGATACGTTTATGGAGGAGAAGCTCCAAGAATCCAACGAGATCTGCCCAGACTACCTGTCCCTGATTGCGGCCGTCGTCCTCTAGAAACATGATGTACACGGTAGCCAGTATAACCGCCAGATCAGGATGGTTGAAGTCTCTGCGACGGATGCATTGGAGGGCAATGTGCCGCATTTTGAGTTCTTGCTCCAGAGCTAGGACAGAGAGCCTCGAAGACGGTAGATGGCGGTTAGGAGAAGATATGTCGAAGCTGTGAAGAAAAAGCATGAGATATAGGTGGGGATTGTGCTCCACAGAGAGGGCTTCATTCAATGTCCGGCAGCTGAGACGAAGGGATCGCAGCACAGAGGGTGGGCCATGAGGAGCGTCACGGACAGCCAACAGAATGACATGTTCCAGTATCTCTGAGGGGGTTGTGAGGAGGGAGGGAGGCATGTTTGCGGACGGTGCTCATCTGGCTATGATACCTACATATAATATGTACAGACAGGTGGGTCTCTCCAGATCGCATCTAAGTTGCGGGAACCTGGAAAGACGGCATGCGGAATGGATAGATTGTCACCGCATGACGCTTCTCACGGTTGTTAGTGACCTCAAACGACAACCTTCATCGCCTCGCCACGGAGCGCTCGTCAAATGGCGTATAGGAGGCCAGTGGCAGCCAAGCAGACTTGCTGATCGGAGCGGCATTCATCAATTTTTGACGGAAGATGCTCTCACCCGAGAAAAAAAGGCGCCGGTTAGCCCCGGAGACATGCCCCGTATATGATCGTAGCCGAAGCGGTGGAGCCTCCGACGCGTTACCTGCTAAAAATGGAAGATCGAAATCAGCCCAGCAATGAGGGGGGCGCTAATCGGGGTCTGCCCTTGACGGGCTGCGTCAGCCGCACAGCAACACACCAGGCATGCCGCCGACTCGGAGCACTGCCGTTCAAGGCCCATATCTAAAGGTTGTATAGTTCCTGTATACTCTTATTTAGGGCCCCCTCAGTGCCGTGAGCTGACTCCTGTGTGGTGGGGTGGCCGTTTCTCCGGTGGCAGTGTGAACCTACAAAGTTCATAGGCTACGAATCTCCGTTCACCTCCGGCCTACGACGTATATGAACGCGTGCAGTGCCACGGTGTAGTTCGGGTGTCGTCAGCGGGTTTCATTGTTCCGCGTGCTAATCAAAGCCAATCAAACCTCATGAAACGGCCGAAGGCGGTGATCAAAGTATTAGCACCTCCGCAGCTTTGAGCCGAGCTGTGGACCAAGTTGATCGTTGTTTCGCCAGCCAGCGAATGGCATAAATCTGTGAGAACCCACTGTTTACAGTATTAGGCATGCCCGCCGCAACTCACCACTAGGTTATTTCGCCTCGCTTGCAACCAGTGAGGCCTATGAGGTGTTTTCTTCGGACGGGGACTGCCGTGACTCTGCAGCCGTAATTAATGGTCGTTCGGTCTGTTTACGCTCATCGGATGACTAGTACTATGATAGAAGATTTCATTTGCACGCCAAAAAAGGAAAGTATCGACAAGTGCTTCGGCATCATGGGTCGCCCCCGCCGAGCTGATCAGCCTGTGATAATATGCCAGTCTTTGTAGTTTTTCCGATGGAATAAATACGTGGAGAGTTGGGGTAGTGTGTATTATCGACGGCGAAAGCTGGGGTTATCTGAATCTGCCCGCTGAAACCGAGAAAAAATTACTGTCCCCACTAGTGAGTGTTCCGATTAGTGCACTGATATTAGACTCATCTCGACCACTTCATAAGCAGCATTAGACAAGACTGCGCTGTACGGATATATCTTGGCTCCATTGTGGTCAGACTATAGCTGACAGCCAGATCCTAGTGATGAAGCCGAAGTTGTCATTTCTATGGAGCAACATTTTGAGACGAAAGGACGTGAACTTATCCACACAGCGTGGAAGCAATTTCCGTCGCAGATTGTGTCACATTCACCTGTTAAGTTTCTGGTAGCGAAGAGGCCGAACGCTGACCGTGATGGAAATACAAATTACAAGTATCCAATCCCAGGAATGAATGGCGAACCCACACTCTTGAGTCATCGGGCATGAGGTGCATTTCTCAGTATGCCACTCCCGTGAACATGAGGTGATCCCGGTGGGCACTCCCACAGGAGGTCCCCAGTATTATGTACGTTTTCCCGATTGCGGCATGGCTACATTGTCTGCGTGTAAGTCTCCTGACAGTGAACCACGCACTGGTAGCAGAATTAGCGTACGCAGCCCAAACGAAGCCCGCATCGGATAGGAAGTTCCGGAATTCGCTAGTCCAGAGCAAGAAACTCAGTCTATTTATCAGTCGTAAGAACACGATTGTCGTTACGAGAGCGACAGGTTACCCTCTGATATCGGTGTATTCCATTTCATTTGATATGCGAGCGTACAATTCAGACGCCTATAATACATACCTTCAATAGACTGGATGCAGAGACCTGTAGTCCGCCGACAGTGCATGATATAGAAAGATCAGCGGTAGTTTGAACTGGCAGTAACCCCGAGTGCCAACAGCCTCGAGAATACGTCAGACGCCACAAACTGACCACTCTCTGCGTAAGTGCTGTGACTTAAAAGGCGGTGAAGGGTGTTGGTCAATGCGATCGAGCTCTTCGTCGACGCGTTCTTACTTAGGAGGCCCGTCGGGCAATACCTGAGACCGTCGCTCGACCCTGAGATCGTAATACTACTAATAACTGAACGATCAAGATCACCCTATTGATCAAGCTGAGCCTGCCCTTAAGTAATCATTAAACTCGCCACAGTGAAAAAAAGCTAGTGAAGGCAACTTTTTTTTTTCCACTTCGACCACTTTCTCAACAAAAAAATGTCTCTCAATTTGGAGGCTCTCGAGGGCCACCTCGTCACTAGGTCATACATTGAAGGGTGAGTCGTCATCTGTTTCGATGGTCTTTTTTCGATCAAATGGGATGAGTACACAATGCTATGGTCCGTGTTTCCAAGAAGCGACTAGACACCGCTGCTCAGTATGCCGATATCTTTTACCTAGCAATCTGACCTCAAAACTCTGTCCGATTAACTTCGTGTGGTTCTGACATTCATTTCCACGTTTCAGGTATGCTCCATCGCAAGCCGATGTCCACGTTTTCAAGCTGGTCACTGAGCCGATCGATTCCAAGTATCCTCATATCAAAAGATGGTTCACGCACATCAGATCCTATGTTGCTGAGCACGATACCCTACCTGGCACTAGCAATGCTGGTCAAGCCTTCGTCCAGGCTGCCGTTGGTTCTACTGCCGAGCCTGAGGCAGCAGAAGGAGAGGAGGAAGAAGATATTGATCTCTTTGGCTCAGGTGATGAAGAAGAAGATGCTGAGGCTGAAAGGCTCAAGGCCGAGCGCGTTGCCGCTTACAATGCCCGCAAGGCGAACAAACCTAAGACGGTTGCAAAAGTAAGCGTTGTCATCCGTTCTGGTTTGGTATTCTTTGTCATTCACACGCGGGTTTTTTTTACAAGTCTGTTGTAACCTTGGAAGTCAAGCCATGGGATGACGAAACCGACATGAAGGCCCTAGAGGACTCTGTAAGGTCCATCTCAATGGAGGGACTTGTGTGGGGTGCAAGCAAGTTGGTGGCAATCGGATATGGTATCAAGAAATTGCAAATCACGCTCGTTGTCGGTTGGTATCGCTCTCTCCCTACTTGGAACAGCCCATGACTCGGCTTACTTATTTAAATTTCTTTCTTAGAGGATGAGCTTATTTCTTTGGACGAACTTCAGGAGAAGATCGCTGAATTTGATGACTACGTCCAGAGCACGGATGTTGCCGCGATGCAGAGTAGGTGTCGCCGTGCCTTGTGATCGCGTGCTGTTGATCTGACAGATGACCTTTTCCAGAGCTGTAGACGATACCTGTAGTGATTGTGAGGAACTCTTGGGGATGCTGTATGATGTGGGAATATGTAGAGAAGAATGTAGAAGAACTTTGTAGTCAAATGGAGGTGTATCTTGTTCCTTGGTGGTGCCTAGTGTGTATAGCATGTCACTGCCCAACGGGCTTGATAGGCAACGAGGTCTTGCAGCGCGGGTGTTGCGTGCCGCAGCCACTCGCAGTCACACAACTTGCCAATACCGGACAACAAGGTGACACATCTTGGCCTGCCCGCCGCATGTCAATCTTTTTGCTGTGTGCAGTGAGCGCATGAAAATGTTGGCAGAAGATTCGGCTTAATGCGTCAAATCCGATCAATGGAACAAGGTTAACTCTCGATAGTACCCAAAGAAGAATTCATTTGGTCGGCTCCCATCAACGACTCGTGCCATTCTCTTAGCGTCAGTGAGCGAGCGCGCGCAACTGAGCGGTGATGTTCATAAATCACGGCCACTTCCAGTTCGTTATTATGGCACCGAAACGCGTTCATTTAAGCATTACCAATTTGTATGTGAGTTTTCATGTATATACATTGGTCATTTGACTCCATAGATCTCTGCGACCGCAAGGCAGTGGTCTTAACAGCCCCGTTCTCTACGGAAAGACGAACCTTGGCAAGCCTCGCGGATCACGCATATCGTGCGCTCTGTGCAAGCATGGACGGCTTTTCTGGTCGTGTTTCCCTTTACGAGATGCTCGTGAAGGAGAATTCGGGATGTCGTATTGGTGACTTGACCACGGCCTTCCCGCTCATATGGCTTCTGCCGCTATTATTGTAGGAACGTCACCGTAATCATGAGCTGATTGACGGCGTTTTCGGTCAATTCTTTCACAACTCCCAACCTCCCTCTCCCATTCGCAGCCCTCACTTGCGTTCCCGAATAGATGGGTGTGAAGTAGCTAAATGAAAAAAAAAACCAACCAGGCACGCGCAACAAGTGAGGGGCGTGGTGTGAATCAAGATCTGATCTCACCGGTGTGTCTCCCACTTGTTCTGAACTTGTCAGCCAGTCTGATTCCTAACAGGAATGGTAAAGTCTCACTTGCTAGCATCGGTGATCAAGTTACGCTAGGGATGGCACTTGGCCATTCTCTCTTCCGTCCCCACCGTATTTAAAGCAGCCCAACCTTGACAGCTGCTTGCCCCCCAAACTCAAGATGTCGTCTCTGGAACGCATCCCGCTTGATGTCCTCTTGCAAATCGCATTCTTTAGCGCGGAGCCCGCGCCACTGACGTCGCTCGATAGTCTACTTCAGCTTCTCCTCACCTCCCGTACACTCTATCGTCTCTTGTCGATTCGGACATGCCCTCAGCTATACGCTGACATTTTCCGCGTAACTTTCGACCTGTCGGGGTATCTTCGCAAGTCAGGGCAGTCTGCTAAGACAACGTCATACCTTGCGCAGGAACTCCGGAGGCGTGCAGGTTTACTGCGCCGGATTCGTCGGTTTCATATGACTCACGAACACCTACTTTCGGACCTCTGGGGCATATATTTCATGCTTCTCGAGAGTGATTCTCTCAACGAGATGCATCTGCATTCCGTTGGTGTTTCCCAATGGATACTAGGCGTTCTGGAGAACCTCTGTCCCGCGACCGGTTCCTGTGATCAGCAAACTGTTGCACTCGCTATTGTAGTGACGTCTTTGGTCTTGTCACGGAGTGAGTCTGTACCTGGCCCGTAGGGATCCTAATTGAACATGATTCTAATCAGATGATATTTCCGCGCTGCGGCCGGAGGCCTACAATCGGATACTCGATTCGATACGGCCATTCGCAACGTACACACCTCTCGTGAGTACAGCCGCTCGCTATCATGTGATCTCTCTCTCACCAGCAGTATGACAGCACCTTCATGAGGACGTAAGTGGCGTTGTTGTCTTCTTAGTTTTCACGATCAACCGATGTGTTCCCGACACAGGCTGCGCGTTCTCACTATTTCGGTCAGGGGCCAAGCGATGGCACTCTCTACAACGGACTGACGATATTTCCACCGAGTCTTTCGTCATCTTCCATATTCCTGACATTTGCTTTGAAAGAGGCAATACCTCTCCAAGTTCCCCCTCATCTTCCGGCAACGAGGGCGGAAGCGATTGCTGTAGGAAATGATGGGCCGACGAAGGAAGATTTCTTTGCCGTTACAGCGATGAGAACGCCGCTTCTGGCGGATTCATTCCAGCCAAGTCGGTCTCGCGAATCTGTCTCAGATCTTTCTCAAGAACAGCGACGGCCATCAAGAAGCACGATACATGATGAAGACTTCTCTCGCGTAGCTCGGCGCCTGGATCTTTTCCCTTGTGCTCAGGAGCTTGAGACATATCTACCTGGTCTACTTACCGGTATTTGGGAAGGGAGTTACATGGTATGTTGCTTAATTGGTAATCGAAGATGCATGTGCACGGTTGCTGACACTTGCGCGTCCCAGGTGGCGCCGTCGGTTGCCGCGCACCCTTTTGGCATTGAAGAGAACCAGGACTTCCTCTGTCGGAAGCCCATCCAATTCCGGCTGGAAGAGTTTCTTTCTTTCGCTCCATGGCTTCCCTTGCCGATCGACTCCAGCCCATCCACGGACAATCACGGGTTGCAGAATCCGTCTGACAGAAATGATGAACCCCCTTCGGTGTGTTTTCTGGGCACACTAGCATTGATGCAGCTGTCATACTAACTCCCGAACTTTCTGATACAGCTTTCTGTCCAGTTTATCGATGGCAACACGGGGAAATGCTATGATTACGAGCCCCTTCGCCTAAGTGGCGTACCCAAGTCTGGCAGGAACGCTCGGCACGCCTTGGATGTCGTCATCATTGGTGAAGTAAGAGGCCCCTTTTTGTCCGTGCCCAGGCACGTTGTGCTCACGCCCATCCGGCAGACTCCACGCCGGTTCCAGGTTGCATGGGGTGCGTATAAGTACATCGGGCGGGTTCGCTTATCGGACGGATTAATTAGCCTAACGCGGAAACCGGTGAGTCCATGCCAATCTCCCTGCGAGTGATTTATTCGTGCTCACTCCGTTTTATATTTAGCTGACAGCTTCAGAAGACGGGTCTGGGATTTGGGTATTCGAGGGGTACCTCCAAAGCAGACGCACGTTCGTTGGTAGGTGGAACTCGCTGAGCACAGATGAGCCAGGGGTAGGAGGCATATTTAGTGTTTCCAAGACTTCGGACTCATAGGACGATCGAATGGTTAGTGTAAACGTTGGTTACTAGCACGGCCAACATTCCCATTAAACAGCATTATTTAATAATGTACATGCATACAGTATTACTTATAGTATAGTACGATTGCTGAGACAGTGATGCCTGGAACTAACATGGTTTGTACATGCGTGTACTAAGTACAGTTGGGCCAGTAAAGGCGAACACACGGCCTCCTTGGACGCGCCGCGCGCAACCTTGGAGTTAACTTTGAAAGCTGATGGCAAGCCCGGAATGGAAGGTCTCGTCCTATGATGTGTATGGTTTCTCCACGCATTACGGAATGCATTGCAGAGTGGGCACTGCCTTGGGACCTCAGAGGCATGTTTAGGAGGGAGAGCCACATCCATGGCGGGGTCCCTTACTGGTGTTTTTACAAGACACCGAGCTTAGCACTACGGTCGGTCGCAAGGTGGCAGCGATGTGAACTGCGATATTGGGCACTCCAAGGGCCCAGCCTGGTCGCATTCACTATGCGATCGGAGCCGACGAGAATAGATTACTTTATGCATGCTACGAATCGCCAAGGACAGCGGTGATACCGTGAAGGGAATGTATAAAGGGGCATTGTTAAAGGCACCGGTGCGTATGCAACGATTCAGGTACTACTTAATCTGAACGCGAGGGTGAGATGACCGCATCCGTAAACTTCGCAACGTTTGGTGAAGCGAGCACGAACTGAGATAAGCAGAATGTCCCCATAGAGAAGACTGGACCAGGACCCAGTCACATGGGACTTGAGAGCTGGAAGGTTCCGTACAGCATGATGGGTAATTTTGTGCACCACAGAGGAAGCGGTGTATTGCATATATGTCCACCATATCATTACTGGAATATATCTATCTGCCTTGAGACAGAGCCAATCAACGGAATTTTCCGACACCTGTCATAAACGGGGTGCACGTATGGTGGCGACAGAATGTGACCTGTGAATGTGATCGGGCAACGTGGTATGAAAGAAAAAAAAGCTTTATCAGCAATGACTTATCTGTGTGAGGTTAACGTACACAGTTGGCAGGAAGATCTCTACTGTCAGATGTAGATGTGACGACTGCGGGGAGTCAACGCGTAGGGGTAGCCAGCTGAGATGAGTCGTTAATCGGAGTGAGGGTATCGCCGGGTTATTCGCGAAGACCGAAGCCGGACACCTACCAGCACCGCCGCAATGATGTGGGTCAGCGGAGAACTGCGATGGGTCGGAACTTTGTCATACTGTACACATGCAAAGTGTGTATCTGATCCGCGGAGATTTGGGTGCCCGTCGTCATCGTATCGCGCGACGTCCCGTTAATGAACTTACCGATACAACCAAGGCTTGCAATGTAGGTACCTACCTGACAAATAGGGCATTGCACAGGAAGTCGAGAATTTCACTGCGGTTGTGCAAGAACAGACAGGGGGTTCGTCTTCTCTGTAGGTATCGTTGGGAGGACTTCTGATGGCAAGTCCACTACGTCATCGTAAGAAGGCGGGTGCGGTGTCTTCTCTGTGCATTACCCCGTTACGATACGTCTGTACTCGATGACGTTGGTCGATAACAAGGTGTCTTCTGCTCCTTCGTTATTACCTTCCGTCACGGAACCACCGCCTTCTCGGTCAGGTCGAACGCCGGAGTATCTCGACCCTCACTAAGGTCCGTCCAACGTGTATGAAGTCTGGCAAATCTGTGTGATAACTGTGGACAATCACGTTCGGTCAGTCAGAAATATGCCGAGGGGGGAGGCCAAGAATCAGCCCCCCGGCCCTGTTCACGGTGTTCGCAGCGGTTTTCCGATGAGCATTTGAACCATGAAGTGTACGCACGACGTACAAATGTTGAGAAGACTAAGACCCACAAACCTACTGGGCCACAAATCATCATTCTCCATCAGATCAAGGGGAGGGTGGCGTGCAGGCAAGCTGGTTGGGGTACTTTCTTTCCTCAGAAAGAACAAGAGAGTGGTTACACATCATGAAGAGGCTGGCGCTCCACAAGGGACGGCTTGATGGCTCCAATACGATCGTGATACACTCTATGAACGGCGATCAGTACCTGGGCCTTGTTTCAGAGGGGGTTCTGTGCAGGGCCATGTGAGAAAACAGAAGGAATGAGCGTCAAAAAAACATCATGGAAGTCAAAGTCCAGAGGGAATACCAACCCTAGGTTGCCTGAACAAATAAGCCCTACTACCAAGCCCTACTACCAAGCCCTGCTACCAAGCCCAACCATTATGTTTGTCTTTGTTTGGTGTTTGACGGGTCGCTCTCACGAGAATATTGCTGGCAACACCACACAAGGTTGTTTTGTTTTCTTCACTGTCATTGTCACATACCCCGTCGCAGGGAGCAGAAGAACTCGTCCGTTCCTTTAAACCGTAGTGCTAGCTTAAATTTTATGGCGATGCGAGCTTTTGCCATTCTGTCTGTGCTCTTAACGGCTGTTCTGGCCCAATCTTCGGTGCGGTTTCCAAGGAACGTGTTTTCACTGATTTGAAAAGCTGATCGTCACAATCTGTGTCTTCAGTCTAATCCACTCATTCCCCAAGGAATCTCTACCAGCTGCACCAATTATCTTACGCAGCTGGACAGTTCGAACTTCACCACCTGCACTGGTCCCATACTCTCTGCGCTTGCGCAGTATACCCCCGGTGGCAATGCCAGCACTTCACTCTCCGACATCAACACTGCGCTCAACAACGTCTGCGCTTCTAGCGTGACAGCTGGGTGCCCTGACAATGTCATCAGTGCTCAGCTGAGCTCGTTCTACGCTGCTTGCACACAAGAATTGATATCTTCCCCCAATGAAGACGTCAAGAGAATATACGATACCATATATGCTCTCCCTCCGCTGAGGAAGGCTATTTGCGCAAAGGACGACAGCGGAAAATACTGTGCTGCCGGACTGAACACGAAGGCATCCGGCAGTGTGGATATCGTTACGCAGGGTTCCAAGCCATCGTCAATGGGGCAATACCTATATACGACACAGTCGGGCAGTACCGTCACCCGCCGCGATTCATCCGAGGCTCTTATTCCTAACGTCACCACCTACGAAGATACCAATCTTGTCTTCTTGTTCCTGGAACCATCCACCGACTCGACCACTTTCTGCGTCAGCTGCACGAGGAATATCCTCACGCCCTTCATTACCTTCGAGTCCAATACCCCCTATGCCCCTGGCATCAACAACAGCCTCATCATGGCGGGTCAAACTGCGTTGTATAATAGCATCCAGTCGACCTGCGGTACCAACTTCCTCAGCGGAGCTGTTCAGGCTGCTGGCGGACTGTCTAGCAGCATTTTGAGTGGCAATGCTCCACGTTCCCTCAGCCATGATGTCTCCGTCGCAGTCAGTGCGATTCTCGGTGCCGCCGCATTCGCTGCAGTGTCTATCTAGAGAGTAAAGGACCTGGGGACGTCTGGAAATACGATACCTACCTGCATTGTGATCAGGACATTCACAATCTTGTTGGGCGCATGGTCATTTCCGTGCAATACTTTATACCCCTTTTACATATTTAAACCATTCTTCGTGCAGGTTACCATTGTCTTCTCGTTACTGATCTATCTCACTTGCTGTTGAACGGCACAATACAGAGCACAGATTTACTACCTGTCATGTTCGCTGTGTCTGCGACATTTTCAGTGTCTTGAGCAGCCTCGAGCAATTCTAATACGAGTACGGAAGTTTACTGACGCCTTCTGGTAATTGTACTCAGCATCGCCGAAATGCTGATAGGCTCCTAGCCATTTGGAGTGCTTAGATAGAACTCGCGAGCTAGTAAGCTGAGGGATCAGAGCTCGATGATGAGCGCTAGTATTGCAATCTCCACTGCAAACACCACTACTGCGATGAGAGCAACATCGAAACCTGCAGTGACAAAAGGACGTCCAAACTCTCGGGCGTCTTCTTGGCCAACGGTTGGGATGGCTTGCTTGTACAACGTACTCAACTTTTCCGATGACCTGTCAGCAAAATCATGCCTGGAGTGCCGAGCGCGGACGTAGGAAAGAATGAAGAGGAGAATAGCGAGTACGAGGTAGAGAATGCCGACTTTACACTTAGGGGTTAGCACAAAGTCCATACAGCTTTTTGGTCGAGCTCACTCTTGTAAAATCGGACGTCGAAGAGACGGAGAACAGTCAAGGCATATCCAAGACATGCAAGTGCAGTCCGACGATATGCACCGTCGAACGTTCTCTGCCGCGCTCGTAGCTCGTTGAGCTCAATAAGATCTATTGCAGAGAAAGAGCTTGCGCGGTGGCCTCTGTGTACATTTTAGTTTACCAATACACAGGAAGTAGCTCACAACTGACCTGTACAGATGATGCTGATGCATGAGTTTAGCCAAGGCTCACAGGCAAACCGGCTCAACTGGGGTGTGAGAAACCTGGTTTGGTTCGGTCCATACCGGGACAGGACCACTATTTTTCGTTGCTGCTAGCATTTTCGGACACACAACCGGTTGGGCAAGTCGAGATGGTCGTGCGGGCTATGCTAAGCTCGGGCGGTCGACTGGGTCTGCGTGCATCAAGCTATGGGTACGCTGGCGACCCTTACTTGTCTCCTACCGTGCTCATCGAAGTGTTAGATTACTCCCGTTAGCTGCACGCCGGTCTCAGGTTCATCGGGTGTCTCTCCAGGCAAGTACTAGCACACTCGAGAAGAACGCGCCTGACCGCCTTTCAGCTCTCTCCCTTGCTCAATAACAGTGCTGGTCCAGCTGGTGTTGCGGGTGCACGCAGCTTTTGGTGGTCCAAGTCACCTGCACCTGAGCCTAACTCATCCGCGATTCCCGCGTCACCAGTTCCTCCAGCCCAGCCTTTGGAGACTGAGTCCAACAATATCTCGATCGACACAGCTACGCAAAGTTTTGCGACTCCTGCGGATGAGGCAGTCGCGGACGTCGCCAGCATCTGATTCCCTGCTCACTGCGACGACAGACCCCGCATCCGCCGTGTCCGAGCTGGCTAACGTCATACAGCCTCTACAACACGGCGGTCTTTATGACCTAGGACTCGTTAGTTGGTGGTCGCCTGCAGGATGGGTGAGGTATTCCATGGAAGTTCTGCATGTTACTACCGGCATGCCATGGTTCTATGTCATTGTGGCTGGAACGATTGCATGGAGACTAGCATCAATTCCATTGACCATCATGTCTACTCGGAACGCGTCTCGTCTCCGGCCATTCACTACCCAAATGAAAGCTCTCGACGAGAAAGCTGAAAAGGCGGACCAGGCAGAGAAACTTGAAATTTTGCTGAAGAAGAAGCAGATAACGGAAAAAGCTGGTGTAACTGTGTTTTCGAGCTTGGGAGCACCATTAGGACAGATTATTTTGCAATTTGCACTGTTCCTTGGGGTCAAGGGGATGGTAACGCTGCCTGTGGAGCAGTTACGGGATAGCGGGGTTTGGTTTCTGCCTGATCTTACAGTGGCTGGTCCTTACTACATCATGCCACTGGTGGTCGCTGGGTTGGCCAATGTGCAGTTGAGTGTGAGTTGTTCTGTGCACTCGGGCGGTGTTTGGTACTTCATGCGACCACTTTAGCTTCAAAAACGAGATATGGATCCGTCGCGACCGGAAATGGCGCATGCACTCAACGTGTTCCGCGTTATGAGTTTTGCATTTACTCCTTTCATGGCGGCATACCCCGATGTAAGCTGTTCTCTTTTCATAGGAGCGCCCTAATTTGACGCTTCGGATAGGGTCTGTGGTTGAGCGTAGCGGCGGGCTTGGCAGTTTCCTTAATCCAGACTCGGCTTCTGCAGATACCAAGCATCAGCACTAAATTGGGCATCATTCCTTTAACCAACAAGCTGCCACCCGTCCCGACGACAGAAACCTTCCGACTCATTAGTCGCTATATCCAAAAGAAGTTTTCGGCAGGCCGTCGAAAGCCCCAGGCCCTACGACTGCCCAAAGCTAAGCCAGGCAGGGCTTCGAGAAGATGATGTGATTCGCAATATCATACAAGAGTTTTCATAGATCTTAATGATGTGTTTTAGGGGGCACACCACTACTCATATATCTGACCAAATGACAGGTGAATTTGAATGATGCATGCCAACGGCTAAGTACTGTGAAGGTGAGCGACACGTATATACAAGTCACAGAATCGGCATTGGCATTGCGTCCGACAATCAAGGACGGGTTTTCCTCGATCTGTTCAGCGTCTGGACATATTGGCGTTTCTTTTGGAATGTGGTTTTCATTCCCGTCTGTGAAGATGTATTGAGTACCCGCTCCAAGCAGATCATCGTAGAGGCACTATTTGGAATGGCAGATACGACTTTTGGCAAGTTTCCGCACTAGTACTGCGGCCCCGATTACGCCAGGATCCGAAACCCGAGTTCTTATGCAACAGCAGAAGTTCGCCGTTTCCCTGGACATGATACATTTTTCACGCTCGCCTATCAGGATTCCAATTTCCATGTTGCTAGGTGTTCGCCGAGATCCTTATCATAAGCAAAGATTTGTTTCGTGGTACTTAATAAATACAGATAACACGTAGTTATATTCATAGATCTACGGGCTGTTCCCCCCCTTCGACAGAAAAATATATATACAGCCCCAGGTAACGGGACTCAGATAGAACGAAACGAACGAAGATGAATCTGGTACAAGGGTTGTGGTGGCAGGGGTCCGTTGTAATTATGTAAGCGCCTACGCGAACGTACTCCAATTGCCGCCGCAAAAAGAAACTGCCTACAGCACTGGAACAGACCTCGACTCGCTTTGACAGACAAGACAACCCCATATGCGTAGCTGCTCCGTTTACTGCCGTTGAATTCTGGTTCCTTTTCCACCCCACACAATCATTGCATGATGGCTCTTGAACTCGGGTCAATAACGGTCCAAGCTTCTCCCGACTTGCCTACCAGCACCCCCGTAGCAGAGGAGGAGGAATACTATTCATCCTGGTCGTTATTCCTCGTGTGCCTGCTTCTGATCGTCTCGCTATGGACATCATATTACCTGCAAATAAGGCGGATACGGGCTATCCACGAAACCCTGGTTTCTATCTTTGCGGGGATGTTCGTTGGACTTGTCGTTCGTCTTGCGCCGGGTACTATGATCAGGGAAATGCTTGTGAGTATCTAAGGCGTTCCAGATGGGCTACGGTGCGATCGTGGAATATCCATCTCGTGGAGAGTTGGGAGATGATTCGGTCCTTACGGAATAATAGAGTGGCATCTCAGAAGCCGTGATACTTACCTTCTCTCATCTCCAGACTTTCAAGCACACGCTCTTCTTTAATCTACTCCTCCCCCCAATTATCCTAAACTCCGGCTATGAGCTCAAACAGGTGAGAGATATCCCCAACTTGCGTGGATACTGCGGACTTGACCCTTGTGGAACGTTGTAATTTTCAGGAGAACTTCTTTCGGAATTTTGGGTCTATCCTGGTGTTTGCCTTCGTAGGGACAACGATATCCGCAGTCGGCGTGGGGTGGGTTTGCATTGCTTGCATGTCACGTTTTTTTCGTACCCGCTGATCCGGTTGAAGCGTAGAGTTCTCGTCTACATTTACTCGTTCTTGGGACTGGAATCTCTCGACGTCTCATTGCTAGAGTGTCTGATCTTTGGCTCGACACTCTCTGCAACGGATCCGGTTACTATCCTATCGATCTTCCACCAGTACAAAGTCGATCCCAAGCTATATACCATCATCTTTGGTGAAAGCTTGCTCAACGATGCCGTCAGTATCGTCATGTATGAGTAAGTGTTAATTGGTTGATTTGGTGGTCTCGTCTGCAAAAAAGGGGAATTAAAAATGCCATTTTACAGGACACTGTCCCAATTTCACGGGACTGAGATATATCTCTCTTCTATATTCCATGGGATTGGTATTTTCTTACTCTCATTCAGCGTATCAATGGCTCTAGGTGTCACGTTTGGCCTTGCGATGTCCTTGACATTGAAACATTCCTCCTTAAACCATTATCCCTCCATTGAATCGTGTCTTGTGGCACTCTGTGCCTATACTTGCTACTTCTTTTCCAATGGTCTGTCGATGTCCGGCATCGTGTCACTTCTGTTTTGTGGCATCACCTTGAAGCACTACGCATACCATACCATGTCGCACAAAACGCAGCGCACCACCAAATACATTTTCTCGACTCTCGCTCAACTCTCCGAGAACTTCATCTTCATCTATCTTGGACTCTCACTTTTCACCAGTCCCCCTTCCTCAGAACGTGTCACGAACTATGTCAAACCTTTATTCATCACTGTTTCAACGGTGGCCGTAGTTTTTACGCGGTATGCGGCTGTTTTCCCGCTTTCTGAAGTGATCAACTTTTTCGTGCGACATTTCCGCGGCCAGAGGCACGAAGAACTTCCCCACTCCTATCAGATGATGTTGTTTTGGGCTGGTTTGCGCGGTGCAGTCGGAGTTGCACTCGCTGCCGGATTTAAAGGTGAAAATGCCCAAACGCTACGAACGACGGTCCTCGTTGTAGTTGTCCTTACTGTCATCGTCTTTGGGGGCACGACGGCACGGATGCTCGAGATTCTTGGTATTCGGACGGGCGTAGAAGATGAGGCTGCGAGTGACAGCGACGAGGAGGAGTACCTTGGACGCATCCCTTGGACAGCTCGCCGCAACTCAGGTGGTTGGGCAGCGAGGTATACGGATGAGCCGACGGGGTATATTTCTCAGGCGCAGGGTTATAGCCGTGCTGCGGCACGGATAGGGACGCATTATGGGCCCCGCAATTACAATCACCATGCGCAACCACCTCTATCGCCGGGAGCGACGAACATGTTTTCCGCGGCGTCGTCTGAATCGTTCGATTCGGACGTGGAAGTTCTGCCGATGGCGAATACGGCTGGGAATGCTGGCGTGCATACTGCAGATCCTGGGGCAGCAAGTCAGGGACCTGAGGGAGGTGCAAGCGAGGATGGGAAGTGGTTCCAGACGTTGGACGAGAGGTACCTATTACCTCTGTTTTCGAACGCTACGGCCAGCCGGACGTTCCAGGCACGGAGAGCTCGCAGGAACGCTTCGCATTCTACAAGCGCCGTCAACCGTGGTGCCTCAGGTACCCCTCACGACAGCGAAGACGAGCCAGACGGCCCGGAGATTGTCTTGAGTGCGCCAAGTAATACTACCCATACGCAGGAATTCCCGCGAACGCAGTCCCCTGAGGAGCAGAGCCGGTTTGAGCGAGGGCTAGGTACGCCGGTTTTACGGAATGGGAGCAGAGATGACGGACAGAGTCGTGCTTCGTGATTAGCTACATACGAAGAGAAGTATATATACGTACTAGGCATCTATAGACTTGGTTCGCCGCGAACGTGAGGCTAGTACATTAAGTACTGGCCTTTGATGACCTTCACTTATTTCATGATCGCCCAACGATTCATCAATTTATTAAATAGACATTACATGCTGCAGTTTGAGAGTAATGTACCGGGTAATTCGTGATTTATAAACACCCCCGTAATCTGGAGAACTATGGTAAGACCGTGTATATGTGCATAATGTCAACAATGAGAAAATATTCTGTCGCTACAAAATGAGGCTGGCATTTTGCAGGTGCTGTCTAAGAACACACTCCCGTACTACGCAATGGTGTTAAGTATGCTGAAGTCTCGTCACCAAAAGGCTGCACCACTCACCAACGGTCAGCGTCTTTGCAGTTGCTTTAGTGTCCTGGAAAGATAGAACCATGAGTGAGTCTGTTAACAGCCCCCAGTTTGGCCAATGTTGGGCTTACAATTACTGATGTAAAATGGACAAAGAATGGTCGCGGTTCTGGTGAACAGGATTTGAATATATCCTTGAAATGTTGCTGGAAATCTGCGAGATTCCAATGATCGCCGCCGTTAGTCGAATCACCAATAGCTGTTGATGGCGACGGAAAGGGGGAGAAGCATCAATGGAGCCACGTACATTTCATCACCGTAATCGTATCGTTTTTCCGGTCGGCGAAGCTGGGAACATAATCCCTTACAGAGATACCGCGCTTCATCTTGTTATGCAGGATGTCGCATTTATTAAGGAAGAGGATAATCTGCGTTTTGGAAAGGATGGGAGACGAGCATACGGTGCGCCAAAGTTGTAGACTATCCTCTAGACGGTTTACCTCGCGATCTTCCCGCAGGGTCTCGTTGAAACACGAGATTGGGGCGAGGAAGATGATGGCGTCCACGTCATCGAAGAACGCTGCCCACAGCGCACGCTGTAAAAGGTTCGCATGAGTCATCGTCAAGGGGATGAGGGAGGGAAGAGGACATACCGAAGATTTAGTGCCCCCGAAGTCATACATGACCCATTCTCTTCCACGATCTACTTCGGCATCTAGGGGCGGTCGATCTGTAGACGAAGTCAAAGACTGACCTAGTTCCATGTTAAACCTGTGTTCTTGAACGCCTACGGTCCGAAGACGTGCCCGGACAATGTCGTCGTCGGCCGGCTCATAATCCGGTGATGCGATGCGATCAACGTCATCCAGGAAACTTTATTTACAACGTTGTTACACGTGAAGAATGAAGCTAGTAGTGCTGTGGTACTTACAAGCCAGATGAATCCTCGATCCTGGATCTCCTGTGGCTGAGGATCTGCTTTATGACCGAATCCTCCAATAGGCTTTTCATGTCGTCTCTGCAGCCTACGAGGACATCAGTGATTTCGTCATGACCAGCTTCTCTTCGCTTTGAGTTGGGGCGACTGCTGGCTTCGCGGGACGAGCGCAGTTTGTCCAGGATGGATCTCCAACCGTTGCTGGAGCTAACACCAAACTCGCGAGTTCGCACATTCCTCTCTGGCGGATCGGACGGTGGAAGAGAGAGTGCGTAAACCTCTTGTGAACCTGGACCCAAACGTTTTTCAAGGTCGACTAGGACAGTTCGCAAGGGAGCAAGGCGGAGTTTTAGTAGACGGTGTTTGTCAGTGAACTTGTAGACCGTGGTGTGAGACCGGTGTTCTCCTTCAGAGTCCGAGGCGTCGGCAGTTGTAAGGGAAGGGGATAAGCATTTGTCCCTACTCGTCAGGGACATGGCTTGCTGTAGAATGTCAAGGACCTGCAAGACATTTCTGACGAGGTTGAGGTAGATGACAGCTCGCCATGCCAGACGCTCTTCCAACCACTGGTCTCTTGCGTACTGGAGCTGGAAGTCTGAATGCTTATTAGCGATAGCCGTTGCTAGCAGACATGAAGACCCAACTCTTTAGAGTAGCTGATTTTCCTGGAGTGGTCGGTGAGACAATGAATGGAGACTCGGAAGAAGGGAGGCGCACCACTCTCGCTCTGACCCAGTAGAAGAACCTTGATGGGTTTCTTTTTCTTCTTGAGGGCGATCCTCTCCTGGCGGATTTGCTCGTCGATGGCGTCGCTGGTCCTGCGGGCTTCAGCCTCTGCATGTTCTCTGGCCGCTCTTTGCTCAGGCGTTTCGTTGGAAGGTGGTGACAAGGCAGATGCGAGGGGGTCGTCCAGGCTGACACGCACCATATTCACAGCATAGGGAGAACAAAAAGTTTGGAGGCAGGTTAGCTGGGCGTTTGAAATACATATAATAATACTGATCAGTGTATATATTGCCTTTTGGATCAAGGGAAAAAAGTACTAAGTACGCAGCCCTAAACATGGGATGGTTTAACACTCCAGCGCTAGCTTCAGCCCCGGATGGTCCGTTCTCTGTCCATTGTGCAACCCGTTTGATTGACCACTACCCTGAGGGGTGCAACACATGTTTATCTCGTCACCGGATTACATCATAAGTCCGGGATGACGGTGTGGTCACTAGTGTGAACGTGAAGGACTGAAACAAAAGGTTCAATGCATGTGGTGCTGTATTAGAAGGCGCTGATGGGCCACCCGTGGCGACCCAGACCAATACTTGTCCAGGATAGTCTCATCTGAGTAGCAAGGTGGGCTCGTGTGTGTCCCAGTGTTATTTTACACACCCTGAAACTAAAATAGGATTTAATTTACCTTCTGGCTGTCATGCCTCGGCAGGGAGTGACACCGGCGCCCGTGACAGCCTAACACTGTACTTGCGGTATTAAGGCAGGGTAAGGCACGCCCTGTTAGTAAGCGTGTGCAACACGAGGTCTTGGCTTTTCAGTACTTCAGTAACCACCGTGTCCGCAAAATGGGGTGCCTCGGAATCCGCTCCTCTCCGGCGACTCCCGCGGTCACATGACCGTGTCTGCATGGTGTGGCAGTGAAGTTTACTTTTGTTTGGTCCGCGCGTCGAATATAATAAACAGCGGCATGTGACTTGCTCGTGACCTCGACTCCTTCCCCCGTGACCTGCACCTGCTCAGGACATCTTGGTCGCTCCTCGCACACTGCACTAGTATTTGTCAACAGGGAGTTCGAGATAGGGGTTATTGGACGTGATGGAACAGACTCGCATTGATGCTGTAGAGATGCAGAACATCTTGAAATCCCTGCCGGGCTTATTCCAAAAGGTTTGTGTCTGCAACACGTGATCATTACTCGTCTTTTCCTTGGCATGTGTGAACCCCCGTGATCATCCCCTCACTCAATGCATATTTTGTATTAGGCCGCCGGTCAGGTAGATATCCCCACAGATGCAGCACAGTCTCTTCAAGCGCTCGCACAAGCGGGCATGTTCCCTATCCAGGGTGCAAATCAACAACAGCTACCACATGCACCACATCAAGTACCGGTCCCTCACACGACGGCTCCGGGAGTCCCTGGCATTAGCGATCCTGGCCCATCATCTCACCCCAGTGGTCCGCCTAACTTGGGTCAACTCTCAGCTGCGGCGGTTGCTGTCCAAGGTCCTCAATTACCTCAGCCCCAACCACAGGAAATCTCCGACGTCCAGAACGAAGGGGGCCAGGGTGAAAAGGCTAAACCTAATGCGACGACCGGTGGCCGTGCGAGCCGCGGAGGTAGAAATCCTGCGATGGGGACGGATGAATGGGCACGCCAGAGAAAGGATAATCATGTATGCCCCGTGACAGTTAGCATTCTCTTGCATGTACTTATGCGGTTTTTAAATCAAAGAAAGAAGTTGAGCGCAGACGCAGAGGCAACATCAACGAAGGTATCGATGAACTCGGGCGCATCGTACCCAATAGCTCCGGTGAAAAGGCGAAGGGTGCGATCCTCACACGCGCAGTGCAATACATTCATCACCTCAAGGAGAACGAAGCACGCAACATCGAGAAGTGGACCCTTGAGAAGCTATTGATGGACCAGGCAATGGGCGACCTTCAAGCCCAGCTGGAAGAGATGCGGAGGTTGTGGGAAGAAGAACGTATGGCTCGGCAACGCGCCGAAAGTGAATTAGAATTGCTGAGAGGCGTTTCGCAAGCGAACACCGCACATATGGCTGCTCAGCGACCGCAAGGCCACGAGTCAGGTCCATCACCCGGTCCACGTTCCCACTCACCTGAGCATCAGGAAAATGTGGTTCAGGTACGAAGCAACGAGGAATCGAGACCAGATGTGGAAAAGAACGGGGATGGTGATCCTGCCGATGGTCGATCGAGTAAGCGACCCAGAACGGAGTAACAGCCGTAGGTTTTTCCGTTGGGTAGCGCACGATGATAAGGTTTCAGCTTTTTTTTTTGCCTTTGTATCTCTTAAGTTCGGATTATTGTCATCGAGCCCTTGTATTTATCAGGAAGAATCACACGTGTACAGTGATTTTTAAGTTGCCCGGCCGCCGTGTCCTCCGTTCCATCACCCGTGTGTATATTGGGAGGTCTGCCTCGTATGTACGAACAATGAGCTTCGAGGACAGAAGTCCCCGGTTGTGCGGTACGTTACGTCATTACGCAGGGTTCATATTTCTTCACCTCGTGAGATTATTGGGGCCTGCTCGCGTTTTGGGGTGTCCTAGCCTGATAGGAAACTGTGGAAGTACTTACGCGATCACCTGTTTCCAGTTAAATTTTTCTTTCAAAGGATAGAGGACGATACTGCCGCACATTTTCAGCGGGTGTTGGTGTCAGGTCAATCAGACACGATCATGATTTGACTATATAGTGACGGAGTCTCAGTAGGACCCTTGCAAAATCCAGAATCCATCTCAACGACACAACGCCTGATTCGTCCCAACTTCAACCCCATTGCTTTATCAGTCTGTGGCCAAGCTAATCTCGGGTGGGACTGCAGAGCAATATACAAAATGTCGAGGCACCCCGTTCCCGATGATGAACTTCGCGCAGCCCTAATTACCCTCAAACGAGAAAAACCGAGTCTCGGCGTGGCCAAGATACATACCCTCTTGCTAGAGACGAACTTAACATGGTCTGTCAGCGAAAAACGAGTGCGCAAGATTCTGCAGGAAGAGGGGCTTCTCGTCAATGGAACCGCCAACACACTATCCGAAAATGCTAACGGCGGCAAAGAACAAAACCGAGCTGGGAGTACTAGAGTATACCCGTCCTCCAGTCTCAACAAGGGCTTAGATGTGAACAAGTGGAGCAAGAAGATTGAAGTCCGGCACTTTGACGCGATCAAGGGCAAGGGTCTCGTCGCAACGGAGAAGATATCACAAGGGGAGGTTATATGGAAAGAGGATCCGTTCATACTCGCACCCGAGTGGTAAGTGGTTGAAAGTTGAACCTCGTAGCGATGTGACGGGACATGATGGTCTCCAAGTCTTCTGTACAATTAATTCCTCTGCAGGGAAATATACGATTTGCAAGTCTCCTCGAGAGCATGTGCTTTCTGCTCGACAATCATAAGGGATCACTCTCCCCTCCACCTGCCATGTCGAGCTTCCACGTCCTCGTCTTCTTGTCCAGCCATCTTTTGTAACAGGCTTTGTCGCATGCAATCGGACAGAGTCCATCCATTGCTATGCCCCGCTCGTAATCCGGCATCTGTCCCGTTACTTGCATTTGCCCGGAAAACCGAATGGCTCGCGGTACATGCGCTGGCACAGTGCACCAGCAGATTGCTACTTGCTTCTCAGGCAGACGATGAGTCGTTGAATCTGGACCTACAGGTCGTGCAGAGTCTCGCTGTCTTGGGTATGGAAGAACGGTTCCGTGTGCTCATGTTCGTGCATTTGTTTTTCTTGATATTCTCAGAGTGCTTCGGTTGATCGGCTTTCGTTTGCAGCGATCAGGGTGTAGAACCTGACAGAGAAACATGGCAAAAAGCTTTCGAGCTATATTTACAAACCTTCAAAGAACCAAAAACTGCACTGGAGCAGAAGAAATTAGCAAAGATTTTGAGAAAGCCTATACCTGAGTCGTTGCAGAAAGAGCTCTTCGGATATGACGCATTTTTGCGGGGGCTGGGTCGCATAAGTTTAAGTACATCCATCCTCAGTTGTCTTGTTTGATATACTTGTTGACTGACGGACATGGAACTCTATAGACGTTGAGGCACACGGAGGACTGTACAGACTTCACTCCCATCTCAATCACTCGTGTTCTCCGAATACTTCCGTACGTCACCTCGATCAACGGAACGCACTTTCACGTATCACTGTCGTTGCTAAAAACGACATCAACCCTGGAGACGAGCTCCTGATTTCATATACGGATCCCAGTCGCAATTTTCGAGAACGGCGTAGGAGGCTCGCTGAGTGGGGTTTCGGACTATGTCAATGTGAGCGATGTCTCGCTGAGGAGGAAGAAGCGAGGGAAAATGGCGGTGCTGGTGGGGAGGATGCTGAGGCTGCTAACTTGGCAGATCAACTTCGGGCTGGTTTGGGGTTGATATGACATATGTAAATCATGACTAGATTGATCAAGGAATGGAAAGGGGTGAGTTGGAGTTGCATATAGAGTTTTGCATAGGTAAATTCATGAGTACTGGAAGATCGACCTGTATTCATTCTGATGCTCCACCCATGGCCATGACCACTGTTGACAGCTGCAGTTGCCTCGCAGATTATTGTGCATCATGACAAGCACTACAAAGCAAACTCACTGTGAGGCAATGATAGTATTACTGACACTGCAAGTCATGGGTTACCAATGGCACAGAGCTTCTCCAGGGGTAAGACATGGAAATGAATTGACCTTCGAGAATTTGTCTTACTCTATGTGGTTTGTACTTGCTACACTATATGGGAGATGTCCAGATCATGTGTTTGGCTTGTAACATTAATATATGCCATTTGTTCACATGAACCATTTGACTCAAGTCCACTCTATACTGTTACACTTCCATCAGGGGTCTTTCCTTTTTTGACTTCTTGCAGTCATGTGTATCATGTGCCTCGTCATGTCCCTAATAACTGTTGCCATCCTAGGGGCTCGAATGCTCCAGGGAGCCTTCAGATCTCCTGCTGTACAGGTATTTCCAATACCTGTCGAGACCGCGCTGCCACTGTGATCCGGTATTCCACTGCCATCTCTGATGGATGACTTGTTCACTTCTTGCTCCATTAACTCTTTCTGACTCGCTTTCATTGCCTTTATGCTGTACTATAGAACCGGTGTCTGGCTCCTTGCTGTGCATTGATTGTGCAGCTGGTATAGCCTTTGTTTCCTTGACTATCCCCATCTCTGACACTGTATGACTCCTTTCTATTTCATTGATGACTTTGTTGACTGCTGCGGATACGTGTCGCGACGTGTCACTCGTGACTGCTGCGGTACTTGTACTTAGGGGTATATAGTCCTACGTACTTCATCCTGTATCTGCAGTTTTTCAATAGCTTGCAACTGAGCTTCATCCCTTCGCCTTAATCCTTGTTCTCTCTCTGCGTGAACAACCTCAGGGACTCGCCAGTAGACAGAACCTCTGCCAGATCACCATGATAACTCAGCCATAGGGGTTATGACAAGTTCGGCCCGTAGACTCCCACCTCGCATGCTTCGTGCCTATTCCATTTGAAGAAGTCACTGTGCTCGGGCATAACAAAATCGAAAAACTCTGTGCAGCTTTCAGGACTCATCGACCTCTTCGTGAAAGTCTACTCGTCCCTCGGTTACTGAACTTCAACAAACCACTTCGTTCAACAAAGGCTCGTTAACCTCCCTCAGTGTAAAGGCTAACTTGCCCTCTACCCCTGTACTCCCCAATCACCTCCACAAGGTGTAACAAAGTCGAGAAGCACTTCCCCATCCTAACTCCAGTTCACCACTCTACAGGCAGCCTTCTAGGCTTTAATAGATCGCCTCCCTAGAGTCAGCGCTCATGCCTCCCTACATGTAAAGTCACTCGTGCACTACTACCTCTAAACTGACAGGTTTCCTTCGGGAAATAAATCCTCCCTCAGTCCTTCGTTATCACTTCTCGTTAAAGTGTCTAACCCCCAGAAGTCGAGACCTCCAGTCCCTCCTTGCAACACTCCTCTAGGACTTGGAAGGAACCCACCTTTACTGCTGATACCAGGAAGACTAGGGCCATCAGCCACAGCTAGTAATCCTCAGTTATCATATCTGTCCTGTTTTAGGGAATCAGAAGTCGTGCTTAGTTCAGAAGAAGAAGATGATCAAAAGTCCAATACTTCTTTCGGATCAGTCCTCAAAGAAGAACAAGAAGCTCACAAATCACCTGTTATGTCCATGACACTTGGTCATGGAGAATCAGCCCCTGAGATGCCGCCGAAGGTATACTCCGAAGAGGAGCTGAAGGAAAGGTTGGAAATACAGATGCGCTCTTTGGCAGAAGACTGGCGCAAGATTGCCGGTAGCCAGTCGAACGATCTGTTCCCAACAGGTACACCTATGGACTTGGTTCTATGAGCTTGGTATGCCAGGAACTTTGGAAAGGTAATTCCCCCAGAGGGCCCCATTGGTGGGTCCAGTAAGGGTAAGGCCCCAGCTGATCCTGATGACTCATATGATGTCCGCCCACCCAATGGAGGTAGGGAGTTTAATGTTGGGCATCCCGGTGAATACAACAGAAGCCACAATGGGCTTCAGACCTGGATCACACAGGTCAAAGGTTACTTGAACCTGAACAAGCACGTGTACAACACCAAATCACTCAAGATCTCGTTCGCCCTTACGTATATGACAAAGGGGGCTGCCATTTCATTCGCCAAAAATTATCAAAATGAAAACAAGCTTCTCGACAGAACTATCTGGTACTCTGACACCTTCCACTGTTTCGTAGAGCGTCTCAAAGCTACTTTCGAGTCCAGCAATCAAACTGCTCTGGCCATCCTTCATCTCTCTGACATCAGCCAAGGCAAACAAGAGCTCGAGGCATATATCACCGAATTCACGGGGCTTGTTAACAAGGCTCAACTTAAAGAAGAATCATGTGAAGCAGGGATCTTCTTCAGGAAAGGCTTGAACAAAGAATATCGTGATTGGGTCCTAAATTCAGGACATGCCCCCACTACTGTCATTGAGTGGATCCAGTGCACAGGAGAAGCTAGGACCACAATTGCCACCAAGCACATCCTAGAAGGGAAGGAATCTCGGTATGAATGCAAATTCATTCATTACCACGGAGGTTCCCGAGATCCTGATGTGATGGACATCGATAAACGCAAACAGAACGTTAGATGTTCAAACTCCAAAATTACGTGCTTCAAATGCAGAGCAAAGGGTCACTACAAGCATGACTGTAAATTGTCCAAGCCCAAAAGCTTACCTGGCATTCGGGTTGTTGTGTCTGAAGATGGACCCAAAACCGCCTATGCAGGAGATCGTCTGGTGACCCCAGATGAGATGAAAGCACATGGGATAAATTTTTAAATGGGACCACAGATACTCCTAATGTAGGTCCTGCTTCTGTGTTGTCTGCAACCTGTACTTCTATAGACGATGAATCCTCAATGCGAGTCAGATCTCCTCTTGGAAGAGCATGGTTGCTGGACTACATGGCAGGAGTAATGGTCTGCGTCGACTCTGGCGCAGAGGTATCGCTCATTTCAGAGTGAATCATACAAAAACTCAAGATCCCTTCATACTGGGTCAAGACATGCTTCAAGATGACTTCCTTTACCGGTGTCACACACCAAAGGTGTTTGGTGAGGTGGACATGGATGTAGCTGATGAATGGAGGTGAAGACCATAGCCCTCATGCGAAGAAGGACAGCCAGCAATGTCGGCAGTCATCCCTCGCACAAGAACAGGTTGTCAATGCCAAGGAAAAAGGAGGAGGTGAGTTAAGTGCCAATAAAATTCTTAAGCGCCTGTGTACAGCATTCCGGTTTTTGACGTATCTCCACCAATTCTGCAGACACCGAAACCATTCCCACACTCGCTTGTAGTGCTCAGCCACGTGATCCTACCTTCCAAGATTGGAAAGGATTTGCACACTCCACACGTTTCTACAGCACTCCCTCCAAAAGATGCTCATTTCACTAATTCTTCTGATATGGCTGCCTCCACATCAGTCATTTCGCTTGTCCCCTTTGCTAGGGACCATGGCTACATATATCTACCAGGAGTTCCTACCAGCTTCCATCCTGAAGCGTCCTGGTACATCCCACCCTCATCTGCCCCCTCTCAGCCCATCCAGCTTGGACAGTGTGTTCTTTTTGTCAGTATGACCTCCAGGAGGACGTTCTTTGGTCGCCTCAGGTCTGTCATTTGCTTGGAAAGGTCTTATGTGGTCGTTTCAGTTTCTCTGGTCCAAGAAGCATATGGATCCTTCCTCCCTGCCCCCTGCAACGTCTTCATACCAGTCTTGTCCGTCATTCTTCCAAAATTGCGACAGCTACAGTATAATCTACTGTTCTCCACTCTCCCTGATCGCATCCATGACAAGTATGATGCACATCTTGCCTCCTTGTTGCAAGATACAGCAGAAGATGCTCCCCCTTCATCCTCTCTTCCAACAGAGTCTCATTCATGAAGTTTTTATTTGCTTCACTGAGAGGATGGTTTGGGGGGGAAAGTTGCAATCCCCTATGCTCCTGTCACCCCACAGACCCTCAAGGCTTGACCCCTGTTGACATCTGACTCACCCTGTCCACTTTTGGATGTACTATATCGGCATCAGATCAGCGCTGCCTCTCTGTCATCCCACTTTGGCCTAGAAGCGAGCTCTTCAAGATGTGACATGCACAGCCTCCCCCTAATGTGATTCCAGTGCACTTTCCCAGTTCCTGACATTGCTTGACTCATACTTTGACATTCTGACTGTCTTTGACTCACCTATTGCCAATACTTACCAATCTTTTGACTTTGCTTACTGATTCTTCACTTTTTGGCTTACTTATCCTTACCAATGCTTACCAATGCTTTCCAAGATGATTACCCATCACTTACATTCCTTACTCATCAGTTACCAATTGCTTACCAAGTGTTTGCACCTTGTTTTCCATAGGCAATGCCCCTGTACTGTATATAAGTCACTGTACTTAGGTAGCAAAAAAGAAGACATCAGAGAGCCCCTCTTGCTCGCAATTTATCATCTCTCAGTAAATCATTCATCAACTTCGATAGTTGAGACTTTATTAAGGGTCTAGCTATCATCTACTTCACTTATTATCATCTATCATCCATATACTTCGCTCCAAGCCCTCCCTGAGCTCAGTACAGCTTAGGACATTGAATTAAGTCACCATCCATCCTTCTGTAGGCTGATAGCAGTCTACCCTATCACTTTCTATCACATTCTTGCTCCCTCTTTGTCAGGAGCACCCCCAACCCTCAGCACTCATCTTTGAGTGTTGTAGCTCACAGAAACCCTCCCAAAAAAAAAAAACAGGTTCTACCATCTAGGTACTGCATAGGCACACCACCACTCACTTTTGTTGTCTTTTGTGTTGGTTTTGGTTGGTTTTCACCACTGAACCACACTTCGACTCACAGCATGCTACCAGTGTCGTTACTTGGGACATTGGTCCTGCTGCAACGGATGTGGCTCCCACTTTACTCCAGCCCTCGAGGAACTGCTGACTCCATTGCCTCCATTGCCCATTGCCACTCGGACGCATTCCCGCATCTATACTACTCATAGACCCCTATCTGTTCACCCTGTCAACATGACTTCTGGTCCATCCTCAAGGGTCTGAGGACCTTAGAGGGGGGGTGATGTTACGCTTCCATCAGGGGTCTTTCCTTTTTCAACTTCTCGCAGTCACATGCATCATGTGCCTCGTTGTGTCCCTAATAACCGTCACCATCCTAGGGGCTCAAATGCTCCAGGGAGCCTTCAGATCTCCTGCTGTACAGGTATTTCCAATACCTGTCAAGACCACACTGCCACTGTGATCCGGTATTCCACTGCCATCTCTGATGGACAACTTGTTCACTTCTTGCTCTGTTAACTCTTTCTGACTCGCTTTCATTGCCTTTATGCTGTACTATAGAACCAGTGTCTGGCTCCTTGCTGCACATTGATTGCGCAGCCAGTATAGCCTTCGTTTCCTTGACTATCCCCATCTCTGACACTGTATGACTCCTTTCTATTTCGTTGATGACTTTGTTGACTGCTGTGGATACATGTCACAACGTGTCGCTTGCGACTGCTGCAGTACTCGTACTTAGGGGTATATAGTCCTATGTACTTCATCCTGTATCTGCAGTTTTTCGATAGCTTGCAACTGAGCTTCATCCCTTTGCCTTAATCCTTGTTCTCTCTCTGCGCGAACAACCTCAGGGACTCGCCAGTAGACAGAACCTCTGCCAGATCACCGTGATAACTCAGCCATAGGGGTTATGACAAGTTCAGCCCATAGACTCCCACCTCACATGCTTCATGCCTATTCCATTTGAAGAAGTCACTGCGCTCAGGCATAACATATACAACAACCTCTTGGAGTGACCAATGTGGCATGCATTGAGTACAATTGATGCCTCAATGTTACAAGTATCCAGAACAGTAATTAATACATCACAGGGGCATTGTACTTACCACTCACTCAGTAACATAGAACAAGTTGATTGCTTGGATTAGGTTGTAAAACTTCAACTGCTTATGCATACTGATCATATGTTCATAGTTATTAGCAATTCACACCCTCACAGTCTTGCCCCCTGGGCCTGACACAATCCACTTGCCATCAGGGGAGAATGCTACAATTGTGCCAGCACTGTTAGGTTCGATATGATCATAGGCCAGACGAACCCATTCAAATAGGCACTCCGCCTTCTGGGCAGGGAGGTGACGAAGTTGTTTGGAAACGTACGGATGGATATCACGTTCTGTCAATTCTGCAGAAACGTCATCCGAGGCGGTTGCCTGCGCACGCGGAGCGGTGCTCAACACACGTTCAATATCAGGAAATTGACAAGATGTTACGAAGACACGGAAGCTATGGGAGAGGTCGGCGGCCTGAGATGCAAGCACCGACAAGATTTGCCTCCGCGATTTTGCTGGACAGCTCTCGTCCAGCGCGTCGACCGCCACAACCATGCTTCCAATCACAATACCCGACATCTCCGACAACAGCTCCAGAATCAGTTTCTCCCATTGTAGCGTGACATCAGACGTAGTAGTCTTGAGGGAATGGTCCTCCGCAAGTACATCAGCCAAAGCCCGCCGGAATGCAGGGTCCCTTGTCCGCTAGATCATGCGCGATGGTGGTGAATAGCTTTTCCTTGCGGCGCTCCGCCTGCCCATCCCGAGCGAAGCAAAAGCACGACCGGAATCTACCAGCATCCTTGAACCACAGAGTAAGGGTATGCGCGATGGAAGACTTCCCTCCGCCACCTGCCCGTACAACCAGAGAATGCGTGGGAAGTTTTCTTATTGACACCCGCACCCCCTGCATAAGCCATGCCTTCTAGGCTCAGCTCTCTCAGATCCTCGTGCATGAGGTCCAGTTCTCCCCGCGCGAGGTTCAGATCTTCAAGTACGTGGCGCATGTTGGTGTGAATATCCCGGACCTTGCGGTCCCGGTGATGTTACAATAAGTCATTCAGCACGCTGATGTAACCATCAGTCGTGGTCTGCATCTCCAACATTGTATTCTTCCCCGGTCGTTTCCCTGAGAATAATTTGAATCAGAATTTTACTAAGAGGGATAACCGACATACAGAACTTTTGCGTCTGCGAGTAATTCGTGACGAACCTGGCCACATCGCTTATCACCCTTGCGATCTTCTGTAAAGTTGCCCTCATATTATCTATGTTCCGCAGGGTATTATCTTCTAGAAGAAATCCTAACTGCATCAAGGAGGCCGGATATCTCCTTGTACAGGTACGGAAGGCTGCGTGGGGTGGGCAGCGCAAATAGCCCGAGTGTGAACGTACCCGAACAGCAGATGTCACGACCCCCAGCGCAATCTGGGCATAGGGGTGAACTTGCACGCTCACGCCAAAACTTAGAGCGATCATAGGACAATGCACGTACCTGGGCGATAGTAGTAACAACGGAGTTAAAGATCTTGAGAGGCTGGAGGTATGTGTCGCTGAAGTTTTGGATGCCTGCAGTCGCAGCATCAGCCTGTACAACGAGCTCGGTGGCCGTTTGGCCAACGCGTGGTATGGGTATCATGCAATCCAAGGCCTGTCGAGCAGCGTCGACTTCACTGCCTACCAATGTCACGGCCGGAATGAGTGTGGTATTGGCGCCAGGTCAGCAGTACCCCCGCCGTTGCCGTCAAATGGCCCGAATACAGCATCGACATTCCTGCCATGCGTAGCTGGTACGGGTCCTGTATCTGAGTTTTCGGTTGGTTATTGAGTCTGTCCAACACGATTATTACTCAAGGACATCAGAACAACGGGATAGAGTCGCTTGGGTTTTTTCTCGTTGCTCCTGAGCAACCCTACCGGCACCCGTGCCAGCAGTCTCTGCTACAATGGAACCTTGGTTTGACTGATGGAAGATATGCTTCATCCGGGCGCCCTCTGGGAAGTACTGCCCGACGTTCTATTCTTTGACTGCTTGCGAACCACTGAGGAATCAGTATCCTGTTCAAAGTTCTGGTTGGGGTCAAGGTGTGGACGTGGGAGACAGGGCTGCAGTAACGCCAACAAAGTTGCTGTTCATACACGGCACTTTGATGCACCTACGTTTTCAGTGTCATTCTCATAAGCGCTGAGCGCTAATTACTATGAGTCTATGTACGGACCGTACGAACCAGCCCGATCTCAACCTAGCCGAGTGACTGCGCGGACGCCAGGGAGATCGGCCAGGTTCGTAGCATCACTGTCGTCTCGTTCTAGAAGTCTTCTTCCTTTGCTACTGATATGTGGCGTTTGTTGGTCTTGATTATTGATATCACTTTGACACCGGTAGTAGTCCAGCGGATGATGATGACTTGAAACCAGGCGTTACAAGGAAAGCTTCGCCGGTTCGATAGGACGCGTCTAACGGTTCTCACGCGAACCTTTCGTTTCCAGCCAAGTATTCTTTCAAAGGATAGAGGACGATTCTGCCACACATTTTCAGTGGGTGCTGTCGGGTTGATCAGACATGATTTTGGTAGGACCCATCTCATTCTGTTGAACGAGACGTAATCAGCCAACTATCCCCTTGCCCGCATTGCACAGAAAACCGAATGGCTCGCGGTACATGTGCTTGGCCATGTTGAACGTCGACTGCCTCCACGTTGGAACTTCCCTTGCTTTCTGATCTCTAAGATGTGATCTGAGATCGTGAGCGAATAACTTCTCAGAATCTCCGGCCATAGGATCCAGCCAAGAGGCGCTGAAGTCTCGGGCTTCCGAGTCCGCTTATTCGATAGTTTCTTGCTAGCGGAGTTCTCGTCGTTCATTCGTAAGCGCAGTACCGCCGATAGTAGCTCTGTTCAGTGAACCGTCTGGAGCTTTGATGACCGACTAATAACAAGCTTGTCCAATTCGTTTGTCCAGCCAGAAACGGCGGTTCTTCCTCTCTATTTTCTACTTTACACATGCAAACTCTTCTTCCACTTCCGTGCACGCTACCTGGGTTATTAGAGTCTTCATCCAAGTCTGGATACTCCGGAGCATCTGTGATCCCCGACGAGATGGGCTGTTTGAGTTTTCAGTGTTCTGGAGAAGGGCGCTTTACATAATTAAGGAACGGGAAGACGTAAAGTTGGAGTTAGTGCGAGGGCACGTCGGTGTACAGTATGATCCTCTCCATCTCCCCCGAGTACTGAGCCTTACATGGCGGCGTACTACACCCATAGACGTTTAGATTCGAAACGTTTCAAGGACTGAAGCATTCACTGGCACTTGTTAGTTGAAAGGTTCACTGATTACCCAGCTACCTCGTCACCACGATCGATTGATCTCCGAATGCAACTGATGCATCGTATTCGATTATCGGCGATAACAGGAAATTAAAGTTGGACACCAGGAACAGATTGCCAAATGGTTGGGCGGCTGCACTTGAGCGCTGAGCGTGGAGCTCGCGGCTCACTTTGGCTCAGGCGATGCCTGGCTGTGCGCATATCTTTACGGTCGTATCGTGGCGGTACGTAACACGTATGAGCAACGCCTGGCTCCGCCAAGAAACTGCTCGTGGAGTCGTGCCGTAGTAAGATGACCCACTTAGACATAACCATGAAACGATACTTATCCGCCCTCAGGTCTCAGGCCTCGGGCTTCATGTATGTTTTGCAACGGTAGAATAACGACAAGTAAACAGAGGCAAGCAAATTCAGATCTGGGTACATGTCACACTGCAGACCTACCGGTAGAGCCGACATATTAGCGTCGCCAGAGGGCCATCTGCATGATCAATCTGCCAAACGACGGCGACAGTGAGGGCGCTTGGCCCCTCTTGGCTCCCACACTGGTTCCATACTGCCAGTATGGAATCAATTATCCGTTGGCACACCCGTCTCCCGTCATGACGTGAACAGCATGCCCGCCAAGCATTGGGTATTTAAGTATAAGAGATCGCTCGTTCATTTCCTTGCACAATAAATTATCTCTGTTCGTGGGGCCGCAACGGGAGACTGCTGCTGTCATGTCGTTCAAAAAATGTCTACTGGTGCTTGCCACCAGCATCAGTTCCGCCCTCGCCCAAAGCCAGACTTGGTGCGTTGTGTTCCATGTCGTAGTGATTCATGATTGAAGTGTTTAGCTGACGTACTGGCATGAAGGTGCGGGAAGAACTACATGGCAAATCAGACGGTTGTTCCGCCAGGCGGGCAGTTCGTTCTGCCACCCCAGAGCAATGATCCCTTACTCGCGTTCCGATGTGCCCCAGAGTTCCGTCCGTACCTAGAGGAGGACGCCAAGACTGCCGCATTCATCGTTGATACCCGGATCGTGTATGATTGGATCAATAGAGCATCCCCTATCTCTCTTCCCTGCAACAACACCAACTCCACGTCCGAATCCCCATCCAATGCCGGAAACGTTACCGTCACCGTCAAGGTGGGCGGTATCCATACCACACAATCGGTGTCACTTGGCGCCGTCGGATACAAGATTCCTTTGGACATTAGCAACCTGACAGCGCAGAAGACACCGTACCATGTAGACTGTATCGCGTCTTACCATACCGAGTCTTCAAAAACGCAAACGTATTTCACGAACGCGTCATTGTTGTATCTTCCCGATACGAACAGTTCTGTCACGAAGATGGATTTGAGGTCGGGGTCGTTGCGGGTGCGACCTGTCAATGACCCAAGCAGCGGGTTCCTGCCGTTCATTCCTCAGGGGTTTTATGTCTCATTTGACCAATATCTTGCAAAAAACCTTTCTCTCATTGATCAACTAAAGGCGGATGGGTGAGTCTGGTTCTTGTTCGTGGCTCAGACGAGTATTAAACGATTTTCGGTAGTTTCAATACTGTAAGTGGTTTCGAGACGAAGCTGTCGAGGTGTCCTAACGTCCAAGAGTAGATCCACCCAATCCCTCCTTACGACAATGCTACCATCTTCGAGCAGGTGCTCAATAGGACCATCGAACTTGGCCTCTATGTAATTCTTGACATGCGATCGTAAGTTCTTACATCTATAAGTACTTATGATCACGTTACTGACAGGTTTTGTCTGCAGTAACTATCAGAACCTGACAGCGGTTGCAAGCATGGTGAACACATACAAGTCTCTTCCAAACTTGCTAACCTGGGAGACTGCGCATGAACCCGATGGCAACTCAGACCCCCTCAACGCTGCCAAGCAAGCCTACGATCTCATCTACCAGATGGATGGCTACCATCCCATCTCCATTGTGTTGAATTGCGAGGTAATGACCTGTGGGCGCGTGTTAGCAACTTGGCATACTAATAGGATCGCATAGGACTACAACTTCTCTCCTTACGTAGAAGGTGCTGATATCGTGCTTGAGGTATGTTTTCCTTTCCTTGACGCTGTCGTGCGGATATACAGATTTCTCGTTTTACAGGATGCCTACCCAATCGGCATCAATGCAACGTACTCGCCGGTCTGGAACACTCCCTGCACACCGGACTTTGGTCATTGTGGATGTGACAATTGCAAGGGGGGTCTGATCGATATCAAAGCCCGTGTGCAGACTTACAAGGACAGGCTTGATATCCTTGGGTACGATCGTACTAAGACTGTATGGACCACTCCTCAAGCCTTTGGAAGCGGAGCGTGAGTCGCAGCCGAGTTCCTCTGTAAATCTGTCTGCTCACCATTTCCAGTTACTGGAATACTACGCCCACTGGTCAGCAATGGGCTGCTATAGGTCTCATTTCCTTCAATCACGGTGCCATGGGTTTGTCTCATCTTTCAAGGTTTATGAAGACTTTCACTTATTTCGTTGTACAGGATCTATGTCATACCAATATCCCACAACCACTGGCAACGTCACTACCATCGAGGGCACCGCAACTAATCTCACAGGTATCATAAATGAGATCATCACGCCATTCCTTGTTGGTCCCAGGGCCGCGTTCTCCGTCTATAGCTACCAGGGTGTTGACGCAGGGCTATGGAACAACGGCACCGCATATCTGCTGCTCGTTGCGAGCACCGTCAACGAGCAGGTCATCGTACCATGGAATGCCGTTGGACTGGGGCAGATTACGAATATAACTCAACAAGTTCAGCGTATCTTTTCGGTTGGGCAAAACATCAATGCGAGTTCATTGAACTTCAGGCCAGGCGGTATTGGTATCTATACAGTGACACCTTAATGTGGAAATGCCGTCGCAGATCGGTAGATTTTTGGTTCTTTTTTTACAGTAAATTATAGGTTACGCAGTTCTGTATACCTCCAGTCGTTAAATTACATATCTATTCTTGAACTAGACATCTAACTGAGAATGAGCAGCTTGATGGGATCACTCTCAGGTTCTGGCGTCGTGATTAGGGCTACTAGTAGTACATCACTTGGTTACTTGCCCAAATGGCATGGATGCCATTTGCTGATCGGAAGTCATAGTTGTTGTCAGCGAACGGGCCCCGTATGATGATCTAGAGAGAAAGGCCAACAGCGGAAGGAATTCACGCCCTCCAAGCGCCGTCCCTGGACGCCACGGGCGCCACCATGATCTGACCTCGTGAAGAGTTCAAAGCTGTCGTAACATCCATAGCTACAATGACATGCAGTACATGGATGCAAAGTAGAATTTGTGTAAGCATCCATTCATGCGCATTGATTAGAAGATATAAAGTAGGAGGTGTACGATAGTTTCATGTGCGAGGAAGTTGTTAGTATATAGCTCGGCACCAAGCAGTGCACGTGGGCCAAGGGAAGAAGAATATCTTTTGCTTCTAGTGAATTCAACGTTTTGTACCTGCCAATCATGGGTATGATCGATCACGCGTCTCGTGACTTTCGTCAGCCAATCCGTGTTCCACGACTTCAGGTTCGGCAAAAACACACAGGGCAAAACAATTTTCAGACATGAACTCGGAGGCGTCTTGGAAAACGGCTTTGCCTCGGAGTCCAATGGTCTCCCGCACTTACGACTCGAGGTGGAACATAGGGTTTAGCCAAGGTCTGCATATTCGAGACTATGCATTCCCCACTCCCCCACTTGGGTGCTGTGGCGAAGTTTAACGCACTCAATCAAAACCGCATTAGAACGACACGATGCAACCTCAGCTGCCCCACTTGGCCCCCGTTATCGTTTATACTCTTTGTCTCTTCATCATTATACAGTTTCGGTTTGTGCCTCAGACGACCTCGGGTACTACATGGCAGCAATAGGATGTCAAGCTTCAAGCCCGTTGCGTGCTAAAACTTCGGGTTACGAGACCAGGATTTCGTGCCCCATGCCAACGCGCACATGGCTGTGCTTCTAACAAATTTTACTGTCTTCTTTCTAAGGATAACGAATCTTATCCTCTGCCAAGTGTGGCGATGTGAGTAGTGCAACTGACGGACACAGCATCCTCCTTAAAGACAGAGTACCTTAACACGCGTGCTCCCTTCCTCTTCAGTGCCAGCTGTTCGTGCGATCACTCGCATATCCCGGCCTCCTCGGAATCATCGCCAGCTGTGGTATTCTTGTGTTACCCGTATGCAGTAGTAATTACTGGGCCGTACCTGTGAGTTGCGAACTACCAGGAGGTAAGTCTAGCATGTACGTGATACGCAATTCAGTATTGACCATACTCTCGAAGCCTGTCTTCAGATTTCTTACACGTTCTCGGAAGGTTCCTTGTGCCGATAATCGGGTTTATTACTGACCCTGCAGGACTTCCCACCAAACACGTTAGCCCACCAGGATAGCGGTCGAATAGAATATGCGACCTGCTTTCGAGAGTACAATCGTCGGCCAGTCTTGGCTTAGATTTCGTTACAAGGTAGAACGTTGAAAGTGCCAGTGCGTCCATGTGAAATTAAGGGCCATCTTCGTCCTGCATGTGCAGGATGTCTAATAAACTTACAAGTACTGGGCTAATGGGGCAAAGCTTGAAGGCCATGGAGCCGATCCTCGTAGAACCCAGCGAATGCAACCTTTGGGGTTGTCGGGCGCCCAGTCAAAATTCGGAGTCTTCCCCATGGTCAGACGAGCCCTCAGACATCCAAGCAAAGAGTCCACTCGGTGGCTGGATGGATGAGACACGTCAGACTGCCATCGAAACCAACTGTAAGTCGCAACACTTGCCTTCTGTTGCCGCGAGAAGACGCTATGCCTATGATACCGAGAGAGTGCAGGGGATGCGATCCACTCCACCTAATGGAGAGAGAATGACGAGTGAGAGGCGATGGGTCTGGTGGGAATATGGTACCCTATGTAGGGGACCGGGCGTAATCATGATGAAGGCGGCTACGACAGGGTTTTGACGCCCAAGACTGGGAGTGGTGCGAGACACAAGACGTCGGCGCCGATGACAACGATTTGGAAGTGGCAGCTAGTACATACCAAGCTGCTACCAACCCACACATAGCAAGGTACTTGAACGTTTTGATATTGCCAACGTTGTCCACGTTAGACTGCTCACACCTGCCCTGGAGCCAGGCTGGTCACTTGCTGTGTGGCCAGGTACACCTGCCACGTCCTGCCATGATAGGGACTATTAACTCACAGCATATCCAGTCATCGGCGATATATACAGCTTCTGAACCCATTTAATCCAACCCTTGCCACGGACAGATATCTCTTGCTTCCAACACGCTAGCCATGGGTGTCCAATTCGACTTCAGGATGATGGCCTTCGTAGCCGTCGCGTCTGCTCTGTCAGCACTTGCCGTCGGTGGTGTGCTGATTTACATTGCTGTGGGTTTCCTCCCTTTGCCGCTGGCATGCTGGCTGATTTTCACGTCAGTATAGCGCCATCACCATCAAGCCAAATGCCTCGCGGAGGTGGTCCACCGACTCCCCCATACACTATTATTTCCTCAATTTGATGATTTCCGACCTTTTCCTGGCTATAGGTCGGTATTTACTATTCCGCGCTTCCTGTTGACTGCTGATGGTGTACAGGTGGATTTCTTGATATCAAGTGGGTCATAGAAACGGTGAGCCTTCAACGCGTCTGTGAAGTCGCTCGCTCGCTCATTTAACCGCCAGAGGGTGTACTTCGATGCCGCTTGTACAGTTCAAGGTATTTTCGCTTTCATTTTACTGGACGCTTGTCGTTCATCGCATGCAGGTTTCTTCATGCAGGTGGGTGATGTTGGGGTTGCTCTCAGGTAAGTATTAAAATCGAAAAGAAATGTCTTTCACATACCCAAAGACCTCCCTTGTCAGTACAATGGTACGTCAGTTACATAAACTATCGCAATGATGCAATAACGATTCGAGATAGGCCATTGCCTTGCATATACTGCAAGTATTGGTGCTGAACTGGAGGTCTCCACCAAAATATGCGCTCTTTGTACTGGCAATAATTTGGGTAGTCATCGTTATTCTGGTGGTCGCGCCGAACGTGATTCAACATAACATTAACGGTCCCACCGGCCACTGTTAGTGTTCATAGTTCGATTGTACCTTTGACAACTTGAATCGACACTTCCGTTTAGGGTGCTGGATCGAGAGGGGTATCATGGAACAAATTGGCCTCGATTATATATGGATGTGGCTGGCTGCTATATTAAACATTATCTCATACCTGTTCCTCATACTTGTCATCAAGCGACTCGTTATCATGGATGGTAACAGGTTCCGCTGGAGAGGACGGCAGGAGAGAGGAATCCCATATGGAGCGGGGACATCCATAGAGAGTGTGAGAGCAAATCAAATGATCTTGTAAGTAGCTCCTGGTCAACAATTGGTGGCTTCTGGACCAATCACTTTACAGTTACCCCTTGGTATACATCATACTCGTGTGTGGTCTTCTGTATCTTTGACATGGTTATACTAAATGGGTGATAGGTGTTGCCTATATCAGCAGCTCGGTTTTCCAAATTCATGGGCCATGACGTTCCGTTTCCAGTGACAGGTTTCGCGGCCACATTATACGCATCATCAGGCCTGATCAACACGATCTTGTATACTCTTACTCGACCGAAGTTGATGCCACGTAGGCCTTCGCAGACTCCGAAATCAGTGTGTGTTACTATCGGACGGCTTGCGACGCACGATCGCTTTCCAGAGGGTTACATGGTGGAGGACGGGAGCACGGTGACCGCTTCGGTCTAGGTTTCCTGACACGTGGTCGGTTTTTTTCTCTCCCTTTCTCGTCCGTTAGCTGGTTGCTACGCATTTATTCTCGGTGGACCTAAAAGTCTTCCGAGGTGTATTTGTATGCTTTTCAATTTCTTTTGGGTCATTCAGGTTGTGTTTCTGTGTGTTTCAAGTTTCTTCCCACCTATCTGTATCGGTGGCTATCTCTTGTAGCGCCACTGCCTCGCTCATAAGTTCGGATACGTGTACTGCACGCCTATTATCATATAATGCATGTCTCGTCCCTTGCCCGAGTACCCCAGCTCATTAGATACCAAACTTTATACAGTCCCCGAGATCTGCACAGATATTGGTGAGCAGATTGGCTGGCAACCTCAATTGCAATTAGGCCTACTTCAAAGCTGCCAAGGTGCAAGCATACGAACTCATCTACCGGATGGGCGGGTTACCACATCAACCCCGTTGTTAGGCTGAACTGCGAGGTAACCTTGGTATCCTGATAGCCTGCATACAGGACCACTGATTCTTCCCCCACGTGTAAGGCGCTGATATGACTGTGCTTGAGGTACGTCTGCTTTTCATGCAGTGCTGCTGTGTGAGTTATATACGGATTTCTTGTTTTTACAGGGTGCCCATTGTCATACTCCTATCAGCGCTGGTTGACTCACAGTGACTTTGGACATTGTCATCATATGTGTGATGACTGCAAAGGCGGTCTGAGTGATATCGAGGCCGGTATTCAGGCTTGATATCCTTGGGTACGAAGATGGGGGACGATCATATACCTCCGTGACTGATGTCAATTGAGCTGAACCAGACGTTTCCACGGGTTCGCATTGATCTCAGGCACCAGTGACTGTGCTACTTCCTGGCCATTGGGACGAGAGTACCATGTATTAATATCATCGGTACTTGTGTAAGTGGGTGTGAATTGCTGTGGGAAGTCATGATTGCTGTAAGCGAACGGGAGAGAAAGACCGACAGCAGACGTTCGAGGCTGCCCACGCTTGTCGTCGAGAAGAAAGTCGGAACACAAGCCCTCCCCCTTCTCTTTTGCCGTGGTTCTAGCATCCGATCAAACGCGTCGCTGGCAACGCTCTGTTGTTTACTAGATCGTCCACTGAGAGTCCGTCGTGCAACCAACCAGTTCGCTCGCTCCACCCACCGTGTGCTGTCCAAGACCGAAATACGCTCTCTCCAATTATCTCTCCTTCGTGTTACTGCTATATATTGCATGCAACCCAGCTGCCACTAGACAAAAGTCTTCTACGTTCGACCCCCAGGCACGCACACGACTTGACTCCAACTTCAGCTGTGGCGAACCACCAAATTCCGTTCTCGCCCGCAATCTTCTCTGACCATTAAATGGCACATCAAAACTACGTTTCGGACGGCGTTGCGGGTCCCAATAAGCTCTCGTCGCGGCTTGCTTCACTCAGGATGTTCAAACCCAAGTCTGGGTCTGGTTCTGGTTCAACTGGTACGTCTACGAACGTAGCATACCAGCACTGCAGTCCTCACTCACTCGACGCGTTTCATACCCCCCAAAAAACAGATTCTTCATCGTTCCCTCCGCCACCTCCACCCAAAGATGGCGTGTACAGCACGTCTTCCAACTCACCCTCAAATCCTCCCTCCGCATTCTACACCAAATCCCTTTTCAGTCGTTCAGTTAGCTCACTGTCGCCTTCGCTGAGTCGCGCACCGTCACAAGGCCAACCTTTGAGCCCAGATTCAAACCCTGTTACACCACTGACATCGGGCAGCTTTGGCGCACCACAACATGGGTCCGCGGGACCACATACTGGGGTTTTAGGACGCGGCATGACAGCTTCGCCTGTCCCGTCAGGTTCAGGTGTATCATTAAGATCAGTCAGCGGAGGTGGGGAGCATGTGGCGACTCCGTCTGTAGACGGATCGACTGATTCGAGCGGTTCGTTTCCTCCAAATCCAAATCCGTACACGTTTGGCGTACTTGCTGCGCAACACACAGACATAAACGCGATGCCGAAATCTAAAAAGTCTCTATTCAAGCTGTCTTCGTTGGGCAAGAGAAACAAGTCTCGGAGAGATTTAAGCGAGAGTGCGAGCGCGAGTGAATTCGAGGAGAGCGGGAGAGAGGAAGGCGACGAGGGAATATCAAAGCCTTGGAACTTTCAGGTAAGCATGACTAACCCCCCAGTGTGGGACCAGAACAGCGCTAACTTAGTGGCGACCTGTTGGCTCCCCTGGAAATTGCGATCGAACTTACACCGATACGCCGACGATAATTGCATTTGGAAATACCATAGCACCACATACATGTCGACGAAGGGTAGGTCTATCTACTCTAGTGTATGATTTCGACTAATTGGTGGAACCTAGTTACATCGGTCTCCCACCATCGTGGGCTACCGCTCTTTCTACCGCTGGCTTTGACGAGGAAGAGATTGCCGCTATCCATGCGCGTCGCAAGGCCGCCGCCGCCGCAAATTTGAAGAACGGGTACGTCTTTATAGTCTTCGGTGAATGTTGGTTGATTCAATACATGCTCCGATGCAGTTCTAATGCTCCGAGTCCTCACACGCAGTACTCTTCAGCTCGTCCCGCATCGCCGGTACTGCGCAATCCAGTACCTCGCAGTTCAAGTCTTGCTGGGCTCCGTGTAGACCCCCCGCCAACGCTTACCGTTGGGACCGGTTCTGGCCTTACGAGCGCCACAGGGAGCAATCCTACCCCGTCACCGCGAACAACAGGATTCGGAGTTCGGACATTGATACCAAATGGATTCCTTGGTTCGAGAGGAGGGGACAGCGCAAGCACCGCGAGCGGGAGTCGAAGTCGCAGTGGTAGTGTCAATCGTGCGGGATCTGGGGCTGGGGAGCAGTCAGAGCCATTTGTCATGGTTGACGGGAACGTGGATGCTGCTGGAGGGATTGGAGATGAGACTCTCATCGAGCCGTTCCCGTATGATGCGGCTAGCACCATGACACATCAAACCCATTCTGCACAGTCGCCCAGTGCACTTGCGGTGACCCAAGTACAGACGACACCTCGAGGACCTCAAGTTCAGCGTTCCCAGTCTGAGACAGGAAACGTCCCCTTTCCGAGCCCGGGCACTCCTATTCGTGGGGCTTCACCTTTCGCACATTCTACTTCATTGCCTGTTCCCACCCCAAGAGGTCATGCTAATTCTAGCTCCAGCCGCACCACAGACTCATCCATCTATCATGGCAGTGCGTCTCCCTCGCCATCCCCGTCGCATTCACAATCTGGCCAGCGAACTGCCTCTTCTGTACCACGTACGCCTCCTCGGCGGGTTTATCATGTTGCCAATGCGTCTTCAGACTCTAGCTATGGTGACCCTCCTCCGGCATATGCATCGCCTGTGCGAGGAGAGACATTCCGACGCGAGAAAGAAGTATCACGCGAGGGTGCAGCTCCTGCTGGCTCATCGAGTCCCCTACCACTGTCTCGCCCAATACCCTCAATACCTGTACCAGGAACTACTGAACGTAGTCAAGTAAGCAAGTGCAGCACTTCGGTGGGGAGTTCGAGTGGGCAAGGATCCAGTCACGATGGTCTGTTTGATATCGACCCATTCGATGCTAGTGACATACCCGCAACAGTGGAAGACGTGTTGGACATATCAGCTGCCAACTCATCCCTATACCTTGACGACGACAATGACGATGCAGAGCGGCAGCAGGATAATATAGATCTTGCCACTCAGCGGCAGCGGTTGCTTTCCCCGACGCCACCTCTCGTTATTGACAAGCGTCTAACGCGTGTGGCAAGTCTCATGACGCAAGCGCCGCGTATCTCATTCCATCAAGAGGGGAGTTTGGAGGACTGGACGTCATCATTGTTTAGTGCGATCAGCAGTGACGACGCGACGGCCAGTAATAATGACAATAAACGGTCGAGTATGGCAGTCAAGGTTCGCAGGATACTGGCAGCCCCTCAGGAAAGTGAGGAGGACGAGAAGGCAGAGCGGCGATTGACATTACGACCGCTGTCTCCTCCCGCACCGAAACTTACACCGTCGCCCATGTCGCCGGCACCAAAATTACCAGACGTGTCGTTTGGTAGGAACATATCTATTGGCGAACATGTCAGGAAAGCTAGGCCACCCTCTCCGGAGGAGGAAGAGGAAAAGGTGGAGGCGGAGGCTGCAGAGACCGAAGCTAGGGAAGTAGTGTCTAAGGATGCGGACGAGCCCCGTGAGCTATTATCGATCCTGTCCCCTTCACTTCCTGACATTTCATTCGGCTTGAATGTGTCTTCGCTTGGCAAAGATCTACTTCCCTCAGTCACATTACCCTCAGCCTCCGTCAGTGAACCCGACTCAGAAAGTGCCCCTCCACCACCACCCAAGGTGAAGCCTAAGCCATCTCTGCCATCCCTCGCGCCGCCCAAGCCAAGTGGCACCGTTGGGGCGGACGGGAAGTCGCCAGTGTCTCCGTTTCTCCGCTGTGGACCCAAACCTCTCCCCCTTCCAATTCCTCCCGACCAAATCCGGGCACAACTACGTCCTTCCAAATCAGAGCACGGCCGATCGTCTTCTCAGGCACAAGCAGCTAATTCTCAGTTGCAGCCACAATCTCAACCCGTTCCTAGTGTCTGCCTGGTGGAGTCCTCGTCGTCGCAATGTAGCTCCCGACGTGAATCGTCTTCCAGCCTTGCTCCCAGGTCGAACGCGGGCGATCGAGATTCTGCAGTGTCTACGGTCACCGTCACACAGGCGACGATCGTCGTGGTCAAGGGACAAGCGGTACGGCGTGCGGTAGCAAGTGTCATAGACCCTGACCTGATCTCTCCTCCGTCGACGGCCAAGCGCGACAGCTTTGCCTCTGCCTTTGGTATATCACGAGCAGTTTCTGACGCGCAGCCTGACCAAGAAACAAGTTATGAGCCCGAGGAAGAAGAATCCTTGCAAGTTGATCGTCAGGATGACGATGGAGATGGACAGTCTTTGCTTATTTCGGGAACCAGCTCTGGCCCACCCTCATCACCATCTCCTACATGGCCTGCGCCACCACCTCCGCCTGCGGAATTGGACAAAGATGCCACCCCACGTCCCGTTTCGCGGTTCAGGACGACATCCTTGCAACGACTGAGTCAGATAACGGGCCTTATGGGCGGCATGATCGCATCGCCACGTACTTCGCACTTTCCCCATATCAGCTCTGAGACTACGTCGCCAAGCGACAGTATACCCCTTCCAACGCCGAAGGGCTCTGTTGTCCCGCCTCCGCCACCACCGAAAGGAAAAGGCATGATCGCACCTGAGGCAAGAATGATGGTGTCGGCGACGGATACAGTTCGGTGGAGTCGACGAGGAGAGTGAAGATGAGACGGCTGGCCAATCTCCGTATGAGCGCTCGGCACCTTCACGGAAGAGTTCTGTTGCACCTTCTTTACGTTCTGTTGCGTCGCAGTCGCAGTTATGGTCTCCCATCACATCGTCGCCTCGAACGGAACCTCAGATACCTTCAGCTACTGTACCTCATCCGCTATTGGCACCCCTGCGCACTTTTATCAGCCCTATAGACCCATCAACTCGGTTTACAGACCTTGTGGAGATAGCAGAAGGGGAGAGCGGTTCTGTCTACGCTGCGCGTATACCGCAGGAGCCTTCGCCATCTGTGCGTGGCTTCGCTATGGAGCGACCGATACCCGCGGAGTCGTCTCATGTCGCTATCAAGCGTATAGTGCTACCCCCAGCATCGTCGGTTGCTTCGTTAAGTGGGGAGGACGAGTCCTTGCTTAGTATAAAGATCGCATCTCTCTTGCACGAACTCACGCTTTTAAAGAATCTGGAACACGAGCACATTCTTCTCCTCGACGGCGTGTATGTCCACACGAGTGCCGACGTAAACGATGGGGAAGATGACAATTCAGCGGAACGCTCAAGTGCGAGCACGGCGGTTGCACTCGATACCTCACTTTGGATACGCATGGAATTGATGGAGCGCTCTCTGGCCGATGTGGTTGCACTCGTGGCGGAGGGTCTTGCGCTTCAGGAGAGGATGGTGGGACGGTTTACGAGCGATGTAAGAGCCTAGCAACTTTGCTATTTTTCTTCTTCTCTATATGCGCGATGTCTGATCCAACTGAAAAATACTAGGTTCTAGTTGGACTCGATTACTTGCAGAAGCAACATATTGCACACCGGGACATAAGGAGCGATAATCTATTGCTCAACGCTGCAGGTGTAGTGAAGATCGGTGAGTCCGTCTCTATTGAGTCTGTCATCCACACGTGGTGACGATCGTCTATCGTAGCCGACTTTTCAAATGCCATTCGGGTCACGAAGAGCGCACCGATGGTTACGGGTGCTGTAGGTGTTATCTATTGGCAGGTGAGGCTTGCGAATTGGCCCAGGCATGAACGCGCGAGACTAATGTAACTACACATAGGCTCCAGAGATGAGAGCTGGTCCGTACGATGCGCTGAAAGTCGATGTCTGGTCCGTCGGTGCGACCGTCTGGGAGCTGGTGGAAACAGTTCCACCATTCTCGATCCCAGCCTCTCCGAGCTCGCAGACCACGTTCTTACCACCGAACTCGAAGCATCTCAGTTCACAGTGGCCTCCGTTATCGCACCCGGAGCACTATTCTAAGGGGTTCCATGAATTTCTGAGGCTTTGTGGGGCAGACGCGGCTGCCCGGCCATATGCTGAGGAGTTATTGAACGTAAGTAGTTTGGCCGTACCTCTGCAATCAATCGGGAGACGGTAATTTGACCGATGCAAATTACAGACACAATTCATTCGCAACGCGTGTGGTCGTGCGGTCATCCGTCAGCTACTTACGCAATGCAGGTCCATGGAAGAGGCAATGGTGGCACGGGACAGTGCAGCTAGCCTACATTCATGATTCGTGCACGGTAGGCTATGTCACAGCAGTTCCGCCACTTGTGTTATTTATTTGTGCTTTTGGGTCCACTGGTCACTCGAGAGAGGGGCGTGGATTAAAGTTGTGGTAACTCGACGGTGAAACTCTGGTTAGCTATTACGCGTTTGATTACATTCCGTTATTCCATTACACTTTACTGTTTCTCTTTTGCATCGGCAGCTTGATTACATATTCCCTACACATTTATGTATACCCTTGACAAAAGGTACTCACTAGGTTGAACATCTGCTCTGTCTGCATCAGTTCCACATGTCTGAGATTTTCAGGCTTCATCACTGGAAGTCTGGGACCAACCATAAATAACTCAACTTGCTGGCACAATTGTTTGAGCACACTTGCATACATTTTGTGCAAGTCCCCTTGCACTTGATGGTGTGCTATTGACTGTAGCAAGCATCTCATTCAGCAGATTCCACTTACTGACTTGATGTCCTATAGAAAACAAAAATGCAGTAGCTTACACACTTGCAAGGGACAGGATCCACAAACTACATATGCCATGAGCTACATGCAACCTTGGCAATTGGCTTGTAACATTGATGCCATTTCTTCCCATGGACCATTTGGCTCAGATTCAACTCTATACAACTGCCTCTGGGTATGACTGTTGTGGTTGTAGAAGCTGAGAGGACATGCTCAGTGTTGTAGACACAATGACTAGACTAACTCTACCCAAGAGGACACACTATGAGGATGAGTACATAGGCAAGTCCTCAGGGGCTACAGCACCCACCTCAGTGTTGTAGACACAATGACTGAGGTGCAAAGTAACACAAACAAATCTATAAGTACAGACACATGTAGCCATGTGACCATTGACAACCAACAGTGGTCCACATTGAGTACACTGGGGCCCTCATTGCAATTGGTATCCAAAGCAGTATTCACCCTTTGGACCTCTAATCCAGTCATCATAGTGCAGCTTGACTGGTTGAGTACATGGTGTTCCATCCTCCTGCAGGAGCCCATGCACCTGGTTAGGCCATATGAGACAGTCAGTGGAGGCTGACAATCAGCTGTTGGTGATGGGCCAGTGGAGGTTGAGCCCATGTATGGCTTGTGCATGTGTGTTACATGAGAGCCATGAACCTATTGTCACCTTGTAGTATGGGAGAGCCCAACTGATGAGTGTCACCATGTAGTACAGCTGAGCCTGAGAGGAAATGTTGTCATGAGGAATGGTGCAGCTGTGGTTTGAATTGTCATTGTCAGTTACAAGCAGGCTGGGGAGTAAGTGCCATCATGGACTATGGGAGAGCCCAATAAATGAGTGTCACCATAGCATACAGCTGAGCCCAAGAGTAGGAGTCATTATGGAGAATGGCTGGGCAGAGGTTAGAATTGTCATCATGGGGTACAAGCCAGCTGTGGGATTAGGGTGTAGCCACTGCAATATGAGTAGTCCCAGGTAAGCCCAGAGTTGGGTGTCCCCAGAAGGTATGGATGGGCTCAGCCTCTGAGTTCACCCCTGGCAACACTGTCATGCAAGCTGGCCCAACACCACTGCCATGCTAGCCATCCTGGCAACACTGCCATGTGGGCCAGCCCACCACCAATGCCATGCAGGCCATCCTGGGATGAATGCCATGTGAGCCAGGCCAACACCAATGCAATATGAGCAGGCCCAATACCAATGCCATGCAGGCTGTCCTGGCATTGATTCCATGTGGGCAGACCCAATACCAATGCCATTCAAGGTGTCCCAGCACCAATGCAATGTGAACCAGGCCAACACCAACCCAGGACTAATGCCATGGAAGCTGTCCCAGCCAGCACTGATTTAATGTGAACTGGCACAATGTTAATGCCATGGAAGCCAAGCTGGCACCAATGCCATGTGCTCTGGCACATTGCCACTGCCATGGGGCCATCATGGAAGCTGTCCCAGCACTGATGTATTGTGAGCCAGCACCAGTGCCAGGTCCATGTGTTCCAGCACATCCCCAATGCCATGGGGCCATCATGCAGGCCATCCCAGCACCATTGGGATGTGTTCCAGTACAACACCAATGCCATGGAAGCTGTCCTGGAACCTATGTGATATGTTCCAGCACATCCCAAATACCATGAGGCCTATCATGCATGTCATGACCATGCATTCATCCTAGGTCCTCACTCACTCCACACCCCTTTTCTGCCAGTCATTTGCTCACTCTGCACCAACTCTGCCCATCCCCTGACATTTATGAGTCATCTCTGCTCCAACTGCTGTCAGACTTGTACTGCTCTCCTACCAGACCATGCAGGCTGTTCTCTGAGTAGTCATGTGACTACCCTTTGGACTTCTCCTTGACAGCACATGATCAGGTACTCCACAGTGTGTGCACTGCATGGTCTGGTGCCTGGACTGTTTCCTCTTTGGGATGTTCTGTGTTACCCATTTGTGTGTCCTCCATCTACCCTTCATTTGTCATCTAGGAAGTTTTACTTGAAATTTTATGAGTCTCCATATGTCAGTTCTGATTCTGATTACTGTACCTCCATAGAAGTATAAAAGCATGTGTCATACTCTGCTGTTCTTCAGTACAAATATTGACTTGGTTCCTACTCCCTCTGTCTCTGTCTTCTGCCTGTTGGAGTTACCTCTGATTGCCTGTCTGTACTCTCCCTCTGAAATATGAGGGCTGAGATCATGCAAGGGGGTAGTGCACAAGCTAAACCTGATGCCCTCACCTCACTCTGCCTTTATCCCAGCAGACTTTGTTCCTGCCAACACTCCACCAGTCAGAGTTCTGCTCTGTCTGTTGGACTTTCTTCTGAACCTCTCCCCAGACCTTGTCTAGTGTCAGAGTTGGTCAGAGTAGGCCTGGACTTGACAGTATATTCATACTCACACTTGTATGATCTCATTCTCTGTCTCCCAAAAAACTTACACTGCTATGAGAACTCAAGCTCAATCCCAGAGAGAGGTCACTGAGAACCTTGCTACAGTGCTAGCTAATCCACATTGACTCCCTTCTGTTGTTGAACAACTCCAATCCTTCTCTGCTCAACACTGCTCCCACACTGAAGGTGAAAGCACTTTGCAAGCTGGTCACTCTGACCTCCACCCAACAAATTTCCATACTCCATCTCCTCATAACCAAGATGATGGACCCAACCCTGACCCTGGTTATCCTGATGGTGATCCCAATGGTGGGGGCAGCAGTGATGGGGATGTCCCTGAAGACCTGGCTGAGCTGCCAGAGGATCCCCTCATAGCTCTTGCCAGAGCTGTCCATGCACTTGCACAGTGTCACACACCAAAGGTGTTTGGTGAAGTGGACATGGATACAGCTGATGAATGGAGATGAAGACCATAGCCCTCATGTGAAGAAGGACAGCCAGAAATGTCAGCAGTCATCCCTCACACAAGAATGAGTCATCAGTGCCAAAGAAAAAGAAAGCGAGTGAGTTAAGTGCTGGTTAAAATTCTTAAGCACCCATGTATGGCATTCTGGTTTTCAACATATCTCTGCTGTTTCTGCAGATACTGAGACCATTCCCACACTTGCTTGTAGTGCTCAGCCATGTGATCCTACCTTCCAAGATTGGAAAGGATTTGTGCACTCCACATGTTTCTACAGCACTCCCTCTAAAAGACACTCATTTCACTAATTCTTCTGATATGGCCACCTCCACATCAATCATTTTGGTTGTCCCCCTTGCTAGGGACCATGGCTACATATATCTACCAGGAGTTCCTACCAGCTTCTGTCCTGAAGCATCCTGGTACATCCTACCCTCATCTGCACCCTCTCAGCCCATCTAGCTTGGACAGCATATTCTTTTTGTCAGTATGACCTCTAGGAGGATGTTCTTTGGTCACCTCAGGTCTGTCATTCACTTGGAAAGGTCTTATGTGGTCATTTCAGTCTCCCCAGTCCAAGAAGCATATGGATCCTTCCTCCCTGCTCCCTGCAATGTCTTCATACTGGTCTCATCCATCATTCTTCCAAGATTGCAACAGCTACAGTATAATCTACTGTTCTCCACTCTCCTTGATTGCATCCATGATGAGTATGATGCACATCTTGCCTCCTTGTTGTAAGATACAGCAGAAGACACCCCCCCTTCATCCTCTCTTCCAACAGAGCCTCATCCATGAAGTTTTTATTTGCTTCACTGAGAGGATGGTTTGGGGGGGAAAGTTGCAATCCCCTACGTTCCTGTCACCCCACAGACCCCCAAAGCTTGATCCCTGTTGACATCTGACTCACCCTGTCCACTTTTGGATGTACTATATCAGCATCAGATCAGCACTGCCTCTCTGTCATCCCACCTTGGCCTAGAAGTGATCTCTTCAAGATGTGACATACACAGCCTCCCCCTAATGTGATTCCAGTGCACTTTCCCAGTTCCTGACATTACTTAACTCATACTTTGATGTTCTGACTGTCTTTGACTCACCTATTGCCAATACTTACCAATCTTTTGACTTTGCTTACTGATTCTTTACCTTTTGGCTTGCTTATCCTTACCAATGCTTACCAATGCTTTCCAAGATGATTACCCATTGCTTACATTCCTTACTCATCAGTTACCAATCACTTACCAAGTGTTTGCACCTTGTTTTCCATAGGCAACACCCCTGTACTGTATATAAATCACTGTACTTAGATAGCAAAAAAAAAAAAAGAAGAAGCTGTCAGAGAGCCCCTCTTGCTCACATTTTTATCATCACTCAGTAAATCCTCCATCAGCTTTGATAGTTGGGACTTTATTAAGGGTCTAACTGTTGTCCACTTTGCTTATTATTGTCTATCATCAATCTACTTTGCTCCAAGTCCTCTCTGAGCTCAGTGCAGCTCAGAGCACTGAATTAAGTTGTCATCCATCCTTCTGTAGGCTGACAGCAGTCTACTCTATTGCATTCTCTCGCATTCCTGCTCCTTCTTCATCAGGAGCACCCCCAACCCTCAGCACTCATCTTTGAGTGTTATAGCTTGCAAAAACCCTCCCAAAGAACAGGTTCTACAATCTAGGTACCATATAGGCACACCACCACTCGCTCTTTTTGTCTTTTGTGCTGGTTTTGGTTGGTTGTCACCACTGAACCACACTTTGACTCACAGTGGTCTAGTTTGCACACTGGGGACTCTGCTCTGAAAATCAAAGTCTGTGAGCCTGACACCTTCAATGGCTCTGACCCTAAGAAACTCTGCAAGTTCCTCATACAATGCAAGCTAAACTTTCAAGGACCGCCCTCATGCATTCCACTCTGACAGGGTGAAGGTCACCTTTGCTCAGT